GATTTAGCGATTGTACAAAACTGTACATAAATTTAAATAACAAGTATCCGAAATAAATCTCACCCATCCCCATAACATTAAGCCTCCGTGAGAAACTTAAGCAGTGTATTATAAAAGTAACATAACTAATTCGAGTTAAGCGAAGCTAACAGGAATCAGTGATTCGCTATTGGAATGCTGGGGGCGTGCTACAGATACAGCCATTCGCAATCACATCGGCAAAACTGACACAACAAGTGATATTTCCTGTCGATTACATCCCGGGGACGACAGCAACCCAACTCACTTCAAGGGAGAGACATTTTGTTGCGTTGCGCGTATACATTGTGATATATTTGCCTTTCATTATTATGAGATTCGTATTTTCAAATTCTTACTAACTTCTATGTGTCTTCACCGCAGCAAAGTTAACCGTGGTAGGGTACCCTCTCTTGTACGTCCACATATAACTTTCGGCCGCCATCGCAACTGTGTTTTGCAACCAGTTGTCTACGAGGAGTTTTAGTAGCCGAACCGGAGTCTGTCATCAGATTCCGAGACTCTTTATATTTGCAGCAAAATCTTTACGGAAGAGGAAGCGATGTTGTAAACAAAGCTACAGTCCGCAAACAAATCTAAATGTTATGATGCTATATTATAATAATTATTTTTGCTGGGGGGTATTAAAACTCGACTTCGCCTCGTGTGATAATAGTATCACATGAGTGTTTTAATACCTAATTATAACAGAGGTTTTAAAGCATGGATGGTTATAGATAAAATTATTAACATTGGTCAAGTTTGCGCGTTTCTAGTCTTTAATAATATACTGAAATAATTATTTAAATCGAGTTACCCGGTTAATTTTATCATATTTACAAAGTCATTTTCCTGTGTTATAATAACATATTTATTATCCTTCCGGCAGAAGCAAAACATACCAACGTTAACATTTCAATCTTTAGAATAGATAAAAGTAATGTATTTTTAAGAAAGTAAGTTTACTGCTCTGTTTTGTTATTTTGATTTTAAACGTGGGTTTCGCTTCAACTTTATCAAAATAATGATCTTCTCCTCCTTGGTTACTCTTTCGTTTAATGATATCCAAGAAGTTTACTTTTTAAGTAAGTACTTTACTTACTTGTGCCTTTTAAGGGTGATCGATGAAGCTTCGGTCGGTGTGTGATTCGCAAGCTGTCTCCCGTCAATAAATATCCCTTTACGATTAATTCTTAAGTTAATACGGTGTCAAGGAGCTGGAAACTGACTGAGACTTAACGTCCTCGCTGTTTTATTAAACGATGAATTGTTATTCAGACTCTTTACAAAAAAATCTACAAGAATATAGCGTGCAATGCAATAAAGCATATGCTGCTCGCTTTATTAGAATTCTTTATCTTTTTAAAAGCGTATATTTAAAACCATGCAGTTTTCCATGCTATTTCCCGAGTATGAGTGAAAATGCTATTAGATTTCCATTTCGAGAATATTTAGTTCTGTTTTATTATTAGGAAGAGGAACACATGTTCGCGAACCCAATAAGGACAATGTGTTTTTTTGCCAGAAAATGGCGGTTCACTCTGGCGTTCATTAGTCATTGTCCTGTCCAGATAAAATATATAAATAGCTATAGTCAACACTATGGCAGCGCAGATAATCGACGAAAGAATCTTATACTATACCGGGGATTTTGATAAAATATGTTATTTCTTTTAGTGAGTTACAAAAATAATAAACAACCGAATTGAGAACCTCTTATCTTCTTTTTGAAGCCGGTATAGAACTCTTTTGACAGACAACTTCCATAAAACCACGGAACTTGATTCTTGTGATACAGTCAAAATGCACATATTTTTATGTAGGTATTGGTGGGTATTTACATACCTGGGTAGGTATGCATTAATTGCTAGATATTTTTCCGGATTTTAATCATGGTATTTTAATTATTCACACTTGAGTATGAAAACATAAACATAATTAACATACTGTCAAATTGAGTAAACTGACGTTTACGAGGAAAGTTAATTTAATCATAATATAAAAATAGTTCTGATTAATTGAAACGCTATAATTTTAAATATTGTGTTGCTAATAAAATGCACCAAATCTCTTCCAATCATTTGATGATATGACATCTTCTCAATTGTTAACGCACTACTGAATCAATAAAAGATCCGTTTACCAGCTGATGCATATGATAATATAGTTTGAGGGTGACACCTAGGGTTACCAACTTTTTTTCTATGAAATATAGTATTTTCGAAGCATCTAAAAATATAGTAGATGGCAAAACGATGGAAAAAAATATAGTATGTGGTTAAAATATGTACTTTATTATTAAGGTGAATATATTTTTGCTCTTCCATGCCTTAATAATTATTTTTTTATTTCTAAGAACGCTTTTACTGGCAAAAATATGCTTTAAGTAACATATAGTAGTTTTGCCTAGTATATTTTTTTTTGTAATATAATATTTGAACCCCTAATATAGTAGGGTTGGCAACCCTATTTTCACCCTTACTGGCCCAGGGCGAAGTCGATAACAGTTATAGCACCTCAGATATGAAGGGCCTCAAATAACTATCAAATTATATTATGTATGATTTGTTTGAACCTGGGATTACTACGGTAATACATTAAAATTTCCTTGAAGGCTCAAAGTTAGTGAATAAGGCGAAAGATATTGGTGAAAAATATTTTTTTCTCTCTTTATTTGTGGCTATAAACAGTCATACATTTTAATATAATTGTTCTGTGGTTACAGTAAAATCATAAGAGACGACCTACAGTGCCAGCAATTTAACTTATTAATTACAGAAAAACATTATAGAACAAGTATTGTACTTAAAAAAATACATAAGAAGACAAAACATATAAACATACAAAAATATTTTAATTTAAATGTTGTCTTTTAATTTTACTTTATGAAATTTCTTTATGTCACTATGTGAAATATTAAATATATCAATGTTATTGAAGTATTTGATTTATCGTTAGGACGATAAATAAAGGAATTTCGCGTGTATAATTTAGTCAGGGGTGGAGGAACAAATAGTAATCGCTTGCGCGAGGACTGCATAGGCATACGCACACGGTTCACGAAAGATACCCTACTTAAAAGCGCAGAAGAATCTATTTAATCGTTGAGTATTGTATACAAAAATATCATATCGTACATTATACGTTTATTATGAAGTGAAATATATTATGAAGCCTTATAGTGAGATTTAAGTTAAATTAAGAGAGGTCGGGCATAGCGGATTTTCCGCTCGAATTGGAGTGCCCGTCTGGGAAAGTAACTCCCACCTTACAGAAGACCACAGTAAAAAGTAAGGTTCCAGGGCTCCACGGTACTTTTGTATTGAAAGCATCTATGATAGACTATAGTGGCCGCTTACCACCATGCGGGTCCCCCCTCAGATTTGAGTGGTCTAGAGGCTCCAGACGGAGAGGAGACTCCCCCCGTGGGGAGATGCCATCCGCCTGGAATACCTCTAGAGGCACTCGTAATTTCTCTGCTTGAGGTCCCCTTAGGATCTCGCCGTCCCCAAAACAGATGATGCTGTAAAGGTGGTCATACCAACAGCATACACACTCCAAAAAAAAATATCATGCGGGTCATATGCCTGATCGCCACCCTTTTATCATAATTTAATGTTATGCTAGAAAATAAATCATTGTCCTAAAATCAAATTTAAAATTTCAACTTTTGAAACAACAAAGATGTCAATATAATTATAATGATCGTAAAAATTACGTACCTATTCTATAGTTATCGCAATGAAAGTGACACCAGTGACTTTAATATAAATTCAAAAAATTCTACGTCTCTGTGAGCTTCCGTAACAGATCTTTATAGAAAAGAAAATTAATTTTCTTTCAGTACACATCAGAACTCTTGGTGTAAAATCATATTTCGCATCTCCTCCTCTAGGGACGATTACTGTATACTGATTCTCGGATTTCATTGAGCGTTGTGTCATTTAGGGATCGCAAAATTGCTATAATAAAAACATTACCCGAAGGCATGAGAGGTGTTGCGGAATTTAGGGCAGTAGATATACGGAAAGTTCTCATGGGTAAGTTATTTTTTATTTTCATGTTATATCCATAACTGTCATGTAGGTATAGCTTAATGTAAAGTTATAATCTTTGATCAATATCACAGTTTAGAAGGCCAAATTATGATCAAATCATGAACATAAGTAAATGGACTTGGGAATTTTAATTTTAGGCTATAAGACCACATTTAAAATACTTTTTTTTTTTTAAAACACCTTCCATCACAGAATTCTCTCATTAAGGTTAAGTCAGCTCAACCAGATCTGCAAATTCACCTTTCTTATTTTTAAATTTTTCATTTTGTGTGTACATTGAATTTCAGTCCACTTATTTATGTAATACTTATAGCCATAATCACCTATCTACTCTGGGTTTTAAGCGATCCCGGCACGCTCCCAAATTGTAGGGGCGTATTTTGAAGTCTGGTGTCCCGGGCCCATTTACGATTTGCATCCCCCCACCCCCTAGAATGAGTATATCTCGTAAAAATATAGGTCAGGAACGAATATCTGAATGTCTTCATATAGCTTTTGCCGCCCCTCGCAGCCTGGCGCCTCGAGCCATGGCCCTCTTGGCTGTCATGGACCAAGGTTAAATACGCCCTTGCTTAGCGTTGTAATCTCTAAAAATCAGAAAACCGTATTTACCCGCTAAAAAGCTTGACTTATAGGCCGGACGTACACAAATAATGATTTATTGACTATAGGTTCAAATAAAACATATGTATTTAATAAGAAACTTTTAATGGTATGCGAAATCGGGTAGAGTTAAGTGTGTATGCGGGTTGCTTGCGTCAAAAGAAAAAAAAATAAGAAAAGCCGGCCGGGCCGGATGCAATCAAATTGACCCGGACTAGAGATTAAAAAGCCTAACGATGTCCGGCTTTATCTGGACGGATGGCAATGCTTCCCCTGCTCCATATATTTATAACACTGATGGTCCCTTCATTTTCTCCACAGCCAGGATGGAGGAGCGCGAGGCTGACGATGGGCCGGGCGTGCCCGACATGACGATGATGCCGCAGATCACCGAGCCGGCCATCAACGACAACCTGAAGCGCCGCTACAGACACGACCTGGTCTATGTATCCTTTGATAAATGCTTTATTAAGGAGCTAGGAGTTTTTACCCTAAATTTAGATGGAAGTTATGTGAGCCACAAAATGTTATAGGTTTTTTCTTAAATACACTCCATTGAAATATGACTTCTCAGTATGAAATGTACTACTAGTTCAGTTTAGTAACATTGCATATGGGGATTTAACTAATTTATCTTCCAATTTTGTGAACAGTAACCGGATTTCTCTAAATGCGAAGTGTGGTGATGGTGTGGTGTGTCTTTACATACACCATTTTCCAATTAATATTTTATATCAATGTATAGTATTTTTCCGTATAGCTTTTTGATATTTTTGACCGGACGTTATACAAATATATATCTAGCGAGATATTACAGCTGTTCGACGGACTAATTAACCACGACACAAGTAATCTGTTTTCTTAACCAATACACAGACTTACACGGGTTCCATTCTAGTCGCAGTGAATCCCTACAAGGAACTAGGATGTTACACGACGGTAAGAATGAATATATTGTCTTTTAGACATAAATTACTTCCATTCAACCCCATGATAAATTTAGTTTTGGAGCATTATTGGGGATCGAAGTGGGGTGATAATTTCTGAGAGATTTAAATTATCCAAAACATAATTCCTCATTTATTTTGTCTCTGTAACTTTTTTTTTCAAAACTGTTATCTTTTTGCCACAATAACATCAATAAGTGTGTACATATAATGAATGTTCACGTTTATGTTTGCAGGAGCACATGCAAAATTACAGGGGAAAAGCCTTCGGCAGTCTTCCACCACACGTGTTCGCGTTGGCCGAATCTGCTTACAGCTCTTTGCAGGTGGGTAGTTAAAACTATAAGCTAATAACAAACTTTCATTATTTGAGGAGCTGGCGAACAAAACGCTATAATTACGCATTTGGTCAAACTACTTTTTTTTACAGTCCGGAGGTTTCTGCCCCATTGAATTTGAATCTCAAATAATTTTCTATCAAAACCACCTAGAACAGTGTTAAAAATATTAACTTTATAAATTAAAAACCATGCCAAAACCTCACTGTAGGTATGTCATTCTGTTTTATACAGCTCCTGTAAAATTTAATTTTATGTAATTATACCGTTTTCAATTCAATTCAATTCGTTTATTGCATATCCACAATGTACAAAAAGATGTTAAATATAAGTTATGACAATATACGATCATTATGGACCCTGTCGGGTACGCAACTAAATGAGAGATATAAGAGAGGAGTTACATTCAAATTTCTATGTTAGTTTACAGATTAAAAGAGTTAGGTACTGAATGTCACTATTATATAAGTTGTCACTATTTATATAAGTTAAGATGAAATTCATTCAATCTATATAAACAATTAATTAATAGGCAGATAATATAATAATTGTTTTTACATCGCAAGGAATATTTCATATGTAAATTCTCTCGTTTTGTATATAATTGGCTATATACTATTTTATTCGCCAGCTCCTCATTTAAAAAATATTTATACTTATACGTAACACTTGTCCTAAAGTATTCGAAACGCGTGGCTTATGTTCGATTTACCGTAGCCGCGTAAGGTCTTACAAGCAATATGAATGAATTTGGTGTAGAGGGGGCGAGCCGTACTTAGCACATTTTAATTATAGGAAATTTTCGTATACACTTATTTATCGGTTAAGTAACCAATAATGTATAATGTATTGAGCACCTTCACGTCACTAAATAGAAAGTACAGAAGGTAATCCATATACAAATTGCGCTCGAGCAGTGCGCACATAGACAAGGCTCAAGGGACACGATATCTCGGACCACTTAGGATCAGGAACGCTAACACGAATTTTAAAAGCTCCGTAATCGTATCCTCATCGCCAAATGTTGTATGGAAAAAGCTAGTTTGTACTTACGTCCGATAGGGGCGCTGCTTAGTTTTCAAAGAAACTGACAATGCATTATACGATGAGTCTACGGAGCTTTCAAAATTCGTACTTGGGCCTTTGAGCTCGTTCACGTTAAGCGTTTGGTCCCGACTGTATGAAACTTCAGTAGTCAGAACTCGTCTCGTCAATCGCAACTGTGATCCGTTCAGCTTTTTATCCATTTCTTCCTTGTGATTCGAAATGATATAATAAAATTTGTGTGGTTTAAACTACGATACGAGTGAAATTTTTATAATCTTTAAAAAAAAAAAATTTCTCAACTATAAATCGAACCCGGGCCGCAGCATAGCAGGTGAGCTCTCGACCACTGAACCACTAATGCTTGTGGTCTGAATTATTTAATAACGTAAAATGTAATGCGACCATCTAAAGATGAACGAAATACATTTTGGCAATATAATAAAAGTTTCACTTTAAAACAATCAGCAGACGGAACATTGACAGGCTAATGATGATAATAAATTGTTAACTAAGTTAACTAACCATTAGCGACACTTACAGAATGGCGAGAAGAACCAATCAGTGGTGATATCTGGTGAAAGTGGCGCAGGGAAGACTGAAACAACCAAACTGATTCTGCAATACCTGTGCGCCGCTGGAGGACAGGCGTCCTGGGCCGAACAGCAAATCCTAGAAGCGAACACCGTCTTGGAAGCTTTTGGTTAGTAACATAATAAATAACATCACAAATTCGCTACAAAAAACTATTTCATATAAAGCCTATTTTTCTATTCCATCCTTCAGTTTATTTATGAAACGAAACATTTATAAAGATGAGGCGATACGAACCTGATATAACATTTACAAATTCAGTATCGATTTGGTTTCGCTATTGTCGTCTAAGATATTACTGAGTTCCTAGTGGTATTATATCCCACCAAAACATTTCTATGTAAAATGTTGCCAAGACAAGACCATATGACTCGCACTGTCAAAAAGTTATCAGATCTCACGTAGAGCCAAGCTTCTAACTCTACACGCCCTAGCTCTACAAAGGCTAACTTCACAAGCTCCTTAGTCAAAATATGTAACTTGGCCATTTTACTACATTCACATGGGCGTAAAGTGAAAAATAAATCCACTGTTCATTACTTTTATGTTATGCAATAGTTATTGTAGTAAAGTAGGGTAGTGCCCTTGCCCTTCTGTTGGTTCGTTATGTCGTCTTGGCGGGGCCACTACCGTGCCCCCAAATTGAATATGATTTGGAATTTGTTCTCGGATAGAATAATCAGGGTCTCGATGTTTATTGGTTACTAAAATAACACAAATACCACAAATACTTCAGACGAAAAAAATAACAAATAAATACTCAAACTTTATTTAGGTACTGGCTGTAATATTATAAATGCGAGTCTGAATACGAGATCGCTGAACTGCTTTTGATTTCACCATCTCAAAAGCTCCGGTTACTGATCCCAGTCTTGTGGGGACTGATCTGTTAAATCAATGTTGTTAATCCAAGCATTGCATGAGGATCCTTTTGTTTAATATACCTATATTATGTTAAGAAATAGAATAGAATCTAGATTCTAGAATCTAGAAGCTCGTGATGCATTTCCGTTTCATCTTTTTCCATTTACACCCCGTCCGAAAAGAAGTTTCACTTCAATAACATTTGATTTCATTTGCAGGTAACGCGAAAACCGTGCGCAACGACAACTCCTCTCGTTTCGGCAAGTTCGTGGAAGTCCGCTTGGATCATCGCGGCGGCATCAAGGGCGCTGTCCTCAGGGACTTCTTGCTGGAGCGGGCCAGGATCACCGGCCCCGCGCCCCGGGAGACCAACTACCATGTGTTCTACCAGCTGGTCGAGGGAGCTAAGGTAATTTTATGAGATAAAGTTTGCACTGCGCCGGCTGTGCTGCAGGTGCCGCTCCACATGTGCGAGGGGCTGTTTAAAGTGCTCGCAGCGGTTCTGTGGCTCGGGAACATACAGATCCAGGTATGTTGAAAGGTAGAAGTTGGGACATATAATGCTTGTGGCGCTGCAACTTGTGGCTCGGAAACATACAGATCTAGGTATGTTGAAAGGTAGAAGTTGGGACATATAATGCTTGTGGCGCGGCAACTAGCGCTAACAGTGCTGCAGGTTCCGCTTCTCATTGGCAGGTAACGCGAAAACCGTTCGTAACGATAACTCGTTTCAGCAATTTCGACCATCAAGCGCGCCGTCCTCAGGCTGTTCTTGCTGGAGCGGGCTAGGAACACCGGCCACGCGCCCCGGGAGACCAACTATCATGTTTTCTACGAGCTGGTCGAGGGAGCTAAGGTATTTTTATATATCAATTCTTACAGCAAACCTCTTTTTTTTTTACAACTCGGCAAAATCACTTGTTGTTGCCACTTGCTATAGCTGTATAATTATTAAGATGTCGCTGCTTATCTTAAATTTGTTGTTTGTGATTTTAACAATAACCAACGTGTGAAGAAGAACAAGAACTCTTTAGAATAAGCGCACATTGAGTCACTAGACGCAGCCACCGATCGCCGCCGCTAGTGGCATAGTGGCGAGGCCATTTTCCATTTATTTCCGTCGAGAGCTTGCAGGGGTCGAATGCGTTTATGAAATGGAAACGGTTTTGATTTCGTTGTTGTCGGTTATCATACGGAGACGTAGAAAACGTCGTCGACAATTTTAAACAAAAAAAAACAACTATTGAAATATTGTTCAAACAAGAAAATAGACTAAAATATTCATTAGGAAGCGCTTCATCGGACCAATAAATGTAAAACTAAATATGTAAATAATATTTCATAATAACGAGGCAAATTACCGAATTCTTGAAGAAGGTTTTACCATTTAACATCTAAATTTTATGTTATTCCTTCACAGCACAACGTAGAGCTCCGGTCGACGCTACGTTTACGCGACGATATTCAGTACAAGTATCTGACGCCCGAAGAAGACGGTGCCCGCAAAGGTCGAGCGAGCGAGCAAGGAAAGCTTGAAGCGCTGCAACTAGCGCTGACAGTGCTGCAGGTGCCGCCCCACATGTGCGAGGGGCTGTTTAAAGTACTCGCAGCGGTTCTGTGGCTTGGGAACATACAGTTCCAGGTACGTTGGAGATAGAAGTGAGACACATAGATTGAAGCGCTGCACTAGCGCTGACTGTGCTGCAGGTTAAACTGCTCACAGCGGTTCTGTGGCTCGGGAACATACAGTTCCAGGTATGTTGTAGATAAAAAGTGGACTCTAGCTTGAAGCGCTGCAGCAAGCGCTTACTATGCTGCAGGTTAAAGTTCTCGCAGCGGTTCTGTGGCTCGGGAACCTACAGTACCAAGTATGTTGTTGATAGAAGATGGACACATAGCCTGAAGCGCTGCAACAAGCGCTAACTGTGCTGCAGATTGAAATTCTTGCAGCGGTTCTGTGGCTCGGGAACATACAGTTCCAGGTATGTTGTAGATAGAAGTGAGACACATAGCTTAAAGCGCTGTAACTAGCACTGACTGTGCTGCAGGTTAAACTGCTCGCAGTGGTTCTGTGTTCACACCCTTTACCCCGCAGGCGAGAACTCAGTTAAGCGGTCTACCTATAAATACTTTTCTTTTATATATTGTTTAGACAATTCCAATTCCCATTGGGGAATGTACGCAGGACTCAGTTAAGCGGTGTCTACCTATAGTAAAGTGTCGTATTGGGAGGTTGCATTTGACATAATATCGCTTTTCGATTCGGTATAGTAATCAATTGACCAATTTGAAGTTTGTATAGTGGTATGCACGCTCTTCATAGTATGGTTCATAGAAACATATGTTTGTCCCTTTTTTGGTCTATATGTAAAAATAAGATAACTATATGAGTCGCCTTTATGAGCTTAATTTAAACTCTTTCTATGTTTTAGTTCATGTTGTGCGGTCGCATTGTTCTCTATATCTATGGTTTGCGGGATGTTTTAATGTAAGTTTGAATTTCTGCTCACTGAGTCATGCTGCGAGACTGTCCCGTAATATCATTTAGAAACAAAAAAATATAGTTGCCTCTTTTTGAGTGACGATGGGTTTACTTAGGTTATTTGGAAATAGTTATTTACAACTTGTCGTTAATTATTACATTAGGACGTCGACGGAGAGCGCACAACCCTAGCACCGGAGGACGCGGAGGCGGTGGACGCGGTGGCAACCCTGCTAGGGCTGGCGCCTCCCACCGCCCAGCGAGTGTTGCTGGAACGACAAATCAACGTCCGTGGAAATGTCACTGATATACCGCTACGGTTGCCTGAAGTAAGTGCATCCTGATAAAAGAAAATCCTTTGAAATTAAGACTACTATTATCTTCTTCTATCTAATATATAAAATTCACGTGTCACGGTGTGCGTAATTGAACTACTCCGAAACGGCTCAACCGATTTTCGTGAAATTTTATACGCATATTCAGTCTGAGAATCGGACAACATCTATTTTTCATTCCCCTAGAGGTTAATGGTGGTCCGGTCCACCCTTAAATATCTTTTTGGACATTTTTTTTTGTTTTTATTTTTTTATGAAACATCACACAAAAATACATACAACTCTAAATTTTCACCCTTCTTCCACCAACCCCTCATTTTAAATGGCGGTACGAAATTCGTTGGGACAGCTAGTCTAAAGAAGAAAGTGACCGAGTGATTGATTGATAGATATATCAACGCGCAGACCCAATCGGCTGGGTCTAGAAACTTCAAATTTGGCACGTAGGTTGCTTATGAGGTTTAGAAGTGCACTAAGAAACGATTTTTTTAAACACAGGGTGTGTTTAAGGGTTTAAAACAGGGTTTGAAAGTTTGTATGAAAAAATCTTGTTCTTTGAGTTAATAGACATAAAACTTGGTACGAATACTTATCTAAATAAATTATAAAGCTTGCCATTTTAAATTGATGGAATCGCAGAATGGATAAAAAATAAACAACCATAATCACTAATTCCACGCGGACGAAGTCGTAGGCGTCCGCTTTTATAGTATATATACTTATATGTATTCCAAACACGTATTTAGAAAGAAAAGAAAGAAAGAAAGAAATTTCTTCTTTCTTTCTTTCTTTCTTTCTTTCTTATTATTAAGACTATAATAACAACTCTTGCTAATTAACGGCACCAGATTATTATATCCTTTTACTGGATGTTGATTATTGAAACTGACCGTTGAAGGACCTTTTATTTATCTGTCATCCTTTTTTTTTATTTATTTATTTCCAATATAACTCTGTCTGTTCTGGGTCAACTTGCAAAACATATAACAACTCCCCTGTGAGGTCAATCTGCACTACATATAGTACCTCTCCTTTCAAACCAGTGCTATCTGAGAACACAACTAGAATAAAACAATTATGTTCTCGGATAAGTTAGGATGCGGCTTTGGATTAATGTTAAGGAATTATTGTAATGAAAGAATTACTAATATATGTATGCCAGGTAAATCAATAAATGACATTATAAGTGAACTGAATCAGTATGATGCGGACAGTTTGACAAACATAGTTATTATGTGTGGTGACAGCTCTAAAATAAGAGCAAGAGATATGTATAGAAATATAGAGGTGCTACTTAACTATCAGTCTAGGTGCAAGTGTAAAATAATAATAAGCGCTTTCCCATATGCAGAAAATTTAACTAGGGAACAAAACAAGCGCATCTTTAATTTGAATTTAATAATTTATAATTTATTAAATAGTCATAGTGACAATTTTTTATATTTTGATATAAATAAATATATTAGTAAATTTAAGTTGACCACAGATACTATGTATCTTGCAAAAAAATATAAGACTCAGATAGCTACTTTGTTAGCTTTTAATATACAAAACTCAGTTATACATGGTATAACAAAGTCTATGCAACTGGATTGTTTTAGTGTCAGCACTAATAAAATTATTAATTTAGAAAATAGGGTGACCAACTCAAATTTAAACTGAGGGGTACGACAACAGCCAAATCCAACAAAATTAATATTATTTATCAGAATATTCAAGGGTTGGCTGGCAAAGATTTAGAATTAGAACTATTTGCAAAGAGCCAGGATATTCATGTTATCTGTTTATCTGAACACTGGCTTAAGTCTTCTGAGGTGTCTTTTAGCATAAACAATTTTCAAATGATAAGTGCATATGTTCGTACTGCAGCTATACACGGTGGCACATTAATTTAGTAAATAAAAATATAAAAACTAGGGATAGGAAGGACATAGTTGGCCTCTCAGTAGAACGTATTATTGAGCTATCCTGTGTTGAATTCAGTGAATTTATTATAGTATGTGTATACAGACCCCCTCTAGGCAACATTAGTGTTTTTGAATCAGTGATGGAGAATGTGAATGAAGTTGGTGACTTCAATATTAACATTCTTGAAAATAATTCAATGTCAATTCGCTTAACATCACTATTCAAATGTTTTAATTTGGTACATCAATTTTTTGAGCCTACTAGAGTAACATCTCATTCAGCTACTTGTTTGGATAATATATTTACTGATTATAATCCAGTTAGTAAATCAATTATTAATTGTATCACATCAGATCATTACGGCTTAAAAATAACATATAATACAAATGACACTACTAAGCCCAAATTCATTGAATTAAGACCAGTAACAAATAAACGTTTAGAAAATTTTCAAAACAATATTGATGATAAAATGTTTCTAATGCCATGGACACATGAGGATCCTAATATTCTTTACGGCAATATGTTCACTTTGGTTAAGAAAGAATTCGATAAGGCTTTTCCGCTTAAAACTTTGAAATTAACTCAAAAGTTGAACTTCTGTGACTGGGCTACGTCTGGTATTTATAAGAGCAGAAATAAACTTTATGATTTGTACTACTTAAGGAAGTACAATCACTCTCAGGGTTTCATTGATTATGTTAAAAGGTACTCAAAAACATTCAAAAGTGTATGTGCAACAGGCAAATCCAATTACATAAAAAATAAAATCATAAAATCTAATAATAAAATTAAAACGACATGGAATGTTATTAATAGAGAAACTAGTAAAGAAAGAACCCTCGATGATGGGATCGCACTTAAAGTAGATAATATTCAAATTAAAACAAAAGAACAGATTGCCAATACTTTTAATGAATATTTTGTTAATATACCATTAATCACTACTTCTAATTTGAATTCGACGCCAGCGGGTGCTAAGAGTTTGCTAGAGACGTGTGTGCCTCGGTGTAATAACCTGTTTACGTTTAAACATGTTGATTTTATGGATATTATAAAATGCTTTAACTCACTTAAAAAGAAAAATACGTGTGATTTGTTTGGAATGTCTATTAAAATTACTAAAAGTATAATAACAGTTATCGCTCCTTATCTTGCAGATATATTCAATAAGTGTATTGATCAAGGTGATTTTCCAGACCTTATGAAATATAGTAAAGTTATCCCTCTCTTCAAAAATAGATGATCCCGGTAATTACAGACCTATATCAATATTACCGGTATTAAGTAAAATTTTCGAAAAAAATATTTTAGATCAATTATTATCGCATGTCAGTTTGAACAAACTGTTACATAATAATCAATTTGGCTTTACTAGGGGTAGATCAACAACGGATGCGGGTGTTGCACTTATAAGACATATAATGGAAGCCTGGGAGAAGTCGCAGAATGTTCTTGGGGTATTCTGTGACTTATCCAAGGCGTTTGACTGCGTTGAGCACCAGACGCTGATGTTAAAATTAAATCACTATGGAATCAAAGGCGCAGCCCAAAACTTGCTACTATCGTATCTCAGTTCCAGAGTTCAAACTGTAGAGGTAAATGGTGTTAAGTCATCTGGATCTTATGTGAAAATGGGCGTTCCCCAGGGATCGATTTTAGGTCCGTTTCTATTTTTATTGTACATAAACGATTTGCCATTTTTTGTGGAAAAATTGTGTGAGATCGTATTGTTTGCTGATGATACTTCTTTATTATTTAAGGTTGACCGATACAAGAATAACTTTGACGATGTAAATAATGCTCTCTCACAAGTATTGCACTGGTTTAATGTAAATAACTTAAAATTAAATGCAAATAAAACCAAATGCATTAAATTCACTTTACCTAATGTTAGAAGCGAAACCATTAGAATTAAACTAAACAATGAAAACCTAGATTTAGTTGAGTCAACGATATTCTTAGGTATAACCATAGACTCGAAATTGCAATGGTATCCTCATATTTCTCTGCTAGCTGGTAAACTTAGTTCAGCAGCCTATGCCATACGTAAAATAAGACAACTTACTGATGTAGCTACTGCTAGAACTGTATACTTTAGTTACTTTCATAGTATTGTATCCTATGGTATTATTCTCTGGGGATCAGCAGCCGATATTGAAACTATATTTATCTTGCAAAAAAGAGCTATAAGGGCTATTTATCAACTTAGTTCTAGAACATCTCTTAGAGAAAAATTTAAAGAAATCGGGATTTTGACTGTTGCTTCTCAATTCATTTATAATTGCATACTTTTTGTTCGAAGCAATATTAACTATTATCTAAAACACAGTGACATACATTCTTTTAATACAAGGAATAAAAATAAACTCAAGATACCAAATTACAGGTTACAGAAGGTTCATAAATCATTTATGGGTCAAGGTATACATTTCTATAATAAGATTCCTATTGATATCCTTGATTTGCCTCCTCATAAATTTAAAATACACATTAAGAATTGTTTACTTAAGAAAGGATATTATACTGTCAATCAATATTTGAATGATAAAACGGCCTGGTTGTAATTTTACTTGTAGATAATTTTTCAAAAGTTATATTAAAACTAAGGCTCCCAGTTATAGAAAGAGTTTTGAAGAGAACCTTGCACTTACTCCCTTTCATATACTTGTTCATTTTATTTTGAAAATTGTTTCTTGCTATTTTGGGACTTATCTTTGCAGTTATTGTTAGTAAATTCATTGATTGTTACATATTTGACATTATGTGATGGAAGTTGACCTCAACACATGTTTGCAAGTTTGATGTCAACTTTCAATTGGACGACACTGTATGAAATAAAACAGGGAGAAAAAAGCAGCCCTTGCTGAGTTTCTTGCCGGTTCTTCTCAGTACAAGGTCTCCCGCCGTAGTTTTGCGAACCGATGGCGTAGCTTTTCGACATTCACAAGTGCTTGTAACAGCCTAGACTGAATAAACGATATTGAATTTTGAATTTTTTTTTTTTTAACATTTAACTTAGTTTACGATTTCTTTTTTTTCTTTTTTCAACCTGTTTTCACAGTTTTGTGATAGATATTTAAATGTGTATTGTACGCGTTGCGCTTATTTCCATTTATACATATCAATTTAATGACATAAACTATATATTACTAAACATCGAGTAGTTACATGTTTTATAAAAATATATATCTATTTTATAATTCCATTTCTTCATTACCCAGGCGCGCGAAAATCGTCACGCCATGGCGCGAGCGTTGTATTCGCGAACGTTCGCGTGGCTTGTTCGCCACGTGAACAGTACGTCGGCACCCGGACGGGAAGCGCCGCGAGCACTCGGCGTTCTAGACATATTCGGCTTCGAGAACTTCGCGTGCAACTCACTCGAACAACTCTGCATCAACTACGCCAACGAAAAGCTGCACATGTTCTTCAATAACTACGTGTTTGCTCTGGAACAAGAAATCGTAAGTATATAGGCGTAAAGAAGTTTATATAAAGCTCGGTTGAAAACTAAAGCGAGTTCTCGATATACCCGGCATATTCGGCATAGAAAACTTTGCGTGCACCTTTCTAAAGTAACTCTGCATCTGTTGCCAAAATTACAAATTGCTAATACAAATAGTCATGTGATGTGCTAGCATTAGACTTTTAGATTTACAAAAGATATTTGCTTTTTTTAAAGCTCAAGGCCCAATTGCAGCAAATTGTTAAATCTGCATTCACCTGAAACTAGATATATCCCATATATCAAAACGTCAATGTCAATTTTACATCATTGTATGGGCTAAATAGCTAGCTAGCTTTAGTAAAAATTTAGATTTAGTATAATGGCTTAGAAAGGTAAAAAAATATACATGTATCGAATTTTAATTCAACTTTGTATTTTCAGTACCGTCAAGAGGGAATAGTGTACAACCAAATCCAGTTCACAGACAACGCTGCCTGTCTGGAACTTTTAGAAAAACCGCCTAGGAGTTTGCTCAAATTGCTGAGCGAACAATGTCACATGCCAAAGGTAAATATTTATACAACGAAACAAAGGACTACCATTTCTATTATAATCCTTAAAAATATTACACGGCATACATATATAAATTTAATATATCCTTTTATTAATGAAATAATCTGCGTTATTCCATAACGTGGTCTAACGCCTTCGATGAAACCTATTGCTGCCACTTTTTTCTACTTATCTAACAAGTTGACAGCATCATTTTTAACTTAAGTTAAGGCAGAATAAGTTCTTACAACAAATCTAACTTTTATAATGTTTCTTTAAAGGGATCCGACGGTGCCTACCTTACCAACATCCAAGGTGAATTCGGCGAACACCAAAGCTTCGTGAAAGGCTCCCGTAGAAAATGGGAGGAAGAGTTCGGAGTCCAACATTACGCCGGGGCAGTGACGTACAGTGTCCAAGGGTTCGTTGACAAGAATCGGGACACACAACAAGACGCCTTCATTGATCACTTGAGCAGATCTGCTAACCCTTTTGTGAGGGAACTTGCTGATTATGTGCAAGAGTTGGCACCGCCTGGGCATGTAAGTTTATTTTTTCATTTTATAAGTATTACGAATAATGACATATTAGCATTTGTATAATAATATATGTAAATAAAGTAATGTACCGTAATTTATTGCGTGGTCCTTCGAGCTAGATAACTGTCAATTTGTATATTTTTCACTAGTTTCGCGGGATATAATATGGGACTTGCAAAAATTATATGTCTAAAAGTCAGAAGAAGTAAAAACCCTATTTAATTGCGTGGTCCTTCAAGCCGGATAGTCATAGATTCATATAATTTTCGCAGGATATATCACTCTCGAGTCCTAATTCCACCGGCACTACTCAGAGAGGCACCTCCAAAGGTCGCCCGACAGTGGTGGACACTTTCAGGGCTCAACTACAGTCTCTAGTCGACATGCTACAAGCCACCGATGTTTGGTAAGTGATCGTGGCAAGCAAGGAAATCTAAAGAAAATTTTACTAGAAAAAATTCCACGGGACTCGAACCCCCATCTTCCTTTATCTGGGCGGATGCACTGACCATTATGCTACCGCGGCCTCAAATTCTGCTGGTGCTGTCGAATACTTTCTAGTATTTCTTAGGCTGCAAGATTATTATTTTGCGAGATTTCTTGAGATTTAAATATCTAGCAGCTAAATGCTTAAAATATAAATAAAATTTTAGTTATCTATATTATTTAAATTATATATGATACCTATATATTAATTCCAGAGTTTAGCAATTTGATGTGACACCGCTTGTTATGTTTTGAAATGGAAACTTCTTTAGCGGCGTTGTACACTTTTTTGTTTGTAATGGGTAAAAAATGTTAAACTCGCGTCAGGACACGGAGAGTAGACAGCCAGCGCGGCGTAGGAGAGGAAGTATCCCCCTCTCTTTCTACGGTACGGCGAAAATGTATGCCTGCGCTTGCTGTTTTCGCGGCGCAGGGCGCTTGTGCGTATGTTCGTGTGTGTTTATGTTACAGCGTGCCACGCGCATCCATGGATGGTGACAGCTGATGGCTGTCTGTGTAGTGCTCACACTACTGTGTATTCGTAAAATTCGTGTATATAAAGTGTTACTGATAATTAAAGCAATTCGTGCAAAATTATACCCTAACTATTCCAAAATAACAAAAATGCACAATGTTAATATTCAAGTTTTCACTTCTGCCAGCACTCCCGGAGTGCAACTCGTCGTTTTTTTATGTTCTCATAGCCCGTAAAGGATAAAGTCTGACTGGAGCCAATAAGTTTGTATTCAGTATTGATTTTAGCTTAAACCTGATTTCTATTTGACAACTTTTAAAAAGTTGCAAATTATACGCAAGTAAGTTTCGACCATACTGAATTGAAATTTTAGAAGACAAATTTTGTGAGTAGTTATTTATTATTTAAGAAACAGTTAGATGTTTGGAGCTTTTAGACAATAATCGCGGAAGCTCCATATTTAAACTAACAGCAAAAATCTCTTTATTAAATAATCGAATTCAGATGTCGTATTATGAACTGTTTTACGCCCGGCAAGGAATAGCTTACGATGTATGAAGTTCTACTGTATGCACGCTGATCTCGCGCTCTTACAACGGAACTTGCCTGTCGTTAGGAGTGCACAATACGGCCTTAAGCCTTTAAGGCCTTTAAAAAGCTTATTACAAAATGTCTGATTATATTACAGACAAAAATGCTTGGGTTTGAACTCTTCCAATCATTCCAACAGGTTTTCTATATTAAATAAATCATGAATGTATTGACGCTGTAACAACATAATGATTTATAAATGTTGTTACATTATACTTTTAATGTTGTGGAGTTTTTTCGCTCGTTTTTCTCGCAGCTAAAAATAAGTCCAATAACGAATGGTAGGGAAAAAATGTTTTGGTCTATTCAAAAGAGTTGTACTTTACATCCGATTTGAATAAAGATATATTGATTTCTGATTTCTAAGCTATTTTTGTATTGGCGAACACAGGTACGTCCGCTGCATAAAGCCCAACGAGAACAAGGAGGCGGGTCGGTACGACGATCAACTAGTACTGGAGCAACTACGTTACCTCGGAATGAACGAGATAGTTCGCATCCGTCGCGATGGATATCCCGTGCACCTGCCCGCGCCACACTTCCAGGCGAGATACCGCTGCCTGTTGCCGCACCCGAGACCCGAGCGGCCTGAGCCTGCGTGAGTACATTACTTAGATGTTTTTATAGTAATATTAGCAGTCCCAGCGAACTTCGTACCGCCATTTAAAAATAGTGGTTGCTGGTAGAAGGGTGAAAATTTTGAGTTGTATATATTTTTGTATGATATATCATAAAAAAATAAAAACAAAAAAATATTTCCAAAAAAAAATTATAATTTAAGGGTGGACCACCTCCCTTAACATTTATGTATATATATATATGGATGAAAAATAGATGTCCGATTCTCAGACCTATTGAATATGCATAAATAATTTCACGAAAATCGGTCGAGCCGTTTCGGAGTAGTTCAATTACGCACACCGTGACATGAGAATTTTATATACTCACACCAATTACCCTAGCCCCAAAGTAAGCACTGTAAGGCTTGTGTTATGGGGTACTAGGGTAACCGATAGAATACATATACCGTACATATAAAAGTATATTTATTTAGAAATACATATTAAACATCCATGACTGGAGTGCAAATGCTCGTATTCATCACACAAACATCTGCCCCGACCGGGATTCGAACCCGGGACCTCTCGAGTCGGTGACACCATGAAACCCGGCGAACGAACCACTCGGCCACGGAGGTCGTCCAATTAATAATTATACGTCATTGATATCTATAAAATTATGCACTGCCTGTTGACTCGCCAGGAATGACACAATGAACGAATTAATAACAGTGCGCCATCCGTCCGTTTGCCTGTCGCCCATCATGTCTATGACTCTAATAATTGCTGTATTTCAAATGATAAATCTTGTACTATGGTCAAAGACTGGGGGTCTTTGCGCAATGTATGCGAGAATCTCGATTATCGGAACGCGTTCGGTAGTGGCAGTGATTTCTTAAAAACCTTTAAGGTTAATACGACGAAGGTATTTTAACTTTGCTTTAGGAGTGATTTATCGGCCCTAATCTGTGTTATATAGAGAAAGGTTTTAAGAAAAATAAATCGGTATATAGTACGGAATCTGTCACGAACGATTCACACTTTGCCGGTTTTTAATTTCTTACAAACCTTTCTCTATATAAACTTGAAATAAAGGATTAAATAGGAAGACAAATGGGAATCACTTTGAAGTGTCTATTTTGTTGAAATGAAATTAGACATTGTGTATCATTTGAATCATAAGGCGACTTCTGTTTTATTTTTAGTACTATCATGGCAGTAGTGCAAGCGCCCAAAGACGACTGGCAGATCGGCCACACGAAAATTTTCATGCGGAGCTCCGTACACTCGCCGCTCGAAGCTAAGAGAACGTTCCTCCTTCAGTCCTCCGCATTGCTTTTGCAAAAGGTAAATATCATAAAAATCAGTTGCATGCAAGTAAGAAAAAATATAACCATGTTCTGCTTGAAATTGCCTTATTATAATCACACTGAAGTGTAACTATTTGGTTATCAATTTCATATTGATTTACAGTAGACAAATTGAACTTTACTTGCTTGGTAATAAAGATCATTATTACCCCTTTTCATATTTTGGGAGAGATAACGAGGAGAATCTTGCCAGTCCACAAACAGCGTAAATGCATTATCTCATAGTTGCTATTATATTAAAACTGATACTTTCGTTATCCAGTGGTACAAGGGCTCAATAAAACGCCGTCAATACCTCCAATGGCGGAACGCCGTCATAGTCCTACAGTCCGCGTGGCGCGGTTGGAAGGAACGAGCCGCCTTCTTAAGGCTAAGAAGAGCTGCACTAACGCTACAGAGGCACCTACGCGGGGCCTTCGCTAGGGAGGTCGCTGCGGCCCTCAGGGAGATGAAGAGGGTCAACCAGGAGATCAAGCTGCGGGAAGAGAGGAATAGGTAAGAAATTATAGCCAAAGATTAACAGACACGTGCTCAATAAAACACCAACAATATCTCCAATGGTGGAACAGAGTGATAGTCCTGCAGTGGTTGGAAGGAATAGGCCGCCTTCTTAAATCTAAGAAGGGCTGCACTGACGCTACAGAGACACCTGCGCGGGGCCTTCGCTAGGGAGGTCGCTGCGGCCCTCAGGCAGATGTAGAGGGTCAACCAGGAGATCAAGCTGCAGGAAGAGAGGAACAGTTAAGGAATAGGCTAGTTGCCTATATTTTAAATAGTGGTTAATAAAATACCTTGATGTTTATTTAACCTCAAAAAAATATTATTTTAAATAAAAAAGTACATTAGCAATATGTATTTTGTATTTTAAAAAACTTATTCAAATTTCCCTCGAAAACGCTCTAGACTGTCATGGCGTCTAGAATGACGTCACGCCGTGCAAAGCAAACAATACGCTGTACGCCGACTATTAAAATTATTTAGTTAAAAATGAATCCATCTTATTACAAGTACTGCATAGTGTCCTAGTATAAAAGGAGAAGCATAAAACGCCAGACAAATTATTTATATGCCACAAATGCGGAAAAAATGGTTAGAACTTACAAGGAGGGATGGTACCTATTCATTGTTTATCAACAAATACAAGAATAATTTTGTGATGAACATTTTGATGTAAGTATTTTGCATAACATAATCAATGAAATCAAAATGTTATACAAGCCGGATAAATTATATTGCATTATATTGATAAAACAATGACAATAGGTTGAGGTTAGGTAAGTTGATTTAATTTTATGGTATGATTTAGAGTCTATTTGAGAGTTCAGTATATTTATTCATAATAATAAACACTTCTTATTCTTGTTCTAGTTGCCAAATGATATGCTTAATTATGTCGAGTAGTTATGCGATAAATTTTTTATTTTGGTTAAAATATTATTATTTTCTTCGGTAAATTCCAATTCCATGGATATATTAGCCTTCCTTTCAATAATTATCTGAAAACAAACTGATAAATTGTATCAAAGTAACAATAACATGAATGAGAAATCAATGAAATGTATGGAAACGGCAACCACAAGTAATGTTTTGCACGTGGTGACGTCAGTCTTTCTGATTGGTGTTTGCCGTCACGTGATCTAATGCCTATTTTATTCAAATTTATTTTCTAAAAATAATAATAATCTTTAATTATTATGATAAATAGCTTTATTTTTTGTTATCTGTATATTATAATTCATATTTAGAAACTGTAACCCATTCGATTTATTGTTATTAGTTGACACAAGCCTATTATAGCCAAAGATTAACAGTCAACACTACTTCCAATGGCCGAATGGAGGAGGAGGAGAGGATTGTGCATGTGTGCGTATCGCTTTTGGCTAGCACTACGCTTTTGGCTCTTAAGTTTATTGGAGCAAAGGTACATCATTTTGCGTCTCTTTCCACCTTGTAGGATTGTCGTAATGGCATGATATCTCTTTTCCTCACTCTGTCAGTCTTTTAATACTAAGTCTATGGCCCCAGCAGTGAGAACATTGAGAGATGATTTATTTGTTTGAACACAGCCTAGCAGAGAAAGTGTGCGCCGAGCGTGCGGAGCTTGAGACGATGGCGGAACAGCTGCGCGGCCTCGCTGTGGGCGGAGTGAACGGAGCCCGTACGGACTCACTCAACCTGGACAATCTGTTCGATTTCCTCGCCGAGGTATGGATGAATTTTACTTTATACTTACTGTTACTTCGAAGATTGTATACGTAAGCGCACGGAGCTTGAGACGTTGGCGGAACAGCTGCGCGGCCTTGCTGTGGGTGGAGTGAACGGAGCCCGCATAGACACACTCAACCTGTACAATCTGTTCGATTCCTCGTCGAGGTATGGATGAATTTTACTTTATACTCACTGTTTCTTCGAAGATTGTATACGTAAGCGCGCGGACCTTGAGACGTTGGCTGAATAGCTGCGCGGCCTCGCTGTGGGCGGAGTGAACGGAGCCCGCATAGACTCACTCAACCTGGACAATCTGTTCGATTTCCTCGCCGAGGTATGGATGAATTTTATTTCATAATTACTGCTACTTATAAAATTGTATACGTAAGCGCGCGGAGCTTTAGACGTTGGTAGAACAGCTGCGAGGCTTTGCTGTGGGCGGAGTGAACGGAGCCCGCACGGACTCACTCAACCTGGACAATCTGTTCGATTTCCTCGCCGAGGTATGGATGAATTTTATTTCATAATTACTGCTACTTATAAAATTGTATACGTAAGCGCGCGGAGCTTGAGACGTTGGTGGAACAGCTGCGAGGCTTTGCTGTGGGCGGAGTGAACGGAGCCCGCACGGACTCACTCAACCTGGACAATCTGTTCGATTTCCTCGCCGAGGTAAGGATCATGGCAAATCTTTTGGACTGGTTTCGGACCTGATTTTGTTCGTGTTGTTGTATCTAGGGTGTTTAATATAGTTGCCTTCGAACTATTACTATACATTCGCCTCTCTCATATTTTATTTTATATTTTTTACAGTTACAGTAAATGCTTGTCTATTGTTTAAGTCTATGATTGCACCATATAAACTGTGTTCTAAATACGTACACAGGTTCCTGCGCAGCGTGGAGCGCCCGACGGCCAACCAGACAGGCAGCCTACTATCGCCGAAATCGGCGCCTCCATGGAACGATTAGCCGACGATCTACATCAGGAGGTATGACCATATAAATTAGAAAAAAAACTAGCGATCCACCCCAGCTTTGCAATTTTGATTGACAAATAGAAACAGATATGCGGCAACGGAATTTGTTAACATTTGCATTTTCTGTTATTTTGTATGAGAAGTGGCGTTAACTTTGAAAATTTTTATTAGTTAAATGTTGAATAAAAAATATTCGATCATTTTAATGGTTGAAAATATCAGTTAATATTTTTATTGAAATTATGTGAATATTTTTCACAAGTTGATTTATTGTCATTATTTTATCGAATGTCTGTGTTTTTTTTATTAATTAGTTTATTTTAACGGTTGATGAATTACTTCAACAACTCTACTTTGTATGTTATTATTCTTTATTTACATCTATAGATACATATATAATAGGTATACACCCCAGCAAATTTATTTAGCATCGACCATAGATAAAGAAGCCTGCGCAGTCAGCAGGACATCTTGAGTAAACATTCATATAAATTTGCGCAGTGTGTTTTTGTATGTAAAATTGCTTACATACAAGAACATACTGCGCAAGTTTATTTGAATGTTTACTCAAGATGTTTGCTACCTATATCTCTTGGAAATGGGTGAATTTATTCTTGTCTTGTTCTTTACGATATTACAAGCGTCTGCACTTATGCTTATAAAAGTACTGTAGCAATAAGAACACGAAACATGATGGAAGATGAAAATGAGGATGAGGAAGTGATAAAAAAATAACTATCCTAATTTAAAATTTTATTGATAACATTATAAATTTGCTTGGTCCCACAGTTGGAGCATGTCCTAGCAGCGGAAATGAATGAACTGAGCAAGTCTCACACGGAAGCTCAGCGGAAGCCAGACGGCGCGCCTTCAGAAGCGATCCCCCCTCCCCCTCCCTCAACCCTCGCCTTACACACGGTTATACAGCCGTCCCTTCCGCCATCTATGACGTCATCGATCACCAACGGCATGACGGCGTCGCTGACCAACGGCATGACGTCGTCGCTCAACGGAATGTCGCCGATGTCGAACGGCGATGCTTCTATGGTGAGTTGATGTTTCAGAACTGAATGCCTATGGCGAGAATGGAACATATTTTTAATTTATTGTAAAACTTTGTCGTTGTTTGGACGAAAGACATAAGCATTACATTTTCGGACTTGAATTATACATTGGTGTCGATTCTGGCAAGATTCTCTAAACCTAAAACTGAATTCAGTCAGTCTGTCCTTTTCATTCTGTATAGAGAAGGACAAGAACACTACAATAAAATAACAAATAAAATACACTGTTGTCAAATTTAAGTTTAGTTTAGAGAATCATGCCGGTGTCGGCACCATTATAAACTTTAAATTAAAAAATGTCTAACCGATGATGGAAACCATATCAAAATTCGTTGCGTGGCTTATGTGTAAATGACGGATATACGCATACATCAGTAGTTCTTAACCGGTGGTCCGCTGGTGGAAAGTAGTGGTCCGTAGAAGACAGAAATTTTGTCAAATGACCTTTCGTCACTAAAAGCTGAAGTCATAGACGAACTATGTCCATTCTTGATGACCTCCGTGGCCGATTGTTTTGTACGCCGGGTTTGGAGGTGTCGCCTACTCGAGAGGTCCCGGGTTCGAATCGCGGTGGGGGCGGTTGTTTGTGTGATGAATACAAGAATTTGCACTCCAGTCATGGATGTTTAATATATTTTTCTATATAATTATACTTATATATGTAAAGTATAATATTATATCCGTTATCCTACTATCCCATAACACAAGCCTACAGTGCTTACTTTGGGGCTAGGCTAATTGGTGTGAGTAATGGAAATATTTATTATTATATTGGTTTTTATCTAGTAAATTTTTCTTTAGATTTAAACATCTTGCAGTTAAATGCTTAAAAATCCAAAAATATAACTATAATTGACATTTCTTCTTTCAAGTGATCAATACTTGTATCTTTATTTGACATTGTGGCTTACCTACAATGCGTAGAGATGGCGCTGCATTGCAGCCTAAGGCTAGAGAAAATTCGACACGGCCGTCAGGGCCGCGGTAGCATAATGGTCGGATAGCGAAGGGTGCGGGTTCGAGTCCCGTCTGCTGCCTGGTCTGCGTGGAATATTTTTTAGTAAAATTTTCTTTGGATTTAAATATTTATTTTTATTGTTTATTCAGGGCGGCGATGTGATGACGTCATCGCTGACGTTGCCTCCTCCCCCGCCGGCCGGTGACGCTTGCGTGGAACAGTCGCCAGTGTTCCCCCCGCCCCCTCCCGCCTGCTCGCTGCCCGAGCCCGCGGGCCCGCCGCCCCCTCCGCCACCCGCGCCGCACCCGCACCCGCCCGTGCCGCAAGCCAGAGGTGAGTGACGTACTAGCTTAGCATTAGGCAGACACTGCACCCGTAGGATATGAGTACGAAGACCCGGTCTACACACGACCGACATACTATACCAGGTACAGGTACGTACTATCGCGGAATTTTGCGCTCTGTCACTTGGCGAACAAAATGCTTTGAACGGTTTTCTGCAGTAGTTTTTACTACGCCCCGCTTTCGCCTCGGACGCGCCAATCCGGGCCGCCGCACAAAAGGAAGACAGAGAGCATTTCATTGATTGAATAATGAATTGAATTGCATTTGTTTTAGTTGCAATTTGTCATCCGCATCGTGATCGCGACAGCGCTATACGAAAAAGTAAGACAGCTATAATTACATGTCTATGAACGAATTTTTACTACGCCGCTACCGCAAGCGATTATGGGTGACAGAGCGGGTCTTTCCGCGAGTGTACCTAGGCGTTTTTCCCCGCCCTCCACGACAACGGCTAACTACTGTCGAGGTCCGAGTCTCAGGGACGCCCTCTAGTTAAGTCGACCCTCTCAGGTTCAAATGGCCACTTAGCTATTAGCAGTGTTTAGTGGTCGCGATTAGTGGCTCCATGAGCACTTGCTCGAGACACTAGTGGTCGCGTTTAGTAGGCGGGATTAGTGGCTCCATGAGCGCTTGCTCGAGCACTAGTGGTCGCGATTAGTAGCCGCCATTAGTGGCTCCATGAGCGCTTGCTCGAGGCACTAGTGGTCGCGTTTGGTAGCCGCGATTAGTGGCTCCATGAGCGCTTGCTCGAGACATTAGTGGTCGCGTTTAGTAGCCGCGATTAGTGGTTCCATGAGCGCTTGCTCGAGACACTAGTAGTCGCGTTTAGTAGCCGCGATTAGTGGCTCCATGAGCGCTTGCTCGAGGCACTAGTGGTCGAGTTTAGTAGCCGCGATTAGTGGCTCCATGAGCGCTTGCTCGAGAAACTAGTGGTCGCGTTTAGTAGCCGCGATTAGTTGCTCAATGTGAGCTTGCTCTTACAGTTCAAAATAAAATAAAAAACTAACTTACAAATAATATTATTATTATATAAATGTCTAAGGGCTGATTTCTAGAACTGGATAAAATTAATCTATCTGATATCGTATTATCCGGACAGAATGAAGAGTTGACTTGTGTTAATTGATTTAATGTGACGAATGACATCTCTCCCTATTTGATTTAGTATTAATTTATTGAACAGTTAAGTTTTATCCGAGTTTGGATCGGCCCTAAGTTATTAAAAGTACCGTTGCAAATCCCGTCTTTATAAGAATTTTATTAATTTTCCGATTTAAATAAAGATATTTTGAGTTTGATATATTATATAGCTAATTACAATTATTTTTGTATCTTATATACTGCTACACAAAAACCGATTTCGTTTACGACACAGATACCACCCCACTGGAGTTGACGAACGGCGTGATCCCCAACGGCAAGCTATCCGTGATCAACGGCAAGGAGCCCATATACGAGGCGGTCATACCGCGGGCAGAACCCACGCCCAAAGATTGCTCTACCAAAGAAATCACATTGCCTACACCGCCGCCGCCGCCGCCGGATAACAACGGGTAAGAACTTTAAGTAGACTACGGGAATACATATGTATGTATGAATTTTGGGATGGGATATACAAGGCTTTTGTGGCGGCAAGGAGCACATATACGAGGCGTTTATTCTGCGAGCAGAACCCACGCCCAGAAATTCCAGTGCCAAAGAAGTCGCGTTGCCTACACCGCCAACGCCGAAAAACAACTGGTAATAATTCTCGAGATCACGGGAATACATAATTTGTATGAATTTAGTAATGCGATGTACAAGGATTTTGTGATTTATGGGTTCTATAAAAGAAATCCAGATAATTTACGTGATAACTTCTTATACGATGGTAAATCGCTTCTTTACATAACACGTTACGGCGCCAGTCTGTCTGACTTCCCTTCCTCACGCATACGGCAGCGGTAGGCAGGCTACTTCTCTCTCACTGTAACTAAGCGCCGCTTAGATTAGTTTAAGTAATCACTTCTGTCGTCTTCTGACGCAAACGCTTTTTTTATTTGTCTATTTACTAACGGCCGCCCGCGCCTTCGTCCGGGTTAGCTTTAGTTTTCTTTGAATCCCACAAGAATGTAACGTTTTTCCGGAATAAAAGGTATCCTGTATCTCAATCCAGACCTAACTACTGCAGATGCAGCCGAGACCGACGGCTTAACGTGCCTTTCGAAGCACGGAGGATCTCATGATAGTAAATTTTAGTCACCCATCCAATGACCGACTACTGCGAAAATTGCTTACTTTTAACGATCGCAGCGGAAAGCGCTAATCACTTGCGCTATCGAGTTCCTATTCGATTGATACATACAAACATGCAAACTATCACATTAAAATATTTGTAGGATTTTCGCAAATTTTTATGTCCTTGGTTAAAATAGCCGCTATTCTAATTACGTAGAATCCTCCATTCCTGCGTAGGTAATATAAACATGCAAGGCCATCGGCAGGTTTAAAGGCCCTATTGTAAACATCCAATGCAAGAGCTCCAAATGGAACTCAAAATATGTTTTATGACTAAAAAATCGGTTGTCTGTAAAGTCTGTTTACTGTCGATAAGTTAAACGTGTCGTTTTTTTACAATGTACATTTAGTTTTACAATAATGAATGTGCTTTGATCAATTGTTTTACAACTTTTAAACATGTGTGATATCATTACCTTTATTGCCGCAATTGTCGTTGCTATAAACAATTAACACCACATTCACTTTTCACTGCACTTCATACTTGACGAAAACATGTAAATGTATTATTGTATAGCAGCTGTCCATACGGACGCATCGCTCACTCAAGTAGGAGAGAGACAGATGTCGAATGCTGCCGAACGCGGAGGCCGATTGTACCTCTTTGTCGCTCGTTGCGACCTCTCCCTTGCACTTCACGCCTTAAATGGAACGCCTCAGAGCGAGGTAACGCCGCATGAGTCATATTTTTTCGTGCGTGCAGCCGGCTCCATCGAATTATAAGACGTTGTCACGTCAAAAAATGGCATACCTAAATTAGTTAAATAATAAGAGGCATTGCAAATCTACGTCTCTTCTAAAATATCTTAATTTATTTAATAATAATTTGACTTTGTTGGCAGTTTACTAAACAAAGAGGCTGTGGAAGTAGAAGAGAAGCCATCGCCACCCGCTCCGCCTCCATTGGTTGAGGGCAACATCCCCCTATCCCCGCCCTCGCCCCCACCCCCTATACCCATGGATACGTGCGTCAGTCCACCGCCCGCACTCAACGGAGACTTATCCGTAAGTATCGTAAACAAATCAGGAATAGATATAACTATGTTTGTAAACGAAAAACCCCAAATTAGCTGTGTGACAACTTCACGCCCCTCGTGCCCATAGCCACGTATGTCAGCCTGCCGCCCACACCCAAAAGTTATTAAAAGATACTCGACTATAAGCATTTACGGGCAATTTCAATAATGAACCCCTAGTAAAAGGTAAGGATAATCTGGTTCCGTTTCTTAGGAAAGGTTGTTATTATAGTGTTAATAATAAAAATATCTTAGCAGCAAAGCTGGAGTAGACCTACTTGTAACTGGACTTTGATTATTGAAACGGGCCGTTAAATATGTATTTTCTAAGTTACTTTATTCTGCTTCGCCGCCGCATACAATGCATGCAGTATTGTATATTATCTATGACGAATGAATGATAAAATCTCTACAACGTCGATTCCCTTCCGCAGGGTACAGATCGCAACGCTCGTCGCAAGGAGCGGGTAGAACGACGCCTACACCAGATGGAGGTGGCGGCCTCGCCCCCCGCCACTGCTCTGCCACCCACCACACCCCCTGCAGATGCCGTCAAAGATCTGTCGGAGTTCGCCAAACTCTACTTCAATGATCACCCGAGATCGCCAGAAGGTAAGGAAACGAAAACACACGAGGAAGTGTTTTGTTATGCTATGTAATAAATTTTGCAGCAGTACGCAGGTTTAATGTGTTTTCTCTTTTGAGTATTGAATGGCTATCATATTCTGTGTCCATAGCACGAATTAATATCGAATTCGAATAGTTGAAATGCAACCGGCGCCCAAAAAAGGGGAACGCTCAGACCCGGCGAGAATATATCTGGGGTGAAGAATCGAAGCCTAGCTATATCGCCAAAGCCTTTGACAGGGTCCGTCGGTCAGCTTCCGACATATGGTTTGCCGACTGACTTCCTGCGTGAACGTAGAATTCGTTGCCTTACAGATGGTAGTAGTTCTCGGTTCATGGCAGTAAATGCCGGCGTGCCTCAGGGTTCCGTCTTACCTCCTAAACTTTTTTCTATTACTAATAACCTATTTGTCATCATATCAGGTACTATAATGGCGACCCTCACTCGCAAGAGCAAGTCTATGGAGATGCTGACCAAGGAAGAGATGATCACCTACTACAAAGGGAACAGCATACCCACTTCCCACATACAGTTGCACGACCCGGAAAGCGTCACCGCTGCCGTTAACATGTTCCGGGTATATATTGAAACTAGCTTTTCTTTCTCAAATAATATAGTAGACCATTTTTTAATTCTTTATTGAAGTGTAGTGATACTTAATTTTATTAATCCATTTCCGCAAACTCCGATTGTTCTCATGGCAATATATTTCAAATTGTAATAATAGTAATCTTAACTCATAACGAGAGATCGGTTAATCGGATGCATATTTACCTAAAGTTGAGATACTGACTTTTATGGAAAGAAATTTTTTATCGAAAAAAAACTAGCGATTCCGGTTAATTCAAACGTATGTGTATTCTCCGTGAGATGGTATAAACCCAGTTTTACACAATTGAGCGTTGCTCTGTGTGTATAACATGAAAATATTGTGTAAGTTGTCCTTAATGAATAAATGAATTTTACATTCATTTATATATATTCTTATACACCACACAACCTTAGACGGTAAATTAAAATTTTACTTTAAGTAAATATACATCCGATTAGTTATGCGATCTAGGAGTAGCTGGATTTTATTTTTAATAAAATATCCTATGAAGCCTCTTTCATAATTTGTTAGCAATAAATTAATTTATGTAAATATGCATCCGATTATCCGATCTCTACTGATAACCAACATATTTAATTTATTATATTACTTAATAAGTTGAAAATGTCGGTAATAAAAATCAATTTATTAGGAACTTTGCCGATACATGAGGGGAGAGCTAACGCCCGATAAAGAAACTCAAGTGATCCAGTCAATTATAGCCAAAGGGTTGGAACGAGAGGAGTTGAGGGACGAGATACTAGTGCAATGCGTTAGACAGGTTTGTATAGCAGATATATCAATTTTGTTTAGAAATATTTATTTCCAATTTAAGATAGGTAACTAACTGGAAGCTTCAAATGTCCGTATAAAAGCTTTGTCAATCATTTCTGAATGCTCTTTCGGCAAAAATGCTAATTCTATTAAAAAAGTTTGCATTATTTTTATGTGTATATGCTATAAATTACCTGTGTTGCAGTTCATCAGGTTACCTGACTACCTTCAAATACTTTGCCAGAAAATGGTGATATTAAATATTTTTCATGCAGATAACGGAATGTCCTGTGGAGGAATGGGCAGAGAGGTTATGGCTGGTGCTCTGTTTATGCGCCGTAGCGTGGCAACCGAGCCGCGGTCTCTCTCGCCACTATTGCAGCTGGCTGCGGGCGCGAGCAAGACAGGCGCCGCCCGCCAGAGCCGCGCACTGTGCTCAATGGTGCCTGGACAACTGCAGGGGCGCGGCGCCCAGGCAGCTGCCGCCCAGCACTGTCGAGATCGCGGTCAGTGCAATTTCTACCTCTCTCCCACCATTGCAGCGGGCAGCACACTTGGTATACGCTATGCCGCGGCTATCTCGTTTAACTACCTATTAAGATACTACGCATATCACATTTTTATTGCATAATCTTTCAAATCTAATTGGTCCCTATGCTACAAAATACCAAAATTAAAGGTTGACTTAAAATTGGAGTTATTTGAAATATCCTAGTCAATTAAAAACCGAACACGAAGATAGAGAGAGGGGGCAAGTTATTCGTTCTGTTTTCTTCGTCGTTTAGTCTTTTTCTTTCACTCTCCGTCTAACAGCTAAACAGTACACATGTTTTGTCTTATTAACTTACAACAGCACGTAATTCTTTACTAAAAACTACGCTTCACACAGGCGATGCGTCGTCTCGGCACTATAGTGTGCCGGTTCTTCTTCCTGGATGGGCGCACTAAAGCCATTGACGTGCATCCGGCCGATACTGCGGCGGCTGCAGCTGCCAGATTAGCTGATAAACTGGGGCTGGCACCTCAGTCCAGGGCTGGATGGGCAGTCTACCAGCAGAGGGGCGGGAAGGAGGAACACGTCAGAGCAACCCAGTATTTGTATGACGTCATCGCTGCGTGGGAAATGTAAGTCTATATAGACTAGATCTCATATTTCTGTTTTAAATGCTTTTATAAAAGTTGACTAATCATAGAAGTGCTTTTAGAATGCAAACATGAATTAAACTAATTCGTATTGTCTAGGCAACAAGGTCCAGGCGGAGGATCGGCTGACAACCGTTTCGTATTCAAACGTCGTTTGTTCCGCGGCGGTCGAGAGCTGCCGCATGATCCCGTCGAAGTTGCACTACTTTACGCTCAAGCGGTGCATAGCGTTGTTAAGGTATGTTGGAGATTGATATTGGTGTCGAGTCTGGCATGATTGTCTTTACCTAAAATTAAATTGGTAATGCTGGAAAGTTCATATTCAATTTTGTGAATAGCAGCATAGCAACATAGCATCATTTATGAAAATGAAAATCATCTTATTAAAATCTTATCTTATTAAAAGGCTTTTGACAGAATGAAAAATAAAGTACCAATTATTGGTAAGTGCATTAAACATGAATATTGGGAGCGATTTCCCTATTCTGAGACAAAAAAGTAGTTGATAATATAACTTAAAATCATGAAATAAATATTTTTTGGTCTATGGTCACGTGACCGAAAACGCCTAGTATTGGCGGAGCCTAAAATGACGTCACACTTTGTAAACATGCAGTCGAAGTGTCATTACTATGTACTGTTTGACGTTTTAATGGTAACCGTGTGACGTCACATGCCTGTAAGATGCCATATTGGCTAGAAAACAGGCGACATATTTTAGTTTTTTACTATTTGAATATATCGATACTAATGTCTTCAAATATAATAAATGATATTCTCCCTTTCACACAAATATAATTTATATGATTTACTCACCTCACTAGCTGGACGAGTTCCCCGTGTCAGAGAAAGTGGCACTCCAACTGGCGGGGCTTCAAGCGCAAGTTTCCCTAGGGGAACCCCCGCCTAGCCCTATGCCTCCCCATACTCGTGCCTACTACGCTCACCCGGAGCAGTTCCTACCGCAGCGAGTGGCTAGAGCTAGACCTCCGCACCAATGGGTGAGTTGTAGCTACTACAGAGAGTAATTACTCTAATTTACATGACTTTAGGCAACGAAATAGAAATAATATGGAAGCATTACTTTATAACAATGACTGCTAAAACATGGTTTCAACCAAACTCATACAGTTTAATTTTACATACTAACGCGACACATACGTACAGACAAAACAAAGTATTTTGACAAATCAAATATCTGCAAATGAATACGGCTATGCATTCATTGGAAAAGATAATGTTAAACGGAAATCCGAGCCAATCTCATGATCGTTTTTATCGTAGTTTATTCGCTCCGCCCACTTGATCGCAGTTTGCGTGAAACCACTTTTTAGCACAGTATGCATTCCATATTATTTCTAATTCTTTGACTTTAGGACAATATTGTTACGGGAAAGCAGCAGCCTAGTCCAATAAAAACTCGTACGTCTGCTTCTAATGGCTAAAGGCCACCTATCGCACTAGTGGGTGAGTTAAAGTAACTAGATCAACTGGCTTACAGTTTAGATGCGTTAAGCGTAAATCAAAGATTACTGCGTATGTGTAACCTCAAGCCTGTACACACGAGTCAAAAAATAGTTATTGTACTTACTTCTTAAAACAGTTCTCACATTGAATGACAGATGTTAAAGTCGTTTATCGCATGGCAGGCCACAATCCTGGCGCAAGCGCATCGCCAGTACGGCGCCGGTCGAGCGGAGTTGACTGCGAAGGCACTATACTTGTCATGTGTGATGCAATATCCACTCTACGGAGTTACGCTTTTCCCAGTCACTTACAAAGGATACTGGGCACACGGTGAGTATGTTATCCACTTTTTTTTTCAAAGATTATTAAAAAGCTATTATTATATACTTTAAATAATGATTAAACCTTTAGTTATTGTGTTCTTACCTTCCTGTTCCTCTTCTATATATCTTTAAATTTTATTGCATTATGATAGAAAAAAATAATCTAAAAATATTTGTTTCTTAGGTTTTCACGCACATCACTCATTAAATAAAACTAGTTTTAACGGGTTAATGCACGAAACTTTATTTATTTATTGACGTTTCGCAGCCTTTTCAGGTTTGCATCGTCAGAATGATTGAAGAAGATTCTGACGAAATGAAAAGGCTGCGATACGTCAATAAATAAATAAACCCGTTAAAAACTAGTTTTATTTAATCTAAAAATATCAAACGATGTAACATATAAACTTTTAGCTCGTAATGCTCCTTCGATTATCCATCACTTTCCCATCATCTTCGAATGTGAACTCTTCTCTTATAAATCAGATGGCGTGTAGTTATTTCTCTATTGTAACCAAAACAATATGTTTTTATAGGTCCAAACGTACTATTGGGGGTTGGATCTGAGGGCGTAGTGTTAGTACGGCCTTCTGACAAAGTGGTTTTAGCTGAGTATCCGTATAGCAACATTGCCGCACTGCTTATGGACCCCGTGGACAATGGACTCACCATCAGTCTCACGCATCACGGTCAGCACGACGGCCATAGGTAAGATTAACTTTGTTTAAAGTTCATAAATGAAGATACATATTTATTGGTGATTAAATTCGGCGGCTCTTGGTTTTATTATCTTAATTGTTCTAGATTGCCTATGCGCATATTTCTTTTTGGTCTATTCCAATGAGTTTTTAAAAAGAATAATATCAATGTAAAGTAAAACTGCTACTCTTACTCTTATGGCGCGATTACACTTGGTCGTTAGCCAGAATACGAGTAGCAATGAAATTCGAGCAAACGACTAATTGTAAATCAAATAGTAAGTTAGTTAGTTACAGTTTTGGTTACCCGACACAGTCTTCCAGCCCGTATTCCAATGTAAATATTGCTTCGCGAATTCAAGTAATGTCTTTGGTGCACCCGAATACGAGTCAACCATCGAATGTAATTGAGCCATTACGCAGAAACGAGCCGACATAGCACAGGCACAGATGCCTTAATACCATTATTCTATTAGATTCTGTTCGCGTATAAAGTTCAAGCTAATAAACTAAATTAATTTCAGGTGCATAGTATTAGAGTCTGCTCAAAAGCACGAAGCGGCTTGGCTGATGGCTGCATACAGCCCAGTGCTAGCCAACGGTTTAGCTGACGAGCCGCCCCGCAGGGCTGCGCCGACTTCAGAAAGGTCTAGACTAGCTGGTGCCTTGAAGAGTGCTCGCCGGGCGTTAGTTGACTCTGGCATGCTCAGGCGACCCACTGAACTCTCTACTGGCAACTTCCTGAGAAACACTTTGAGAAGGTGAGTGCTTTAAGAATGATAATCTGTCATCTTAGACTTTCCCTTAAAAAAAACATTCAACCAATTAATTACAATAGTCTTAATCCTAATAGTCGAAAAGTCTAGACATTGTTACTTTACCTGTAGGAGTGCCCCCACATAATGATATAAGGATGAAGGAAGAAAGACAACTGATACTGTTGAATGCATGACTAGCGTTGATTTATTATGTAAAATATGTGTTTTTATATACCTGATAAAATGACGTATTATGATGCATTTCTAAGATACAGCTACGTGCTTAAAATAGGTTATGCTTGCTCTGCAGATATACAAGATTACTGTACGCGACTCGTACATTACCTAAAGTACTTTACCAACCAACATTGATTACCACCCTTTTTGACTATATCATTTCCAATAATATAAACATGAGTATTAATTTATAGGCTTAGCAAACACCGTCTCGAGAAGATCCGTCTAGACACAGCGGCGGAGAGTCAAGGCGAGTGCTACAAGGGTTTTCCTGCTGGCTACTGGTGCTGGTCACGCTCGCTGCCCCACAGTCTTACTAAACTTAACGAGGCAGAGGAAGTGGCCGCCATGCAGATATTCAAGGTCAGTCAATGCTTTATCCACACACCCCTCCCCCACCATACTTCCCCCTTTGAGTCCCCTCCCCCTCGAAGAGAGCTACAGGGACGTGCTTGGGCTCAAACGATCCGGAACTGAAAGCCTCACAAAACTGTAAAATAATGGTCCGTAAACCGTGTCTTTATAGACAATATTTGTTTTGTTTATGACCTAGGACATAATGAGTCACGCAGGCCTGAGCACTAACGAGGGTAGCACCAGCAACCTGGCCAATAACAACAGCGTGAGCAGCCAGGAGAGCGAGAGCGACGACCGCGTCTCGCTCGCACAGTCGTTGCTGCAACGCTGCCTGCAGAAGGACACGCTGCTGTGCGAACTATACGTTCAACTCATCAAACAGGTATGTTCGTTTATTTCTTTATTTTAAACTTTCAGCTAACGACAGTAAAAATCAATCAATCAATTTTATCTTAATAACTTTAAATATCTCTGTTAAGAATTGACTTGGTTATTTGTTGCTGCTGTCCTTTCACATATGTCCCTAAATGCCGAAATAACTCCAAATAAAAAACACACAAATATTTCATTAAAGAGTAAAAGATTTCATTTAAGTGTAGAGGAGCTCGATGGTGACGAGCTCGATGGCGCAATTAGTTAGCGCGTTCGGATGCGATTGTTGAAGTTAAGTAACTTTCGCAGTGGTCGGTCATTGGATGGGTGACAAAAAAAATATTATCCCGAGCTCCTCCGTGCTTCGAAAGGCACGTTAAGCCGTTGGTCCCGTCTGCATCTGCAGTTTTTAGCACCCACCAATCCGCACTGGGCCCGTGTGGTGGGTCATGGCCCAATCTCCTTATTCCATCCATAGGAAAGGCCTGTGCCCCAGCAGTAGGGACATTAATAGGCTGAAGATGATGATGATTTCATTTAAATATTTCGGTCCCCAGACCACAGATCACCCGGAGCCATCGTCTCGCGTCTCGGGTCGCCACTGGGCATTGCTTTGCGCAGCCGTCGGAGCCGCGCTACCTCCCGCTAAACCAGTGCGAAGGTTGCTGCTAGCCCATTTGAGGTACAGAGGCGCCGCCCTGCACACAGGAGAGGACGGCAAGTTCGCGCGCAGGGCCGAACAGGCGAGTATTATTTAATACTATTTCAAATGACATATACTTCTTCACTATGCATCATCTCAACTCTATAGTGAATGAAAATCAGAAACTGCTGCCCAATTTACAAATAGCAAATACGAATATCCAAACGAAGTGCGAGCGTGATTGAATTTCAAATCACGCACACTCTTCATTATACAGAAAATAGCACATAAAAGTGTATGTTGTAACCGAATTTTCAAAATCCAGCTAAAAATTATATTAATTTTGTTTGCGTAAATATTAATATAAGACAGCATATCACCGAGAAAAATTAAATTTAACTAACGTCTCTAAGTGCGGTCGTTATACACTTCTACCAAAATGTTCTGAACGAAAGAGCATTCTACCAAAATGTTCTGAACGAAAATTGAATCGTTTTAATGCAATAATTATTTTCTTCATTTATAGGTGGCGCTAAGCATCGCCCAAGTGCCCCGCCGTTTAGCGGCACCATCAAAGGAAGAGGTTCTTTGCGCTGGTGCCCGTCGGCCGATGCATGTGCGAGTGTTACTATTGGACGGGAAACAACACGGGCTAGTGTTCGGCCCCGCCGCTACTGCCGACCATTTAGGCGCCATGCTGCGGGAGAAGATCGGCCTGAGCGATGCCGCCACAGGTAATAATTTAACAAGGTGGCCTGAGATTTATCCAACGGTTTTTTTTTTTAATTTTTAACAAAAAAATTACCGTCGATACTTCACTGTCAATGTTTGGAATTGCGAAACAATTAATAAATTTTTCGTTACATAGGTGTTGATTCTCGCATGATTCTCCAGATCTGAACATAAATTTGAGGACAGTTTATCCCTGACGTTCTCTATACAAAATGAAAAGGTCTTTTTTTCTTTGAGGGTAGGTGTAAAGAAAGGTTCTGTTAAAAGTTATCCAGTTTTAATTTTGTTAAAATATTACATATTCAAATTTAATCTCATTTTATTATATGTTGAATTAATATTTATTACACAATACCTGCCGGAGAGTGTTATCTTAACTGTTGCTCAAACACATCAACATTTTTTTTTTTAAACTACACTTCACTGCTCTGCCGATCAGCAAAATGGACACCATCCAAGACACCCTGTCACAAATGCAGCAAATGTTTACTGAGAGGATGAATAAATACGAGAGTGAGCTTCAAGCAGCTACCCCATCATCCACAGTAGCCAGCCTCACTGCCGATTTTTCCACATTCCGGAATTTTATCTTGACTACTATTCGCGGTCTCCAGGATCAAATTGGTATTCTGTCACGTCAGGTGGATGGCATGGAAATGCATAGCCGCAGAAAAATCTTACTATTTCATGGCTTGCCGGAGACTCCAGAGGAGGACGCTGCTGCTGTTGCTGTGAAGGCCATCACAAATCACTTAAATATAACATCTCTCTCTGTTAGGGATGTCAGTCGTTGCCATCGGATGGGGCGTTTCACTGGCAATGATCGGCCTCGACCCCTTGTGGTGAAGATGTGTGATCTAAATTTGCGGAATAAAATTTGGTTCTCCAAGGCAAAATTGAAGGGGACAGGCATAACGATATCAGAGTTTCTAACGAAAGGCAGGCACGATGCCTTTATAGCTGCGCGAGACAAATTCGGCGTTAACAAGTGCTTCACTCGGTTGGGGTTTGTGTTCGTTGTGGGTGGTGACGGAAAGCGACACCGTATCAGCTCTGTTAAAGAACTCCATAAGATCCCAGCTCCAGTTACGGCGACGCCTGTTTCCCCGAAATCTGTGGCCCATGCATCAACCAGTATCAGTTCGCATCCTGAGGCAAATAAGATCCCAGCTCAAACTGCGGAAAAACCGGAATCTCCGAAGCCTGCTGCCCAAATATCCACCAGGGGCAAGCGTACGGCCAATGCTGCAGTTAAAAAGTAGATAAATGTGAATTTGTTATATCTTGTTAATGTTTACTTTGGTGCATCGTCTCTTCAAGTCTGTGTTCCTTTTTATAATCTTTCAATCCTTCTGTGGATCCTATCGTAACACCGTGTCCATTCACCCCAATGTATCCCCATCTATTTCATCTCTTCGTTCGTCATGAATTGAAGGTAAAGCTATTTATTGTAATTTTTTCTAACCTTTAATTTATTTACAAATTTTCTAACAAGTTCTTGACACAATGTATTGAAATCCTAATGTCAAAATTACTTTTAAAATTCACGATTTATGTAGGCTAAGAATTCTTTGTTCATACAGCCACCTTTTTTTTTTCATTCTTTAAATCGGTTTTATGATTGGATCCACAGACTTCGAGGTGCACTGTAATAATGTAACTAAAAATGATTTCTTTATATCTTTGATAATTTTTGCATTGCTACTTTTTCGTCTATTGTTTTACTTATGCTTGATTCCTAATTATGCTTTGATTTTGTTCCGCTTTTACATCATATTTAGGTTTTTCTGCCTTCCACTCAGCCGGCAGGTGGAGCATAATTTTCATTTGTGCTTATTTATCCCATTTTTTTTTTTTTTTAGTATTTAAACGTATTTATTTTATATTATTATATTATATTTAATTGATCTATGTCTTGTTCAGGGATGGATAGTGATAACTCCTTTCATTCCTTGCCATCAGTAAGCGACTGCACAGATGATAGTTTTGTAAGTTTGCCTTCTCTCCCTGACTGCCTCGATAGTACATTTTCTGATGTTCCTAAAAACTTTAACGTCGTTCACATAAATGCGCAAAGTATTCCGGCTCACTACAATGATATGCTGGCGTCTCTCAATCACAAAAATCTTCATGCTGTTTTAGTCTCCGAATCCTGGCTTAAACCTTCTCTGTCCTCTTCTTCCTATGTCTTGCCTGGTTTCCGTATGATACGTAATGATCGCATTGGCTCTCGAGGTGGTGGAGTTGCAATTTATTTACGTTCTCAAATTCCATTCACTATTATTAGCACTTCTACACAGCCTCCTCCAGTTAATGCTGGCGAGCATTTGTTTATCGAGATTCTGCTATCACATACCAAAGTCCTACTCGGAGTCTATTACAGCCCCTCTTTAAATGTTAACTTCTTTAGTTCTTTTGAACAGCTCTTGGGAGATTATGTACCATCTTATACCCACTCATTGATAATGGGAGATTTCAATACCTGCCTTCTAAAAAATGATTCTCGTGCAACCTCCCTTCAATCTGTTGTAAGATCTTGTAATCTGCATATTCTTCCCCTTAGTGCCACCCATCATTTTCCAAACACTTCTCCTTCACTTCTTGACTTAATAATCGTCTCTGCTCCTCATCTTGTTATGAAGCATGGTCAATGTTCGGCTGATGCTTTTTCATACCATGACTTAATCTTCTTGTCCTACAAAATTCGTCCTCCCAAAGTTAAGCCCAAAGTCATTCTTCAGCGTAATTTTGGTGGTATGGATAGGGACGCGTTTCTTGATGACGCTCAAAATACGGATTGGTCGTTGGTAATTGGGGCGGTGACCGTCGACGAACAAGTTGAGAACTTTAATAATATAATTACCGAGCTTTATAACAAGCATGCTCCTTTTCGTCCCATCAAGCTCAAACACGTTCCAGCGCCGTGGCTTACTCAAGAGATCAGGGCCCTAATGCATAAAAAAGACGTTACTAAAAGCAAATATAAACATCGCCCGACCGATTATAATAAAGTCAACTATGTAAAAGCTCGAAATCGCTGCAATTTGGTGTGTAGGGATGCCTTGCGTCGCCATATTCATGATTCTGTCGATAATAAAGATCCAGCAAAAGTCTGGAATTTTCTCAAATCACTTGGAATTGGTAAGTCCCGACACGATTCTACTCCTAGTAGCATCAGCGCAGATTCTCTCAACATTCAATTCTCTTCCTCTTCTAGTCTCAGTGACTCTCAGAAGTCTTGCACTTTAAACTACCTTTCTTCTTTACCAATTCCTGACTACTCTCCTTTTGTCTTTACTCAATTCACTGAATGTGACGTTAAGAATAGCATGCTTTCTATCTCTTCCAATGCGGTGGGGAATGACGGCATCAGTCGAAACATGTTGATACCTATCCTGGATATTATTCTTCCTATCCTTACCTTCCTTTTTAACAGCTCGATTTACAACGGAGTCTTCCCGTCAGTTTGGAAACAAGCCCAAATTATTCCTCTTCCTAAAAGATCGAACCCTCAAACCATGGTCGATTTTCGTCCCATTTCTATCCTTCCCTTTCTATCTAAGGTTCTTGAACGTCTTATCCATAACCAATTGAATACATTCCTCACTCGCCACGATCTTTTTAATCCTTTCCAATCCGGTTTCCGTCCTGGCCATAGTACAACGACTGCGTTACTAAAAGTAACCGATGATATACGCTTTGGGATGGATAACGCTCTCCTTACGGTATTAACATTGTTAGACTTTAGCAATGCTTTTAACACTGTCGACTTTGAGGTTCTTTTAGCATTGCTGCGCTCACTTAACGTATCTCCATCAGTGATTGAGTGGTTTCGCAGTTATCTGCATGGGCGCAAGCAGCGCGTTCGCCTCGAGGAGAAATTTTCTTCATGGAGCCAAACGACTGCTGGCGTTCCCCAAGGCGGCGTCTTATCTCCTCTTCTTTTCGCTGTATTAATTAACTCCATTTCAAACAATATTTCTTCTTCCTACCACCTATATGCAGATGACTTACAAATCTATTGCCAAGCTCCTCTTGGTCAACTTGATGAAGCAGTGCGGTGTACAAACAGTGATCTACATGTGATTTCTAAGTGGAGCAAATCTTTTGGGTTGGAAATAAATCCCTCCAAGACAACTAGCATAGTAATTGGTAGTTCTAGAATGTTAGATAGAGTGGACTGGCAGTCACTACCCAACATCGAAATTGCTGGAAATGTTATCCCTTTTAGTACGTCAGTAAAAAACTTAGGATTAACGTTTGACAACTGTATGAGCTGGGGCCCGCAAATGCAAGTGGTCAGTTGCAAATTGTATGCTTCAGCAGCGTCAGTTAGGAGACTACGTAATTTTCTACCCGTCACCACCAAAATTGCCTTAGCACAATCTTTATTGCTTCCTATACTTGATTATGCTGACGTCTGCTATCTCGATCTCACGGAGGACCAGCTTAATAAACTTGAGCGACTTCAAAATTTTTGTATCCGCTTCATATTTGGCTTGCGCAAATATGATCATGTTTCTCAATTTCGTTCACAGCTCAAGTGGCTACCTATTCGCCTTCGCCGGAATACTCATATCCTTTCTCTTCTTTACAACATATTGTTCAATCCCAAGTCCCCGCGCTATCTAAAGGAAAGTTTTAATTTCCTTCATAATTCTAATACGTTATCTTTAAGGTCATCAGAAAATCTTGCTCTTATGACTCCCGTACACGGCACAACTTTTTTCCACCGTTCGTTTGCAGTGCAAGCCGTACATCTATGGAATTCTCTTCCGGTTTCGATAAGACGTGCGGAAACTATTAATGCGTTTAAAAACCTTGTGAAGTCCCACTATCTGACGTTGTAATACTTTTATTTTTAATATCTCATGTTCTAAAAACTGGACTGGATCAATGTATGTATTTATACTTATTGTATCTATGTATGTATTTATGTATGTATATATATCTTATATATGTATATGTGTATGATATGTATTTACTAATAGACTATATTATACTAGCGATTTACACCGCCGTCTCTCCCACTTCCTTCTAATCCTCTCCATCCAAAGGTTGCCTGGAAGAGATCGCTTTAAGCGATAAGGCCGCCTATTGCATCACCTGTACTAAATGTTTTTGTGCAGAATGTTCAATGTTTTTCGTGGTGTTTAATAAAGAGTTTTTGTATTGTATTGTATTGTATTGAAAAGGAGAGACTGATGTTAAATTTAGTTATAAGTTTAGATAATCAAATTAGAATCGACACCATTATCTAGCTAGTTTATTAGTGAAAGTAGAACGAACTAAGTATAAATTGGTATTTTAGGGGTTTGAATAGTTACATTTTTAGGTCTAAATCTGGTCAGACAAGGTTAGATCGTTATTCATTGCAGGATATTCAAACTTTAACTTCTCAAAACTAAGAATGAAATATGGTATTGTGTAATGCAGCCTTCTCATTTTTATTTTTTTACTTACATTGTTTCTTCGTTTGTGGTAGTGTTAACCGTGATTGTTTCATTTACTACTGATATTCACGTCAACCTTAGGCCCTGCCAGAATATCAGCGCCGCAGCGGCCTTGGTGTCGTTGTGGCATTGTGCTGAGGTAGGGATCTAGTTGACCTTTTTCTGTGTTTTTATTTATGCTTTTTTTTCTATATGTCAATGTTATTGGTCAATAAATTCTTTCTTTCTTAATATGCAGGTTACGCGTTGTATGAGGTTTGCGCGGGCGCAGGCGGTACTGGCGCCGGTGAGAGAGCTTTAGGTGGAAATGAGAGAGTGGGAGACGTCCTGGCTCGATGGGAGAAGGCCGGCGCTACAGCCGCTGCTTGCAGGTACTATTTGTATGCGTTTGAACCCAGTACAGAAAAAATAACTGAAAAATTAAAACATATAATTGACTTTGAGCTTTACGCCGTTTGATATAAGATTCACAATATATTGAGAAAATTTAACACTGGTGATTTGAGACGTGGCTGCCTCTTAAAAAACTTATAAAGGAAATTTGACCTTTTCTTTATCAGGCAATATTCATTAAAAATGTAAGTTGAATTACATTGTATAATTTGTGTTCACAAAAAATTAGGGAGTAATTATTTAAGATATGAAATTTGTTTTGTTTTTTTTTGTAACTCTGTTGTGCGTATCGATTAAATTTAATATTTATATGTGATACTATTGGAAATCACACTACTTACTAGTAGCACAATTAGTCCTTCGAGCCGAATACGGAAAATGTTAGCTCATCAAATGATTGTTTGTCATTTTATTGTCTTATTTGACATATAGACTGGTGTTCAAGAAGCGACTGTTCCTCGGCGAGAGGCCTTTACACACAGCGTGCGCCGCAGAGATGGAGCTCCTGTACTATCAAGTTTTACACGCCGTGCGACACGACCGCTTACCCATCGAAACCGATGAAGCGGTAAGTTGGTCTTTTATTAAAAAAAAATAGATATCAAAGATTATATTAACTTGTGATCTGATCACATTAAAACTGAATATTTGACGCATTGCGTTATTACATTTATAATGGGGGATATACTTATTTTAGTGCTCATTAAAAAGGTAGGTCGACATTATACATCTTATTATGTCGACGAGTATGATAATATCGGATCTTGTTTGTTCCGCGCAGGTGATGCTAGCGGCGTTACACGCGCAAGTGGTGAACGGCGACTGTCTGGGCGGCGGGGAAGAATGCGCGGTCGCAGCGGGCGCCGTGCTGCCCGCGAGACTGACGCAGCCTGCCCTCCCCGCGCCCGCCGTCCGCCTGCACCATCTGGCGCTGCGCGGCACCGACGCGCACGCCGCCATGCAGCGCGCCCTCACGCTCGCCGCCTCCTGGCCGCTCGCACGCGCCACCATCTATGACGTCATGGTCAGCCCCCCCTCCCCTCCCCGCGCCCGCCGTCCGCCTGCACCATCTGGCGCTGCGCGGCACCGACGCGCACGCCGCCATGCAGCGCGCCCTCACGCTCGCCGCCTCCTGGCCGCTCGCACGCGCCACCATCTATGACGTCATGGTCAGCCCCCCCTCCCCTCCCCGCGCCCGCCGTCCGCCTGCACCATCTGGCGCTGCGCGGCACCGACGCGCACGCCGCCATGCAGCGCGCCCTCACGCTCGCCGCCTCCTGGCCGCTCGCACGCGCCACCATCTATGACGTCATGGTCAGCCCCCCCTCCCCTCCCCGCGCCCGCCGTCCGCCTGCACCATCTGGCGCTGCGCGGCACCGACGCGCACGCCGCCATGCAGCGCGCCCTCACGCTCGCCGCCTCCTGGCCGCTCGCACGCGCCACCATCTATGACGTCATGGTCAGCCCCCCCTCCCCTCCCCGCGCCCGCCGTCCGCCTGCACCATCTGGCGCTGCGCGGCACCGACGCGCACGCCGCCATGCAGCGCGCCCTCACGCTCGCCGCCTCCTGGCCGCTCGCACGCGCCACCATCTATGACGTCATGGTCAGCCCCCCCTCCCCTCCCCGCGCCCGCCGTCCGCCTGCACCATCTGGCGCTGCGCGGCACCGACGCGCACGCCGCCATGCAGCGCGCCCTCACGCTCGCCGCCTCCTGGCCGCTCGCACGCGCCACCATCTATGACGTCATGGTCAGCCCCCCCTCCCCTCCCCGCGCCCGCCGTCCGCCTGCACCATCTGGCGCTGCGCGGCACCGACGCGCACGCCGCCATGCAGCGCGCCCTCACGCTCGCCGCCTCCTGGCCGCTCGCACGCGCCACCATCTATGACGTCATGGTCAGCCCCCCCTCCCCTCCCCGCGCCCGCCGTCCGCCTGCACCATCTGGCGCTGCGCGGCACCGACGCGCACGCCGCCATGCAGCGCGCCCTCACGCCGGCCGCCCCCTGGCCGCTCGCACGCGCCACCATCTATGACGTCATGGTCAGCCCCCCCTCCCCTCCCCGCGCCCGCCGTCCGCCTGCACCATCTGGCGCTGCGCGGCACCGACGCGCACGCTGCCATGCAGCGCGCCCTCACGCTCGCCGCCTCCTGGCCGCTCGCACGCGCCGCCATCTATGACGTCATGGTCAGCCCCCCCTCCCAACCCCGCGCCCGCCGCCATGCAGCGCGCCCTCACGCTCGCCGCCTCCTGGCCGCTCGCACGCGCCACCATCTATGACGTCATGGTCAGCCCCCCCCTCCCCTCCCCGCGCCCGCCGTCCGCCTGCACCATCTGGCGCTGCGCGGCACCGACGCGCACGCCGCCATGCAGCGCGCCCTCACGCTCGCCGCCTCCTGGCCGCTCGCACGCGCCACCATCTATGACGTCATGGTCAGCCCCCCCTCCCCTCCCCGCGCCCGCCGTCCGCCTGCACCATCTGGCGCTGCGCGGCACCGACGCGCACGCCGCCATGCAGCGCGCCCTCACGCTCGCCGCCTCCTGGCCGTTCGCCCGCGCCACCATCTATGACGTCATTGTCAGCCCCCCCTCCCCCACCCGCGACCGCGCCCACCACCCGCCTGCACCACCTGGCGCTGCGCGGCACTTCACGTTATTCTCTAAGGCTCGACTATCAACGAGATGGCACCTTTTGAACTTTGTACTTAAGGCTCTATTAAAATAACATTTTAAGCAAAGGCGAGCGGATTATTCCCATTTTCAAGTAATGAAAAATCACTAACATAATAAAATGTTATGGGTCTTTAAAATTACTCGCTGTTTACGCGCCAACTTCATTTGAAAAATTGCACAGTTGCGCCAACTAATGGAGTATTTTTTCCTGAAAATCGCTCAGTCACAATATTTTTATACCCAGAATAAAGTATACCCTATTAATGTATTAAGAGTCTGATTTGAAAGTACCAAAAAGTAGGAATATTTAATAAGGAATAAAAAAGTATTTCTATTCTAAATCCAGTGCTAATAGTAATCTTTTCCTAAACAGCAATCTTTTACGTCGAATTGGCCGCGTGCGTTATGGCTAGCGGTAGACGCGCGCGGTCTCACGTTGCTGCGACGTGGCGCCCGCGCAGCTCTCGTGTCGCACGACCACGACCAACTACTGGCCGTGTCTCCAGCCCCTAGAGCTTTACTGTTGGTGACGCGCGCCGACCGCAAGCACGCCAAACTCGTGCTCTCCACCGACCAGGTGACTGACACAGACACACTCACTGTAGCATGGCTCCGACTCGCACGACACTTCTGGCCTTGACTCCAGCCCCTTGACTGCCCTAGAGGGTTACAAACTGGTACTGTCCACCGACCTGGTGACTGACACAGACACACTCACTGTAGCACGGATCCAACTCACACTCACACGGCACTGCTGGCCGTGTCTCCAACCCCTAGAGCGTTACAAACTGCTGCTGTCCACCGAGTAACTCACACAGACACACTCTCACTGTAACACGACTTTGACTCACACTCACACGGCGCTACCGGCCGTATCTCCAACCCCTAGAGCGTTACAAACTGCGACCAGGTGACTCACACAGAGACACTCTCACTGGAGCACGGCTTTGAATCACACTCACACGGCATTGCTGGCCACGTCTCCAACCCCTAGAGCGTTACAAACTCCTGCTGTCCACCGACCAGGTGACTAACACAAACACACTCTCACTGTAGCACGGCTCCGGCTCACACGACACTGCTGGCCTTGTCTCCAGCCCCTAGAGCGTTAGAAACTGGTTCTGTCCACGGACCCGGTGACTCATTCTGACACTCTCACTGTAGCACGGCTCCGACTCACACGATGCTGCAGGCCGAGTCTCGAGCCCCTACAGCATTACAAACTGTTGCTGTTCACTGACCAGGTGACTCATACAGACACACTCACTGTAGCACGGCTCCAACTCGCACTCACACGACACTGCTGGCCGTGTCTCCAGCCCCTAGAGCGCTTGAAACTGGTGCCGTCCACCGACTAAGTGACTCACACAGACACACTAACTGTAGCACGACTCGGACTCACAATCGCACGACACTGCTGGCCGTGTCACCTGACAATAATTCATGGAAAACTGCCTGTTAGGCTCCACTGCCTGCCTGCCGCCTATCAATATTACACGGAAAACTGCTCGGCAATAGACTTTACTGCCTGCCTGACGAATTCATCGTTTCATCCTCCTAATTATATAGTATAGCCAAATCTTTAAGTAACTTTCGCAACGGCAGGTCGTTGAGTGACCAAAATCTTATTATCTCGAGCTCCTCCGTGATACGGAAGGCACATTAAGACGTTGGTCCTAGTTGCATCTGCAGTCGTTAGCACCGACCAATCTCTCTATCACATCCATAGGGAACGCCTGTGCCCCAGCAGTGTGGACATTAATAGGCTGATAAAGATGAGGTAGCATAAATTGGTCAGTGCATCCGCCCGGATAGCGGAGGGTGCAGGATCGAGGCCCGTCTGCTGCCGCGGTCGTTTTTCTAGTAAAATTTACTTTACATTTAAGCATCTAGCTGTTAGGGGCCTGCTCTGCCTTAAGCGGGAGCACGGAGCGGACGTCCGCTCTGCATGTTTGTTTCATGTTATTTCGTAGAGCTGCGCCCCTATATGAAATGAGCTTAAGGCAGCGCAGGCCCTTAATGCTTAAAAAATAAAGATGATAGAGTCTGTGCGGAAAGAGAATGGGCGTGGCGAAAAACGGAACTTTGAGTGCGTATATAAAATAAAATAAAAATTAAAAAGCATTTTATTTCATATCTATTAGTTACTTTTACATTTATTTATGTTAGTTTGTTAGTAAACCTAAATATTATGTTGGTTTTTAGTACTTGTTAGTATAGTTTCAGACATGGATCCCATCTGGGTAAAAGCCTCCTCCATTGTTTTCCACTTTTCTCTATCTTTCCCTGCTTTCAGCCAGTCTTTACATTAAGATTTTTATATTATTATCCAACCCTGCCATCTGTCAAACGTCAAAGTTTTGTATTGATTCGGATTTGTAAGTTGTTGTGATTTCTTGTGGTTTTTTTTTGTATTTAATCATGATTAAAAAGGGTAAAACCATACAGATATGGTAGAAAAGCACTACTGCGTCCTCAAATTTAAATCACATTCTCTTTTCGCAGAGACTCTAATATTAAAATATTGCCGTGTCTTGATCCTTATGAGTTTTCACGCAGGCTTACCAGATTGCCACACTGATCAAGGACTACATAGAGGCGGTGCGCGGGCCGGTGTCGCCAGCGGCGCCGCCCTCCGCCGCGGCCGCGTCGTGACATCCGCACGCCTAGTGCCAGTGCTTCCACGTCAGGCAGTGAGCGGTCAACCAGCCTAAATACGGCTAGCGGCTAGATAATATCCCAAATCATAAAAACACTAAGCTTACTCTTGAATGTTAGTCCGAATTCGAATTTTAACAAGTCTGGTCTGTCAACTAAAATGCGACTAAGATCTTAATGAATGTGGCAAAAATTGGAATAATCACAATTGCTACAATGAGGATCATTACTAGGTCAGCAAATCAACAGTATAATGATCTAATGAGCTTTTTTATTAATATACTTGAAATCGGTTCATTCGTTTCTATTTTATAACTAATTTTATGGTAGCCAATATTCACCGGTGGCCGTAACGTGTAACGTCACAGAGCTCGATCGTGGTTCACTCCGGTCGAACTTTAGTAGCGTCTTTATGCACGCTCGCGCCAGAGCGCTAGAGCTCTGTGACGTCACAACCACCACGCGGCCAGCCAAAAACTCGTTTAGTTATTTGGTCATAAATTCGTCAATATTTGTCGTAGAACAAAAATTTAACCACTGTATTTTATGGAATAAAGAGCTCTATAAATCTGCATTCTCAACTAAAATCGTCACGGATCCTCATTTCACATTCATTCAATTGAGTTGTTGTTTCAATATATTTAAGATGTATGGATTGAACTGAACATTAGCTTAATTTCTAAGGAGCTATAGTAAAAGAAGTTAAATTTAAATGTTCTGGAAGGGTCTGGTTATAATAACTGACTTACGGTGTCAATTTCGTAAGCGATTTTGAAATTACATCCAACGCGTTAAGATTACAAATCGACTGTGAAATTTTGAGTCCCATAACCCGACGTACCGAAAAAATTTCATTCAAGAGTAAGCCATTACAGACCAGTTCAGCAAGGCAAAGTTTATATCATCTCTAATTCCGTGGCGGCTACGGCCGTAGATTTTGATGCGAATTGTGGTTTATAGTCACAGCGAATACAGACTGACGGACTAGCCTCTCAAGACAGGAATCTCCTACTTCAATAATAAACTTTCACTAGCCGCTGCCGCTCCAGGTGAACGGGTATATGAGAATAGGAAAATTTGGACGCGAGCTACATAAAATTTCTAAACAGTCCAGGAATCGATGAATTTAAACTCCTAAATTTTAAATGTCTCCAATTTCAATTTCAAATGTTTCCAGTTTATTAAAAATAAATAATTTGAGCCGTTAATTCAATTCTCCTCAATTAATTTCTGATACATAGCATTGCAGACTGTATAGAAATTTATATAACAAAAATTTCGCTTCTAATAAAATGCGGGCTCTAATATTTTGTCATATAAGTGCGTATCTCATGTTTAATATAATGTATAGTAATGATTTGTAAGTACTGCTCGCGCCCAAATAGAACGTCAGCAAGCCCAACAGACGTAGGTTTACTCTTAATTAAAAAAAACCGCTTCATGCGGATGCGATGAAAAGGCTCAAAAAAGTTTCTTTAAGCATCTTATAATAATTTATTTATAAAGCATTTTAAACAACTACAAACAAAGGGTCAGATGCAAGTGCGTTCGTTTCGAGTGTAAGGATGGACGTTTTTCAGTTGCTAGAAGACGGGGAAGCAAACATTAATCATATGTTACATAGTCAACAGTGAATGTTTCAGCAGTTTTAATAGAAAAAAAATAATATTAAAAGTATATAGTTATTCCGCTCTTTAACTCCCTCAAAATGTTACGTCAGTGTCAGTATTATTGCTGTTAAAATTTAACGTTACATGTTGTGGGTTAGTCTTATTAGGGAAAGACAGAGACTACAGACTTTGTGCAATCCAAAGACAGTTTGATAAGCAAGTAAAGTAGAAGTTACCTTTTAATAAAAATTTTGCATAACTTTTAGCTCATGCTACAAGATCTTAAAGCTGACTGGATTCCACATAAAGTCTGACATCTGTGTCGCCCCTTAAGCGTTAAATGTTAAGATTATAAAGTTAAATAGATAGTCATTTTAAACAATCTTACTCCCTCCTCCCTAGTCTGTGGTCAACATTTATATCCATGTTGTATCGACATTTTCGTAGGATTACAAAATTATTAAATAATTTTAAAATAAGTCTGCTTAACTATTCCATAGGTAATTTATATCATAAGAGTACAACCTAAGTAAAAGTATTAACTACAAAAAATTAACACTGAATATCATAGAAAATGTCGATATACATAAACTTAACGTTAAGCCAATACAACTGCTGTGTTTTTCCGTTATACATAATCCCCCTTGTTAATAAACGAGAACTAATAACGCTGTCTTTTGTCTTGATGACTCTTAAATAAGGAATATGCATAATTACTTTTTATATTTTTATTTCATAGTTATCATTCCCTTAATATAGTATAAACATTTTCAACGTCGAATTAGTTGAGTTGTTGCTATGTATGTCCACATCACAACCGCTTTATGATGTTTCAGATATTTGAGTTCCCCAAAAGTTTATCGCTTTTCAATAATTAGTTTTTTATTAATTTGATTGGGGGGAGGTAAAAGTAATAAAATTTATATAAAAAAGTTGAGCCTTATTTGAATGAGATGCATATTCCCTATTGGATGAACAGACACAAAACACTTTTTAGTCCTTGGTTATTTTTCGTTTCTTAATAAGGGAGCTAGTTTATATATTACAATTAATACGCGATAAGCGTATAGTAGCGTCCTTTAATCCCCGCCTCTCCCTCTCCCCAATTTTGACTTTTGCTCAAACTGTCTCCTCTCCTTCCTGTCTTTTGAAATTACTAAAATCTTATGTTGTGCCTTTTCAGCTGAAATAGTATTGCTTGGTAAAGTTGAGTAAAAAACAAATCTTTACATTCAAATGTTTCCTAGTATGAATGTAAATTGTTTTTCCTACCAGCAAATATTATTGAGAGCAAAGCTGTTAATTATCAGTGAACGATTCGTGCAAATTTATTGTGACTGCAAAATAATTACTGATTGTTTAAAAAAAAGTATATATATCGTCTATCATGCATATTACATTATATTGCACAATGTTATATCTACATATTTTATATAAAAAATATATTTGATGATGTAGAAACTGTAATGTCTACTTTATTTGAAGATTTGATGACTGCCTCCATTTTGTGCATAGTTTTCTCTTTAAATTTTGCATAACAACTATAAGGAGGCCATAGTTTAATTAAATAATAGTTTGAACTTATTTGGTGCTTAAACAATCACGTTTTGCTTATCTTGAGTCTCTGATCTCATATTGAGTATTATTTATTTAGATGCCATAATTTTGTGTTAAACAAGCAATATTTGGTTAGAACTTTATTTATAAATTTAATAATAATAACTTTGTATATAATTGGTGAACCAAAGACTTAAATTTTTCTTTAGATATTTTTAATTCTATCTCAATTATATTTTCTTTAATAATTGAATTGTAATGTGTACATAATAATTATAATTAAAATATGCATATTCATTGACTTGAAATACTCTGTATCGTTAGAGCTAAATTTATAGACTATTATACAACATTTGGCATTCAGTTATAATAGATTTTAGGTATAACTCAATCATCGCTATTCATGACACCATTATGATTATATTTTTACTGTACTATTCATAAATGATTGGATTATGTAATTAAGTCACACATATAAATGAGATCTACTTATATGATTTCAATCTCTTTTAAAATAATGTAGTAGAATTTAATAACAACCAAGAATCGAATATAGTCTAAACCACCACATACTGCCCAAATAGACTGAAATGTCCAAATATTTTATATTTCTTTTTGATGGATTGTTTTTTGTTACATTTATGTATGGAACTTTACTCCAATATTAGAATGCCAAATAAATGATAATAAAGATTGATTTTTATTATTTATTCCATATTCTTACATTACAATAATAAAATACTTAATTTTATTTTAAAGTTACTGAGTCACAAGACCCAAATAATCATCCATGAGTGTTCCGATTGCAAACTGAAAAAAAACACATATTAATTAAATACAAATAATCTGAAAAAATCTAGAAAGAAAAAATTATTTTTCAAATTAACAGTTGTTATTTTTTTGATTAACACTTACAATGCCACTAGCATCAACTCTTGTGCCCACAATCTTTAACCGGATGACGTCTTCTTCCTGGATGACGTTATCTTCCTGTTTGCTCTTGTAGCAAGGCGGATTTACATTAGGACAAAACTCCATATCTGCTGGAATGGACTAAAAAAATATATCAGTTGTTATGAATCACAGTGGCTGTACAGTTAACAACTTATCAGAGTTTATCTAAAACCATTGAATATAAACTTTAATCTGACAATGTTCCCTACAGTTGATTATTGACTCATTAGCAAAAATACTCACATGGTGTGATATAAAACAGCTCAGTGGACCAATTTGAGCAAACATCCCAACCTACAAATGTACACATCAGTATTATACAAATGAATTTACAATATTAATATGTATTAGAAGTTATCACTGCACTTGGAAATATCTTTTGTTTTAACTTTGATTCAGATTCATAAAAAGGTCACACAGAGATATCTTTCAATCTTTAAGTTTGATTAAGTATTAAATTAACATGATAGCTCTGAGTGAGGCCTAAAAACAACACTACTATGGCAACCATTTAAACTTATTGACTTCTCTGAGAACAGCCCTAATTGGAAAATAAAATTACATCATTCTGAACTACCTTTGAACAATTGGCTAGCAAATAAAAACATTAATCATGCATTAATTAAACGAGCAGTTAAAAGAATTTGGTGTACCTTATTAACTTGGGTGACTATTGCATCTAGTACTTCACCCTTGAAAGGTCTAAATACAATAGCCTTATACTTGACAGGGTACACAACAAACCCTTGCCCGGGCTGTATTAGCCCTGCACCTATGTTATCTATTGTGGTCACAGCTATAACAAAGCCATATCTGTAAAATTAGTAATAATAGACATTTGGTAAATATATACGATATGACGACCTCCATGGCCGAGTGGTTTGTACGCCGGGTTTCATGGCTGTCGCCGACTCGTGAGGTCTCGGGTTCGAATCCCGGTGGGGGCAGATGTTTGTGTGATGAATACAAGCATTTGTACTCCAGTCATGGATGTTTAATATGTATTTCTATATAAATATACTTATATATGCACAGTATATTCTATCCGTTACTCTAGCATCCCATAACACAAGCCTTATAGTGCTTACTTTGGGGCTAGGCTAATTGGTGTGAGTGTCGGAAATAATTATTATTATACGGTTGTACCTTAATGCGGGTCACTATTAAGTAAATAATGAAATACTCACTTCCCAGTACATGTTCCTTCAACTTCAGTATAAAGTTTTTGTTTTACTGTATCTAACAATTGAGGTCCAAAATATCGAGGATGCAACAAGATTTCATGTTCCAGTGACAACTGAAATCATTTCAAACAACAATCAACAAACACTAGGTTAGTAATGTTTTATTCCTTATGTAGCGGTGTTGGCATTACTTACATGGTAAAACATTATGGTAAACGCGTAGTTTTAATAGTGCATATTTTTCCTTAATTTTATACTTTACAGAAGGTAATAAATAAAACTCAAGAAGACGCGCCTACAGTGCTGCCAACCCGAATTTTAGGAAATTAGTAGATTATGTGCCAAATGTTGGTAGAAGTTGGTAGAATGTAAAATGCAAAATTGGTAGATCTACCACCTCAATTTAGAAGATTTTTTAAGATTAAAAATGCATGCAATGCAATGCAGAGCACACTTCAGATCACACCTACATGATTTGCAATAAAAATATCCGGCACCCTTAGTAATTTCTTAAAGCCAACCTGCAAATTCCTTGTCTTTCTCCCATAATTTCGAATATTTTTGACGTGACAACGTCTTAAATTAGGTTGCGGCTGGGAGTCACTTATGAAAAAGTGTAACGCTCGGTAACGTTACGATGAGTCTCTCGTGTTAAGTTTAAGTTTACATGTACAATGTTTTAGTAAACAAAATATATTTCTATAGTTAAAATTTGTGCAATTCTTATTTTCATTCAATTCCTTGTTCCTATTGTGCAATTTAATTATATTCATATCAATAAATATTCTACCGAGAAAAAGACGTTTCACGTAAAATCTTCGCCCGTAAAACCGACTTTACAGGCAACCATTTTTGGTCATAGTGCCTTTTTCTAGGTTTTCGTGGCGAAGTTCCTAACCTAGAACTATGTGCATCGCATTCGCTGCTGTCAGAATCCATTATATAAATAAATGCACGCAACATAGAACAAACAGCAATCAGCACCGTTAATACGCAGTTAATTAGTTTTTACAATAAAACAGGAGCAAAGATTCAACATTAATTGCGCAACAAAGCAACCGGGAATAGGCCATAGTAGGAATAGTAAAATATGGGCGCGAAACGGTGCGAACGCCGAATTCATGGCGAAATGTTCCTTTTTTTTGTTGTTTATGGCCTGGACTCTATGTATGCTTGACGCATCGTTGCATGGCTCACGCAATACATCACAACGTCGCTCGTCGATATAAAAATAATTCAAAGTGGTGATATGTCAAACTAATTAAAAAATAGGTAGTTTTTAGGTCTAGGGTGGTAGATAGGTAGACTGAAGTGAAAATTGGTAGATCTACCAAAAAGTTGGTAGATATGGCAGCACTGCGCGCCTAACAACATAACCTATAAATTTAAGTATTTATATTTTTTTCATTTTTACGGCGATGGAACCTTAAAATTATAAATCTGACCACAGACTTCTAAGGAGATACTGGTATCGATTCTGGAATAATTCTCTAATACCTCGTTTACATGCAGCGCGAGTAAGGAGGGAAGTGGGCATGACGAGTATGTAAACACGATACTCGTCATGCCACTGCCATTGGCACTCGCGCTGCCCGGCGCTCCCCAAAAGAGCTGTTTTTTGTGCGGAAGTCAAAGGGCCGGCAGCGCGATTGGCAACCATTGGCCAATTTATAATAATATAATTGATTTGGCGCCATGCGCTTGGTGGAGAAAGACGTGAAATCAAAAATTATTAATTAATTAAATCATTACTATGGATCCTTGTTATCCGAAAATAAATGATTATTATTATATTATTATTATCATCATCATCATCAGCCTCTTTATGTCCCCACTGCTGGGGCACAGGCCTTCTCTATGGATGGAATAGAGAGATTGGGCCATGACCCACCACACGGGCCCAGTGCGGATTGGCGGATTCTAACGATTGCAGATGCAACCGATACTAACGGCTTAACGTGCCTTCCGAAGCACGGAGGAACTCGAGATAGAAATTTTTGGTCACCCATCCAATGACCGACCACTGCGAAAGTTGCTTAACTACAACGATCGCAGCCGAACGCGCTAACCACCTGCGCCATCGAGCTCCTCATTAATTAATTAAATATTTATTAATAATTAATGTTTATTAATTTAATTAAATATTTATTAATAATTAATGTTTATTAATTTATTTATATTAAAGTTATTGGTTGCTTTCCAATTACAGAGCATAATGCGACTCAGTGCCGCACAATGCCGAATTATGCTGATGCTTAATTGGAACGTGAATTAGTTTTCAAATGCACCAGCAGAGTGCGCTAAGTTCAGTGTTGAAAAAAAAAAGTCAATGTTTGTACCTTCATCCACACTTATATTTATTTTTTAACAGTTTGAATGAACTTTGATTATTTAAAAAAAAACTATTTAATGAAACGAAAGCTTTAATAATTTTTCAACAATAAATAATATTACTAACGATAACATATAAATAAAACATTTCGATCAATGCCAACTTAAAGAAAAAACACTTGTTAATTTTCTGTCTCTAAGTTGGTACGACTGCACGCATCACACGAAAGCATCACTTTTGAGAGTGCTCAATTGTGCGAAGCGTTTCTGTAGTTGGAACACTCAACGTTAAGCATTATGCCGCATAATGCGCTATAATGCTGTAATTGGAAAGCAACCTTCAATTATTTAAAATTCGAACATAATTATGGATTGCAAAAAGACACAGCGCGGCCGCTATAATTACTTCGACGTCTGCCATTGCCAAAACTCTGAAGCGAAGTGAGAGGTAGGGCAGTATGTAAACACATACTTCTCTCAATCATGCCGCAGCAATATTTAGGGAATTATTGCCGGCAACGCGAGGGGCAGCGGCATGGGCATAATCTAAACAAGGTATAAAACTAAACTTTTTGACAAAAGTTTATCCTTGTCATTCTCTACACAGAATGAAAAGGAGACTGATTTTAAATTTAGTTTTATGTGTAGAGAATTGACACCATATTTTTTTTAATGCCGGCACTTTTCTCTATTTTTCGTATTTGCTATTTTTAAATTTGACATTAGTCTACCCTTTTCATTTTTTTATTTTATTTTTTTTTTCTTCTTTCTGTGGCGTTCTCCGTTTTGCACTACCCTTTTCATTCTTTTTTAAGCACGATAACGACAGACTGTTGTCAAGTTTACATAGAAAATACGAATACCCTAGTGAAGTGCCGAATTTACAATTTTATTTTTTTAGATCAAGCTAAACGCTAACAATGGCAACATTTCTCAAAAATGCCAAATGAATGGCCTGTGTAAAGGAACATTCCGTAATCAGATTGTGTTGAAAAATGGCAAAAACTTACGACTATTTATTAAAATTACTTCTGATAGGAGATTCAGGGGTAGGCAAAACGTCTATACTATTCAGATTTTCTGAAGATGCGTTCAATATATCTTTTATATCAACTATTGGTAAGTGATTCAATCTATACCAAAGGTTATTGTCAGATATCTTCTTATTAGATGTGTAATTTGTCACGGAACAGTTTTTTTGTTTCATTGTTCTGTGAACTGTTTTTCTGCGATGATATGCACGATGTTACTGTGGGAAGGGTGCGGCAACAGCATCCTCTTAATAGAGCCCTTATCGAATTAATGAATGAGCTCTTCATGACATCATTCTTACTAATTAATTGACCCGCAAATAATACGAATTGCTATTTCCAGGTATTGACTTCAAAATACGGACAATAGATTTGGATGGAAAAAAAGTTAAGTTACAAATATGGTAAGTTAAATATTAGTTTGTTTAGTAAGTAATATATAAATACAAACTTGACCACTTGAAAATATACCATTGTTATTGTAAAACTATGTAGAGTATGCTTTAATTTTTATGAATCTGAGGGTAGCCAAAACCCCATTGTTAAACTGCATCTGCTATTACAGGTATAATATATGAGTTATTGCTCTTTCAGGGATACAGCTGGCCAAGAAAGGTTTCGTACAATCACAACTGCATATTACCGTGGTTCTATGGGCATTATGCTGGTATACGATGTTACAAATGAGAAAAGCTTTGAAAACATAAAAAACTGGATTAGGAATATTGAAGAAAATGCAAGTGCAGATGTGGAAAAAATGATACTTGGAAATAAGTGTGATTTAGATTCTAAAAGACAGGTATTATCACCGTATGCACATAGCTTGTGTTTGACTTGTTGTATCTGTTTTATATTATCATGAAAATGTTTATCTTTAAGGTTTCAAAAGAAAGAGGAGAACAATTAGCTATAGAGTACCAGATAAAGTTTGTGGAGACATCAGCAAAAGACTCACTTAATGTTGAGTATGCATTCTTCACTCTAGCAAGAGATATCAAAGCTAAAATGGAGAAAAAGCAGGTATGAGCTTCTCGATTTTTCATTTAAATAAAAAAATAACACTAATACCTTTACCTTCATACTATTCATATTGTTTCTTTCACTTAAAAATAACTATGCACTAAAAGCTGTTTCAAGGACAAATCAATTTATATCAACTGTTGGAGTACCACTTACCAAATAAGCCAAGTTATGTCATTACTATTTTGCACATTCTGCTCTGAATTCATAATTGTATTCAGGGCTGGGCCAAAGCTAAGGGTGAAAAAATCCAAGCTATTGAAGCATAATTAATATATCTTCTGTATTACCTAATTTTTAAGTTTCTCTGTGATACAATTAAAACAAATACTGGTGTCGATTCTGGCAGGATTCTCTTAACTTAAAACTAAATTTAACATCAGTCTATCTTTTTTACTCTGTATAGAGAATGACAAGGATACACTGTTGTCAAATTTAAGTTTAGGTTTAGAGAATCATACCGGAATCGACACCCATTATGTTAAAACTGTACAGGAAACTGCATAATGTAGCCCTTACACATAATTAGGATTCATTGGTTTGTTTTGTGCCCAAAAATAAGAAATAGTTTTAAGGAATATCTTTTAAGGAACAAATTCGACTCAAGTAATCAACAATATTTTTTCTTGTTTCATGACTCCTTTTGAAAACAGAAGGTAAAGTTTGCTGTGGTGGTATTTTGTGTAGTATTTGTGTGTTTATCTTTTGTTTAGGTCAACATTTAATTGAATGCTTAATTGCATGAATTTCATTGTGTTTGATATTATTAATTTGTTTTGGTGGAATTTATTAAAAATAGATTTGTGTAACAGTAATTCACTGTAGAAATAACATTTGCAAAATCAATCAGAGATGTCAATTAATGTTTAAATTTAAGTTGAAGCTAACACTTTGTGTGAAAAAATATAATAAGACAACAAGCGAAATAATAAAGTATTAAAATTGATTGAAGTCTCTGAGTACAACTGTAAGATGTACAATTAATGAAGTTGGTGTTCTGCAGTTTTTGGCAAGTCACTCCAAAAATCAAGTTGCTCCAGCAACAATAGCCCATAATGACAGACTACCAAATTCTCTGACTGTAGTTACTGTAAACAATAAAATTCAAGTTCATTTGTCAATTATACTTTTGTGCAACAGGAAGCAAGTAATCCAGCTCCAAGAAGTGGAGCGCATCAGCTACGTGCAAATGAACAACAGCGCAAACCAACGTCATGGCTGTCACGTTGCAGTCTGCTCTGACAGCTGCCAAGCACAGTTCCTCTCCCGCACTGCACTATGCTACTTAGAAATATTTTAAAATGGATCTAAAGATACCCAGCTCTAAACTACTATACTTTGAACAACTTTGTCTGGTGCAATCTGGGGGTGAGACTTGCTTTTGTATTTTTATATCTGCAAACTTACCTAATTACTTCATCTGTAAGGCTAAGTCTGCACAACTAAACACGACACTAGTTTTTTTCTTGCGGTTTATGATCCGCAAACTTAATATAACAGTTTATTTTCAGTGGTCAAGTTAATGATCTTATTCAGAGTTGAAGACAATTTTTATTCAAACCATGCCATATCAGATAGATTTTCATTAGTCATAGGGGCTCGCATGCGTGATTTGTAATAGTAATACTGTGCATTGTATACAAATCAGTTACGATAGGCATGAGTAGTATAAACTTCTACCTCTCAATGCATTTGTTAATCAACCATCTGTCTAATATGTATTTGTTTTATATTGCACAGTGATAATTGCTGTATAATAGAAAAGTCCAAAACTGAATTTCTGCACTACTCATTCTCACCAACTGATGAATTTCATTGGTTGTTAGGCATTGCATGTTATATATTATATCAACTGTTATATGATGGCGCACTTTCCAATTATTATGAGCCATTACTGTAGACGTATGGCAAATTATATGCCGCGCGACTGTTTACAAGTTAGTTTAAAGTACTTATAAGTTCTTAGCTGAACTGTACAGTGCATAAGTAATACATCCTCCATGTCCATAGTGCACAAAACATTCAGGCATGTTTAAAATGCGCGGCGAGCGACTATAAACAGCGGCAAACTTGAAAGAAGTACTGTTTTGGCGCATTTTTTGCAAGATTAAATATATAAAATTTCCATATGTAATTGAAATAATCTTGTGGAATAATCGCGCAACGAGATTTCCCAGTGCAGGCTGGCTCTATGTTAATTAAAAATCAGTATTTTGTCATAAAATTAAATGGAATTTTTATTTATTTTAAAGTGACATTTATTTTTAGGAAAAATTACTTGGTGTTAATTTTTTTTTATGGTTCTATGGATACTTCAATAGATTGTTAGCTGTCTTTTGCAATTTTAATTAAGATAATTATGTATACTTTATTGTAATATATACTATTTAATTTGAATAAACAGTGCTTTTTTACAAATGTACATTGTTGTTCTGTTTATGACTTATCTGATTGAAAACAAGATTTAATTAAAAAACCTTTATTAATCAACAGTTATATACAATTTTGTTATAGGCAAATGCATTTTTTTTAGACTGTACTCAATTCATTACTTTTTTTTGTAATGCATTTGGTACAATCTTTTGACAAGATTAAGTAACAAGAGTTATCATTTATTTTTAAATGCTATCATGTGGCTTGTACTTGTTTGGGCTTAGATTTGAAGGGCATTAGGGCTACTTTCTTTACCCCAACTAAGGCACTTTTGGATAGGAATATTAAAATCTGCAGGAATTTCCTGAAGCTTATAGCAACAAGCTCCATTGTAAGTTGGGAACTCTTTCTCCAATACAAAACATACAGTGGAAGAGGAGGCAGCATGTCTGACCAAACTCCATTGCGATACCTTTTGGCATGAGCTTCAGCAGACAATATAGCTGGGGCCAATTTGGACTCCAAAGTGTTTTTGCTGATGTTTTGTGGTACACAAGCTTTGGCAAATCCCAGTTCTACCAATTTTTGCCCAATGTCAAGTGTCTCCACTGATTTAGTCTGAAAATTATAATAAAGTTAATTTTTGTAAGTTATTCTGCTCCCCTAGCATGAGCACTGCAATATGACATATATCTCGCTTTTTTATCATGTTCAGTTGTCAAATTATTATGGAGTTTGACAGTTATAAAAAACGTGATATAATGAAAATTGTGGTTGCACATGCTAGGGGGACAGGTTAGTATAAACTGTTGGACAAAAAATCAAGTACCTTGGATTGTGGCAAATGCAATAATACAGTGGAGACAAGAGTTTCCTCCTCTCTTGCTATAGGCTTCAAAGTAACTTTTTGTCCACGTGCCACACATTCCAGCCAATTTACAGCATTGCCACTCACAACATCAACACCCCAAAGCTACAAAAACAATTCAACTTGAGAAAGTTAATAATTAATAAGTACCACATAGACATTTTTTTATATACCTTTACTGGTAATGGTGGTTTACTGGAATGCCACAGTGGTAAATATATCGGAGCCTGGTGGTTCACCAACACTCGCACTGGTGAATGTTGTACACCTGCATATATTCCTCTCAGCGGCTCATGATTGCGTAAGAAATGATCCGGAATTTTAGTCGCTTTCGAAAACTTGCTAACCTAATAACAATATCAATATTTAGTTATGTAATAATATCAAGGTAATTAAATAAATTCAACGATGGATTTTTCATACCGGCCGAATTTTGTAGATGGATACAGCCAGACCAGCAGTAGCGAGTGCGTAGACGGCTATCTGTAAACCCGAAAATACCCTGGGTAACACAGTTTGGCGTTATTATTTAGGCTTTACAAACTTTACAGGTACTTACATTAACTCCACGGTAGTCCTGCTGTAATAGATTTGTGACGTTGTTGATAAGGCCGTCAGTTTTATTCGACATGGTGATAATTATGAGCCGACTGATTTTTCATAATTTGATTTCAGTGTTATTAGCTCATCAATATTTTGAGATTTTACGAATTCTCTTTACAAACTTTTGACATTTTACTTTTTTTGGGGTTTTTGTCCCTGTACGGACAGGCAAAGGATTCCTTGAGCCGTGTCTGTAAACATTTTATTTTTTCTGGCACAACAGTGTGACCAGAATAAATTTTAAGAAGCACACTTTTTATTAAATTTATGTGTGAAAATATGGGCTCGCGTGCAACATTCGATAATGTATATTTTAACAGAGATTTACTGAAATTAGTCATATTTTTCTATATAACTATTATAAACTATATATCCTACTTAATATTATAAATGGGTAAGTTCGTATGTCTGTTACTCAATCACACAAAAACTACAGAACGGAATTGAATGAAATTTGGTACGTATATAGGTTTTAACCTGGATTGAGACATAGGATACCCTTTAACCCGCAAAAAAATATGTTCCTGTGGGATTTAAAAAAACTAAAGTTAACATAGACGAAGTCACAGGCGGCCGTTAGTTCACTATAATTTTTTAAACATGCGCTCTATTTATGTGACGACAAAAAAACTTGCTACTTTGGGGAAATTCCTGAATTCGTTATACGATTATTATTATTTTTTTTTAGTGTGTATGCTGTTGGTCGCAGATGACCTTTACAGCGTCACCGGGTTTGGGGACGGCGAGATCCTAAGGGGACCTCAAGCAGAGAATTGGCGAAGGCAACAGAACTGCAGAACTCAAAATCATTTCAAACTAAAATCATCTTAGCTCTTAGATGATTTGCCTGTCATGTACTCATGTCCAAGCTGTAACTTGCTGACAACTGATCTTAAATGAATTAAAGACTTATTCCGGGAAAATAACATTTGTTGCTGCAGTTTAGAGAATAATGCCAGAATCGACACCAATGAAACAGCTGCTAGCATGCCAATAAAATATTTTCGAATGGCAACATCAAATTCCACGTCAACAAATTTGACAGTTCAGCTTCAGTCATTCGTAAATTGTTTGCAGAGCTTTACATTTTGTGCAAGTATTATTTTCTAAAATGATTACTGTTTTAAACACAATTGATACCGGCCATGAAGATATGATACACGATGCAGAGCTTGACTATTATGGACTTAGGCTAGCAACATGTTCTTCCGATAATTCAGTGAAAATATACGACATCAAAAGTGGAACTCAAACTTTAGCAGCCGACCTAAAGGGTCATTTTGGACCAGTATGGCAAGTAGCTTGGGCTCATCCTAAATATGGTAACCTATTGGCATCTTGCTCCTACGACCGAAAAGTAATAATATGGAAAGAAGCAGGTGAATGGACAAAATTGTATGAATATTCTGGTCATGAGAGTTCTGTCAATTCGGTCGCGTGGGCGCCGGCTGATTATGGGTTGATTCTGGCTTGCTGCAGCTCTGATGGCTCTGTGTCCATCATTACATATATTCAGGACACTGGAAACTGGGATGTGAAGAAAATTCCTGCTGCTCATGCCATTGGGGTAAATTCAATCAGTTGGTGTCCTGCTATATCTGCTGATCTGAATCTAGATCCACTGAGTAACAAAGAGGCAACTAAAAGAATAGTTACTGGGGGATGTGACAACTTGATCAAGGTTAGTTGGTAATTTTCATATCACTGTGAACACCATCAGCCAGGAACAGTAAATGAAATGTAAAGTGACTTTATTTTTTACAATATATTTGATTTATTATTTCAAATTTTCACATCACTTTTTACAGAGATCTTGAACACACCCACACACTAGTCTGGTAGGAGGAAAAATCTAAATATTCAAATGCAGCCATTGGATGACTTCTTTACATAGTTTTATTATTATACTTTTCAGATATGGAGGGAACAAGGTGACCAATGGATTGAAGAAAACCGTTTGGAAATGCATATGGATTGGGTCCGTGATGTGGCCTGGGCTCCATCTCTTGGCTTACAGCGGTCCATGATTGCCAGCTGTTCTCAGGATAAACGAGTTGTTATCTGGACCAGTGATGATAATGTGTCTTGGACACCCACAATCCTCAATACTTTTGATGATGTCGTTTGGAGTTTAAGCTGGTCGCTGACTGGAAATATATTGGCAGTTTCTGGAGGAGATAATAAAGTTAGCCTTTGGAAAGAAAGTGCTGAAGGGCAGTGGTTATGTATAAGTGAAGTGGCCAAAGGATTGGGACAAACACCTAATGAGGAGAGAAGCACTCTTTGATTTAAACAATTTCCTTAATATTAATTAATGATTATTTTTGATTTAGTGTTTAATGTAAATTAATTAACATGAATAAATTGTTTATTTTTCTGATTTAGAAATTCACCCCATTTTATTTTACCATTAAGTATATATTTAAGCTGTTATGAAATGTGCATAGCTATTTTTTTCTTTTTAATTATTAATAAGCTACAGTTTTTTAGTAGAGTTGTTCTTTGGGTAAAACAAATATGAAATATGGTGCATATTTTATCGGCCAATCTTTAGCTATTACCTAAATTATTTTTTATTATTGAAGCCACATTTTTTTAGTGAGTGCTCACACATGAGTGGTTCTTTAGGTAAAAAAATATGGATTATGGGGGATATTAAAAGCTTATTGCTCTGGAAATACCATTGAGTGTATTTTCAGTTCAAAATGTATTACTATCTTAATTGGTGGCATATAACAGACATAAAAATTTAGGTAATTGTGGACCTACTCATTTTTTACATTGATAATCATAATTAATTTTAAATTATGAACATTATTGAGATACTATAAAAAAATATTAATTTATACAAAGATAATACATTAAAATAACACAAACTTAAACTATTGATATTCATTTTGTAAATATAAGTCTTTCGAAGGTAGCTCAACAAAGTAAATAAAAATCATAATTCTGACGAGGCAGCCTGAAAAGGATACAAAACGTCAAAGAAGTAATAAAGGGTCGAATTTTGAAATGTTTAGGCATGTATTAATTAATTTTGTATTTTGAACACTAAACTTTATAGAAAATAACAAGCATCTGTGAAAACAAATCATTCAATCACTTGTATAGAGTAGGGCAGTTCCCAAACTTCTTTGGCTGCAGAAAATTTTTTTAGAAAAAATTAAGTTCAGGACCCCCCTTCTGTTTTTTCTTTGTTTCAAATCTTATATGTATTATCAATAAAAAAAAATTTTTGCAGAACACCAAGATGAGATTTACAGAACCCAGATTAGTAACCACTGTGGTAGGGTATGGAAATACAAAATAAATAAATAAACATTTATTATAACTTAATTACAATGATTAATGTTACATCTATCACATCTTCGCCAAGTGGAATTCTATGAGTTCAAGTAATAGGGGCATTTTGTAGTATTGCGCAATTGTCTTGAAAGTGGTCAGTTGTGAGTGGATCTCTTTGGAAGGCACCATTAGTGAGAAATCACCAGCACAGTCGCATACAGTTGACAAATTCTCTCGTTTTACCTATGCAAAAGGAACATTTTATCCATTAAATAACAAAAATAAATCTACATACCTCAAAAAATCTCCTGTATGATAATAAATTTCAAAAATTAATATTTCTTTCCAGACTCAGCAGCCCTTGTACGATGGATACCTACTAGATAATGTATAGACTAAAATATACAAGTAAGAAAATGTTTAAAATACCTACTTAAACATGTTTATTATTTTATATGTAATAATGATTAACAAATTTATTAGTTCATATTGAAAGATTCTCAGTTCAAATGTTATTGCTTATAAAATGATCCTTTTCTTTTTGTTAAAAGTCCGAATTTAACAACAGGGCTAATCCTAGTTAGAAAACTATAGCAGAATGAACTTGCAAACAGACCCCTCTTTCCCAGTGGGCACTTTGCGGAAGTGCCCAGGGCCCCCCCTCAGATCAAATACAAAGATATTAATTCGCCAAACGGGGGTCATAGGGGCCCCATTATCCTAATATGCTCAGGGCCTCAAATAGGCCAAAGACGGCACTGCTTGCAACTGTTTCATTCAACATCTTAAACTATCTTTATTGGTCAGTTTATATCTCGTGCCAGATGTCGGCTATTATATTTTAGCTTTCTTTTATTTTGCCTCCGACTTCTTTGGGCGGCATGATAGTGTGTACTACGTTTATGTGATACATAAATATTTTTTATTTCTACACAAACCTGATGACATCGACTGCAGATGAGATCTTGTAACGTATAGGTCATTGCCCTTCTGTTCATGGTCTCGATTAGCCGCCACTCCAATTCTTGGTTGTCGTACGCCGTGCCGCACGTAGGACAAACACACACGGGGCTGACAACGAAATAAAACATTCGTAATTAAATTTTCACCAAAAAAAGAGCTTTAGAAAAGCTTTTGCAAATACATTATTTCCATAGTAGTGAGTATCCAACACACATTACCATTATAATATATTATATTATTATACATAAATAGTAAAAAAAATGTGGATTTATAATGGTCTTGCTTTTATTGGTCGACAATAGAGAAAAAAAGTATACGTGAGTGTCGTGGCACACGGTTGAAATGAAACGAAAATATAAATAAACTTATGTGTAAGTACAAACACAATACGCTGTTTTGTCTGTTTCAAAGGGGGGCTCCCTTTCGCTAAGTCCGTGTTGTCCGTTGTTGTTGTCCGAAAAACCGGTAATTTATAGGATCGAAATTGTCACGTTAAGCCGCTGAGCCCGGCTGCATTTGCAGTCATTAGCACCACCAATCTGCAGTGGGCGGGCTTGGTGGGTTATTGCGTAACCTCCATATTCCATCCATATTAAAGGTGCAGCAGTGATGTTGAGGGTTTTATCGTTGTTTGTGGACTGTCCCAGTACTGATCAACTTATAGCCCATAAGGGACATTGACATGATGATGAGGTCTCACCATTGGCCGTGGAATGGTAGTGTCCCGGCATAGATCACCTCAGAGAGGGGGTTATAAGGGACTTAAATATGATAATGATGAGGTCTCACCATTGGTCGTGGACTGCCTTGGTATGGTAGTGTCCCAGCACATCACCTCAGAGAGGGGGCTGTAAGCTAATTTAATATGATAATGATGAGGTCCCACCATTGGTTGTGGACTGCCTTGGTAGTGCCCCAGCATAGATCACCTCAGAGAGGGAGTTATAAGGGACTTAAATATAATAATGATGAGGTATCACCATTGGCCGTGGACTGGTAGTGTCCCAGCATAGATCACCTCAGAGAGGGAGTTATAAGGGACTTCAATATGATAATGATGAGGTCTCACCATTGGTCGTGGACATCCCTGGTAGTGTCCCAGTATAGATCACCTCAGAGAGGGGGCTGTAACGTAATTTAATTTGATAATGATGAGGTCTCACCATTGGTCGTGGACTGCCCTGGTAGTGTCCCAGTATAGATCACCTCAGAGAGGGGGCTGTAAGGTAATTTAATATGATAATGATGAGGTCTCACCATTGGTCGTGGACTGCCCTGGTAGTGTCCCAGCATAGATCACCTCAGAGGGGGGGCTGTAAGGTAATTTAATATGATAATGATGAGGTCTCACCATTGGTTTTGGACTGCCCTGGTAGTGTCCCAGCATAGATCACCTCAGAGAGGGGGCTGTAAGGTAATTTAATATGATAATGATGAGGTCTCACCATTGGTCGTGGACTGCCCTGGTAGTGTCCCAGCATAGATCACCTCAGAGAGGGGGCTGTAAGGTAATTTAATATGATAATGATGAGGTCTCACCATTGGGTTTGGACTGCCCTGGTAGTGTCCCAGCATAGATCACCTCAGAGAGGGGGCTGTAAGGTAATTTAATATGATAATGATGAGGTCTCACCATTGGTCGTGGACTGCCCTGGTAGTGTCCCAGCATAGATCACCTCAGAGAGGGGGCTGTAAGGTAATTTAATATGATAATGATGAGGTCTCACCATTGGTTTTGGACTGCCCTGGTAGTGTCCCAGCATAGATCACCTCAGAGAGGGGGCTGTAAGGTAATTTAATATGATAATGATGAGGTCTCACCATTGGTCGTGGACTGCCTTAGTAGTGTCCAAGCATAGATCATCTCAGAGGGGGTTATAACGGACTTAAATATAATAATGATGAGGTCTCACCATTCATCGTGGACTGCCCTGGTAGTGTCCAAGCATAGATCATCTCAGAGAGGGGGTAATAACAGACTTAAATATAATAATGATGAGGTCTCACCATTCATTGTGGACTGCCCTGGTAGTGTCCCAGCATAGATCACCTCAGAGAGGGGGCTGTAAGGTAATTTAATATGATCTGAGGTCTCACCATTGGTCGTGGACTGCCCTGTTAGTGTCCCAGTATAGATCACCTCAGAGAGGGGGCTGTAAGGTAATTTAATATGATAATGATGAGGTCTCACCATTGGTCATGGACTGCCCTGGTAGTGTCCCAGCATAGATCATCTCAGAGAGGGGGTTATTTATAAGGGACTTAAATATAATAATGATGAGGTCTCACCATTCATTGTGGACTGCCCTGGTAGTGTCCCAGTATAGATCACCTCAGAGAGGGGGCTGTAAGGTAATTTAATATAATAATGATGAGGTCTCACCATTGGTCGTGGACTGCCCTGGTAGTGTCCCAGCATAGATCATCTCAGAGAGGGGGTTATTTATAAGGGACTTAAATATAATAATGATGAGGTCTCACCATTCATCGTGGACTGCCCTGGTAGTGTCCCAGTATAGATCACCTCAGAGAGGGGGCTGTAAGGTAATTTAATATGATAATGATGAGGTCTCACCATTGGTTGTGGACTGCCCTGGTAGTGTCCCAGCATAGATCACCTCAGAGAGGGGGCTGTAAGGTAATTTAATATGATAATGATGAGGTCTCACCATTGGTCGTGGACTGCCCTGGTAGTGTCCCAGCATAGATCACCTCAGAGAGGGGGTTATAAGGGACTTAAATATGATAATGATGAGGTCTCACCATTGGTCGTGGACTGCCCGGGTAGTGTCTCGGCACAGGTCGAGGTCGCGGCAGTGGTTGCACACTTTGCAGATCACTTCTGACAAAGAGCACGAGGCACAAGGGTCGCGCCATTCGGCTGAACTACTGAATTCCCCTACGCCAATCAGACGGAGCAGGTTGCGACGAAGAAGCGTTACCTTTGAACCGTAATAATGTTTTTAATATGAAGATACACATAGTATAGTAAACCAAAACTGACATTTTTATGTGCGCAAAAACTACAAGGTTTCCTTACATATTTTTAATGAAAAATACTGAATTACTAGAAAGCTGTACCCTTAGCAAGAACCAATATCGAATTCGTAACGTTTGCGAGTCCGAAATGTCATTGTCAAATGTGTACTGATTTCTAGTTCTCGTTACGTACTTTGTGGCGCTGCTGTTCAAGTTTCCATACAAAATTTGACATTTCCAACTCGCAAACTATTCGAATTCGATAATGGTTCGTGTACTGCATAATATAATTTCACTAACATCGGCTAGGTTAGACAGTAGGTTAAGTTTTATCATCTCACCTCTTCATCGAGTGTGGTGTCAAGTGAAAACACCTTGCAGATAGCATTGACGTACAGCAAGGCAGGCGTGGCATCTGGGGGCAAAGCGCCGGGTTTGAGGCCCGGCTGAGGCCCTATGTCGGACATCTTTAGCATCGGCATGCGGCTGTTTATCTTCTCCGTCACTCTGTTTATTAACAAAAAAACATCTTTAATAATATATTTTTGATGTGTAACATCTTACCTCTCGCTTTCGTGCAATTTGTGGGAGTTATTGCGTGAAGTGGGACGGAAGCGTGTAACAGGAAGTTTGTGAAGCGCGCGCTAGTTGATTTGATTTTAGAACATAATGTTCAAATGGCTTATTCCTTTTGTAGTAGATTTTATTTCTTATTTTACTAATATAAGGTGAGGTTTCAAATGTTACACATCATACGCGACTACTGTAAGGCTCGCTCATTTTTTTTAAACTGATAGATTTATGAATTTAAAGAAAATTTTACTAGAATTCATTGAGTCATTTTCATACTCACTGGAACAGCTTCTGCGATATCTCCCCGCTGAGTATGGACCGTAGTTGGTCCGGCTGTGAGCACGCGGCACTAAGGAACCCTGCCACGGCCGCAGTGAACTGTTCCCTCACCGCCGCCGGTAGGAAGTGTGCCAGGTTCCAATGCATTGTTATGGTACCATCCTGGTGTAGAAACATGAGGTGAAATAGAATTCGCAACATATTTACTGCCTTACTAAACTGTCTGAATCTGATGTCGATTCTGGCATGATTCCCTAACTTAAAACTAAATTTAACAACAGTATCTCCTTTTCATTCTGTATAGATAGAGAATGATAAGGATGTTAAAATCTGTTGTCAAATTTAGGCTTATTTAAGGGAAGAATCATGCCAGAATCGACACCAGTGTGGAGTTTAGAATGAAAAAAATCTTATGGAATCTTTTATGTATATGAAAATCCTAGAAAGTGAAATATTATTTGTGTATGTCGTTTAATCATAGCTCCAATAGGGAATATGCATATAATAATTCAAATAAGGCTCAATTTTATTCTATATGAACTCTATTGTCCCTCCATCAAAATTTTTAATGAAATTTCGTTTTGAGCAAGAAATTAATCATTGTGAAAGTGCGAAAATCTTGCTGGGAAATTCAAACAGCTGAAACGCGACAGAGCGGTTGTGACGTAGAAATACATCAAAATCAAGAAACAAGCGTCATGTTCACAGGATATTTATGTCAATGTCAACAAGACCTAGCGCGACTGTGTAGTGAGTAAATCTCTTACCTCTTCCTCTTCTCCTTCTTCAGTAGGAGGTACTTGCGATGATCCCACTTCCTCCAAGCCTGGTGGTAATTTTCCCTGTTAACCAAATCACTAATTCAAATTCTTATTTGACTCGTATGTATTAATTTCAGATGCTTGATGGCACAGGTGGTCTTATTACGGTCGATTACGGAAATTAAGCAACTTCCGCAATAGCCGGCCAATTAAAAGGATGACAAATCACTTATGTAAATCTCGAACTCCTCCGCACTTCAGACGGCACTTTAAGCAGCTGGTTCCGGCTGCATCTCTTTTTTTAATATACACCAATTAGCCTAGCTCCATAGTAAGCACGGTAAGGTTTGTGTTATGGGATGCTAGGGTAATAGATAGAATACCATACACTGATACATTTATAAGTATCTTTGATCTAGAAATATATAAAAATAACCATGAGTAAGATACTAATGCTCGAATTCCTCATACTAACACTTGCCCCCACCGAAACTCGAACCGGGGACCTCTCGAGTTAGCGACGCCATGAAACCCGTCGTATAATAACACTCCATCACGAAGATCGTTTGCGTCTCGCTCTGCCGTGCCGACATGATTTACAGAAAATTGTTATTAAAGTTAAAACTTAAAACACCATTTTCTCAAAATCATGTCGGAGATCCTTACTGCATTCTTCACTAGGACGGCAAATCTGCAGACGTTAGCTTAGCACCCACCAATATTCACTGGGCCCGCGTGGTGGATTATAGTAGGCCATCGATAGGAAAAGCCTCTATTCCAACAGTGCGGACACAACAAGAGCGCCGGGCGATGTTTATCTCCTTGATTTCATCACTAAAGAAATGATTTTCATACATTAAATTTAATTTTACTAATTCTATGCTCCTGTCTTCCCCTTTTCGATAACTTGTTATTCAAAGAAACCAGAAGCCCTCAAAAATGACAAGACTATTTTTTATCACCATTAAAGACAACTAGTGTAGAGATTCAATAAGTATTTACAAAAAAGCAAAAAATAACGAGGCATTGTTTCTCGATCTACAACCAAACCACGAATTTTGCAATTTTTAAACGCAATTTCCAGCGTTAGCTATTGTTGTCCCCATCGCACGGTATTTGCCAATGCGCGACAGCAATAGCTTTTTAAAATACCTATTCCTCAAATGTCTCTACTCCCATCATCATCATCAGCCTATTAATGTCCCCACTACTGGGGCACAGGCCTGGATGGATTAGGGAGATTGGGCCATGACCCACCACGCGGGCCCAGTGCGGATTGGTGGGTGCTAACGACTGCAGATGCAGCCGGGACCAACGGCTTAACGTGCCTTCCGAAGCACGGAGAGCTCGAGATAGTAAATTTTTGGTCACCCATCCAATGACCGACCACTGCGAAAGTTGCTCAACTTCAACGACCGCAGCCGAACGCGCTAACCACTGGCGCCATCGAGCTCCTCTACTCGCATCTGCTCATAAAATGCTGATGTTGATGTATAATTCAGTCAAAATCACCTGTACGCCCGCGTGGTTGGCTTCATCCAACCAAAGAAGATAAGACCAGCACTGTTTGTATCGAATATCGATGCCGTGAAACAACTCCTTATTTCGGATACTCTGCACCACGAACTCCACGTAACCTACATCGAAAATGGATCTTTAAAATTATATATAGTAACGCCTATTAACATATTATGTAACATGTATAGAGTAGCACGATAAACAAATCCTTATATGTATTGTTTCTATTAACAGGCTATTTCGGAGAAGCGAAAATTAAGTACGAATTGTTAGCTCCTGTATTTAATATGAATATTAGCAGCGATTTTACTAGTCTGAAAGAACAAACTTTTAATAACTTTTCTAATAATCTTTTTTTTGTTCTATGGTCATGTGATACGCAGGGCTTAAAGTCCGCGTATAGTATAAGAGATCCGAGCCGTCTGAATTCAGCTACCAGCATGAGGGACAGCTTTTTCATCAAGTTGTAGAGGGTACGTCTTAATGTCGGGTCGTATAGTACCAAGTCGGGGTTTTAGGATTTCTTTACTATATTTTTATCCGGGACGGGTCCGCTAGATAGTAATACTTTTGTAGATATTATTCTTACCAATGCCGTCTAGTACTGAATTCTTCTTCGTGCACAGTATGATCTTGTTAAAGTCCGCGTACACGATGAGAGATCCGAGCCGTCTGAACTCCGCTACCAGCATGAGGAACAGCTTCTTCATCAGGTTGTAGAGGGTGCGCCGTAACGCAGGGTCGTATAGTAATGAAGTTGGTGTTTTTAGCCATCTGTACGGTATAGATAAAAATAAGTGATGGTCATACAAATAAGATTAAGAAATTTATTATTTATTTGTTTATCAAATTTCAACAAAATGAAGATATCGATTTGGAACTTCGAAGCTATAAACTAAGGTTGAAAATTTATTAAAGAATTTTGACAATCATGTTTAGTCACAAGAGCTATAGCGTGTAGATTTTATATTATACCAAGTTAAAATGTATTTAGAATAGGTTTCAAAGTCAACCTTAATGGCAGCCAGACCCGTCTTTCCCATTGGGCATTTTGGGTAAGTGCCCAGGGCCCCGCGATCCCCCTCAGATCAAATACAAAGTCCCTAGTTCCTGTTTAATCACCAAACGGAAGTCATAGGGGGCCCCATTATCCTAATATACCCAGGGCCTACAATAGGTCAAAGACGGCACTGATGGCAGCTGTGAAGTTAGCGCAAGGCGCTCGCTGCTAACTTCACGACCGCCACAAAGTTTAAATCTCACTATAATTTACCTATAGAAATGCGATATCTGGTAGTCGGCGAACACGTTCTTGTACTGAGTGACGTCACGCAGCCACGACGCTATCATAGTCCTCAGGATCTTGAACGCTGCGTTACATTGTGCTGTCTCGTCGTAGTTTACTGACGCGTTAGGACCTATGAAATATGATGGTATTAGTTAGTTTTCAGTAGATTTATTACTTTGGCAGTCGTACTCAAAGACAAGGTACATGGTAACAATCCCGTCAAAAGCTATTTTTTGGAGAGAAACTTCTTTTAAGACGGGGTGTACATGAAAAAATCCTATGGGAAAGATGAAACGGAAATGCGTCACACGACTATATATATGTATGTGTGGGTGTGGGATGCGTGCGCATCTCTTTCCGACGAGCATGAAAGTTGGAGGGTAACTCGACGAAGGCTAAAACGCTACAAGCATCACACGTGACTGCGCTGCTCCATTCCCCTATGCTTTATGCACCGCCGAATGTTAGGTTATTTAAGAAAAGAAGTTGCGCTTCAGTAATGTGGTCCGTTTGCACTATTTTTTTATCATAGGCGGCATACGAGCAGATGGATATGGATACATTGAAGAAAATAATATTAGGTACAGGCTAAATTTGACATTAAGTACCATGTCTCAGTATAGTGGTCAAAAAGTACATTTAATTGATATAAATAAATTAACATATAATTTTAAAATGACAAGAGATAAATATTATCTTTCATATTACCATAAGAGACAAATAGCTTCTTCGCTATTATTTTATTTTACACACATAGCCAAAAACTTGGCTAACACTACTGCTTCTATTGAGCAGCATAATTATGTGGATCAGACTTTGGAATTTGTTCCAAATACTGACATTAATTGTAATTTAAATTAGTTCGTAAGACAACAGAGGAGCTCTCTAGCTATATCAAGACCAAGGAAAAGTCTAAATTTCTAAATATTGTTCACCAAAATATACAAGGCTTTTCTGGTAAAGACTTAGAACTATGCTTATTTTTAAATACAATGAATATAAACATTTTATGTATTACAGAGCACTGGCTCAGAAATTATGAATTAGTTACAGGCTTAGATAATTATACAGTTGTTAGTAGTTTTTGTAGGAAATCGGCTATCAGGGGAGGCTCTCTCATAATCTTACAGAATAATCTTAAATACAAAGAACGTGCAGATATTGTTTCACTTTCAGTTGAACGTAATGTTGAACTATCTTGCGTGGAACTGGAAGAAATGATCATAATATGTGTATATCGACCCCCATCTGGGAATTACACTCAATTTGAGTCCGCTATGGAAGACACTTTCAATATAGTATGTAAATGTAATAAAGTGGTTGTTGTGTGTGGTGATTTTAATATAAACATTTTAGTTAAGTGTCCATTAGTGAGTAGGTTTCTAAACTTATTTAGATCATATAACTTGAAGCATACCTTCTTTGAGCCTACCCGCATCACACATGCATCAGCAACCTGTTTGGATAATATTTTTTGTAATAGAAATGTTTTTAATAAATCAATAATAAATTGTATTAATTCTGATCATAGTGGACAATTAGCCTCTATTGAACACCATCATGCTTCACCCAAACATGACCTAACTTGTAGACCAATTACACAAACGGGTATAAATAAATTTCAAGATAACGTTTATCACAAAATATCGAACTTACCAGTTTGTAATAATAATAATATTTTGTATGAAGATTTATTCAATTTAATTAAAGATGAATTCAATAAAATATTTAAACGCAAATTAATTAAATGCCGTAGCTCTAAAAAGAAATTTAGTGATTGGGCCACACCGGGTATTTACAAAAGTAGAAATAAGTTGTATCAATTATATGCTCTCAAGGCAACCTCATCTGATCCTAAGTTTATAGAATATGTCAAAAACTATTCAAAAACTTTTAAAAAGGTGTGTGCCATAGCAAAGTCTAAGTTTTTATCTAAAAAAATTAGTCTTTCCGATAATAAAATAAAGACAACTTGGAATATAATTAATAATGAAACTGGAAGAAATAAATTTAATGAACATACATATTCTTTAAAAATAGACAATAAGATTATTAGGACAGATGATGCCGTTGCAAACACTTTTCAAAATTTCTTTTCTAGTGCACCATTTGAAACAACTAGAAATCTTAATTCTTGTTCTAGGTTAGCAATGACCCTCCTTGAGTCAAGTGTTGATAAGTGCAGTAATGATTTTCATTTTAGACATATCAGTAGTGATTGTATTATAAAAACTTTTAATTCAATTAAAATTAAAAAGACAGAGGATTATTGGGGAATATCAACATATATAATAAAACCGATTATCACTGTCATTGCGCCACAACTGGCCATTATATTTAACAAATGTATTGATGAGGGAGTGTTTCCAGATCTAATGAAATGTGCTAAAGTTATCCCTCTCTTTAAGGCTGGTGAGAAATCAGATCCCAGCAATTTTAGGCCTATATCTGTATTACCAGCGCTAAGTAAAGTATTTGAGAAAATAATTTATAACCAATTACTAGCACACTTTTCTATAAATAAGCTATTTCATTTAAAACAGTTTGGTTTCACTAGAGGCAAAAGTACTACTGATGCTGGAACTGCACTTCTCAAACACATCTTTGATATATGGGAGAGTAAGCACGATGCTATTGGCATTTTTTGCGATTTATCTAAGGCATTTGACTGCGTTAGCCATGAAACATTGTTAAATAAAATGAAGCATTATGGTGTATCAAATATTTCACTAAGTCTGATACAGTCTTATCTTTCTGCTAGGATTCAGAAAGTGGTTATAAATCAAGCTGAGTCTACAGGAGCACCCATTTCTATGGGCGTGCCCCAGGGTTCAATATTGGGCCCATTGCTTTTCCTTATTTATATTAATGACCTTCCTCACTTTACAAGAGATTTGTGTGAGACAGTACTATTTGCTGATGACACCTCTTTAGTGTTTAAAGCTAGGAGAGGAAATGATTGTTATGACGAAGTAAATTGTGCTCTCTCTGAAGTCCTTCACTGGTTTACGGTAAATAATTTAAAACTAAACTCTAGTAAAACAAAATGTGTTAAGTTTACTTTACCTAATGTGAGGCAGGTTAATACTAGTTTAAAAATAAATGACCAGCCTGTAGAGTTAGTGGATTCTACAAAGTTTCTGGGTATTACTTTAGACTCGCATTTGCAATGGGATCCTCATATGGATGCCTTATCAAGTAGACTGAGCTCTGCGGCTTTTGCTGTTAAAAAAATAAGACTTCTAACTGATGTGGAAACGGCAAGATTGGTTTACTTTGGTTACTTTCATAGCGTTATGTCATATGGCCTTTTGTTGTGGGGCTCAGCTGCTAATATAGAAAGTATTTTCGTACTGCAAAAGAGAGCTGTTCGCGCCATATATAATTTAAAGGCAAGAGAATCTCTTAAAGAAAAATTTAAAGAAATTAATATTTTAACACTGGCATCGCAATACATTTATGAAAATTTAGTATATGTAAGAAAAAACTATGACGCATTTTCAAAAAAAAGTCAAACCCATAACTTTAACACGAGATATAATAACAAACTTGCCGTTCCATGTTTCAGACTCCAAAAATCAAGAGGTTCATTTCTGGGATGTAGTATTGCATTGTTTAACAAAGTTCCCCAAGATCTGATTGAGCTTCCACTAACCAAATTTAAATCTCAGATTAAGAATACTCTTATGAATAAGGGCTATTATAAAGTTAATGATTATCTAAATGATCGAAATGCATGGACATAGTGTTTCTTGTAATTTGTTATTTGATGGGTATGAGTCAGTTTTTGAAACAGTAATATGGTACCTATCTAATGCCGCTTCCTATATACTAAATATAAAATTTATTGTAACTATGTATCTATATCCTTAATAATGTAATGGAAGGTGACTTCAGATGTATCTCTGAAATCATTTTTCAACTTGACAACTCTGTATATATCAATACAGGGAGAAAAAAGCAGCCCTTGCTGAGTTTCTTGCCGGTTCTTCTCAGTACAAGGTCTCCCGCCGTAGTTTTGCGAACCGATGGCGTAGCTTCTTGACCTTCACAAGTGCTTGTAACAGCCTAGACTGAATAAATGACTTTTCATTTCATTTCATTTCATTTCATTTCATTTCATGGCTCACCTGGTGGCCTATTCGCAAACTTTTTTCGTATTTACAATGTGTTACTAAAGAGAATTGCATATCCATGGAAGCTTTTCAGGACAAGTAACAAAGTAGCTTTTTCCATTCAAAATTTGACGATTACGATACTATACGGAGCTGTCAAAAACTCGTGCTTGGGCCGCTGCAACACCAGGGGGCCAATCGCCTAACGGAAATGCTTTGGACAACGCTAACGCTTACGATTTTATTTTGTTATTTCTAGCCGCCTGAGGTATTCAAATGCCTCGCGCTCTTTCTTTTTCTTTTGCTAGCTTTAATAACAATATTAAAAAAAATGAACGTGAGGTATTCGAAAACTTCAGGCGGCTAGAACTAACAATATAAAATCGTAAGCGTTAGCGTTTCCCAAAGCATTTCCGTTAGGCGATTGGCCCCCAGATGTATTACAAACGCGATGCCGGCCTTTATGGAAGGAGTACGCTCTTTTTAAGGTTTTCGGGTCGTATTGGTCCGGAAACATTGCAGACTTGTTTTACATATATGTACATACATATGGCCGGATACTGGCAATATTAAAGCAACGAATGGTTTTAAGCTCGCACTACGCATGGCTATTCGATTTGACATTTTGACAGCAAGTTGTCCTTATCATACTTTTATTTATAACTTTTGTACACACAAATATAAATAGACAGAAATTACAAAATAAGAAGTAGTACAAGGGCACAGCTTATTTCAATCTGAAATTTCTTCCAGTAGGCCCATTGCAGGAACAAATATTGAAAAGGCAGTCAGTGTGTATCTTATCTTTATATATATAATTCTTCTGTGAGTGTGTATGTCACTGAACTTCTCTTAAACGACTGGACCGATTTTGATGAAATTTTTTGTGTGTGTTCAAGGGGATCTGAGAATGGTTTAGATTCACAATTTTGTCCGCTGGATATTGTTTTTTTAATTAAATTTTTTTATGGCGGTACGAAGTTCGCTGGGTCAGCTAGTAATTATATATAATTTAATGGTAATGGAAAGGAAAGATGCTGTCAAGTTAACAAATAGCAATTACGAGGAGCCATGTGAATTACCGACATTACTTATCACATCTACCCGCAATTATTTCATAAAAAACAAGGTACATGGTAACAATGCCGTTAATAGCTATAATGTTAGTGACCATGAAAGTTTAAAACAATATATCAAAAAATATTCCTCACCGGTACTGGCCATGGCGTCCTGAATGTTGGCGTGCTGGGCCCCAAAGGAAGTGGCAGCGCTGGTTCCTTCAGCTTGTAGAACGTGCTGTGCTTGTAATAGTGCGCAGACAGCTAACGCGTCGCTTTCTAATTCTACGCAAACGCTGCCGTAAGCGCCGCTAGCGTTGTGACTACAACCGGACATTTCTTCTGTCTCACTCACGAGTCTGTGTGTAAAAGGATAAGCGATAGACTGTAAAAGTATCGATATAAAAATTATGAAAGAATTTACAGACTTATATAAAAGAAAAAAATGTCAACAAAATTGTGGTTACGATAAGCTTACAAAATTGATTTTTTTTTTCATTTCGGATTTATTGGAAAACACGATGAATGTATTAGTGAATTTTCTTGAAAATTTTCAAATAAAACGTTGAAAATAGAATCGGGGCTTTCCCAGCTTATTTCAACGCTAGCCATCTTAATTCTTCATTGTTATCTATTATTTCAACATACTACAATTCACTTTAACTCCATAGCAATAGAATCCTCTATCACTATATTAACTTCGTACCTGTTGTCATCAGTCTCGCGGCCTCCCAAATCAGGTCGTTCCAGGCTCGAGCACCACAGTACGAAGTTGTGTTTGACCAAATGTCGAGCGTAGAACAAGTCCGCCCCGAATAATGTGGGATCCGCCGGCATGTTGCCTAGAGGTACGTGGAAGTACCTGGAAGAGAAAACTGGTGGTTAGGAATTTATTTTTTTATCATTAACTATTAAGAAATATAGGCCTATACACGAGTAATAGTATACTCGAGCTTCAGATATTGTCGTATAAATACTACCAAACCTGCACTGTTCTATGGTGAGCTGCAGCACAGACTCAAGGTTCAGATAATGTCGTATAAGTATTACCCAACCTGCACTGTTCTATGGTAAGCTGTAGCACAGACTCGAGGTACAGATAATGTCGTATAAATACTACCAAACCGGCACTGTTCTATGGTGAGCTGCAGCACAGACTCGAGGTACAGATAGTGTCGTATAAATACTACCAAACCTGCACTGTTCTATGGTGAGCTGCAGCACCGACTCGAGGTTCAAATAATGTCGTATAAGTATTACCAAACCTGCACTGTTCTATGGTGAGCTGCAGCACCGACTCGAGGTTCAAATAATGTCGTATAAGTATTACCAAACCTGCACTGTTCTATGGTGAGCTGCAGCACAGACTCGAGGTACAGATAATGTCGTATAAATACTACCAAACCTGCACTGTTCTATGGTGAGCTGCAGCACCGACTCGAGGTTCAAATAATGTCGTATAAGTATTACCAAACCGGCACTGTTCTATGGTAAGCTGTAGCACAGACTCGAGGTACAGATAATGTCGTATAAATACTACCAAACCTGCACTGTTCTATGGTAAGCTGTAGCACAGACTCGAGGTACAGATAATGTCGTATAAATACTACCAAACCTGCCCTGTTCTATGGTGAGCTGCAGCACAGACTCGAGGTTCAGATAATGTTGTATAAATACTACCAAACCTGCACTGTGCTATGGTAAGCTGTAGCACAGACTCGAGGTACAGATAATGTCGTATAAATACTACCAAACCTGCCCTGTTCTATGGTGAGCTGCAGCACAGACTCGAGGTTCAGATAATGTCGTATAAATACTACCAAACCTGCACTGTTCTATGGTGAGCTGCAGCACAGACTTGAGGTTCAGATAATGTCGTATAAATACTACCAAACCTGCACTGTTCTATGGTGAGCTGCAGCACAGACTCGAGGTTCAGATAATGTCGTATAAATACTACCAAACCTGCACTGTTCTATGGTGAGCTGCAGCACAGACTCGAGGTTCAGATAATATCGTATAAATACTACCAAACCTGCACTGTTCTATGGTGAGCTGCAGCACAGACTTGAGGTTCAGATAATGTCGTATAAATACTACCAAACCTGCACTGTTCTATGGTGAGCTGCAGCACAGACTCGAGGTTCAGATAATGTCGTATAAATACTACCAAACCTGCACTGTTCTATGCTGAGCTGCAGCACAGACTCGAGGTTCAGATAATATCGTATAAATACTACCAAACCTGCACTGTTCTATGGTGAGCTGCAGCACAGACTCGAGGTTCAGATAATATCGTATAAATACTACCAAACCTGCACTGTTCTATGGTGAGCTGCAGCACAGACTCGAGGTTCAGATAATATCGTATAAATACTACCAAACCTGCACTGTTCTATGGTGAGCTGCAGCACAGACTTGAGGTTCAGATAATGTCGTATAAATACTACCAAACCTGCACTGTTCTATGGTGAGCTGCAGCACAGACTCGAGGTTCAGATAATGTCGCATGATAGCTCGCGCACCGATCCGCTGCCATTCCAACGTGTTGTATAGAGTTTCTACGTCTCGCACGTGTAGCGGCACCAATGGGAAATCCGATAGACCTGTAGGTAAAAGGCTTATTATAATTATACACTTTTAGTAGGAGAGCTAGTGTACCCTCCGAGTAACGGTATGTCTGTAAGGGTAGAAATTCTTATGGTGATGAGGTATAGCATGCGTAGTACGGTAAGCATTGCCTGGCACGCCTCAGCCCTGCACGTCATCAAGCACTATATATTTGAATTTGCCGACAAAATATTAAAAAAAAAACTTGTTGCTTTCTGTCTATCTAAAGCAGTGGTTCTTAACGGTGGACCCTAGACACACCCGAAGTGCTTCATTAGAAAAAATATTACGTAAGGAAGAACGCTGATCGATTTATTTGCATACTGTTAAAGCAGCGATGAAGTCGATCGGCAGCGCTCGGACTCTGCAGCAGTCCCGTATGCGGGTGGCGTCGCTGCATATATAGCAGCATGGAATCTATACCATTACACAACGCTTAGGACGTCAGAGACCGTATGGCCGTCAAATATATTTTCAAATTGATAAAGCGAAAATCATTTCAATAAAACGTATCTTCACCTAACATGTGTTAAACGTGCCTTTGTCTGTCTTTGTATACGTTAACGGAATAAGAAATAGAGAGACGTTGAAACAGAAAAATCTAATATATAAAATTCTTGTGTCGCGGTGTTTGTGGTTAAACTCCTCCGAAACGGCTTTCCCGATTCTCATGAAATTTTGTGTGCATATTGGGTAGGTCTGAGAATCGGACATCTATTTTTTTTCCTCCTAAATGTTAAGGGTAATCCACCCCTAATTTTTTTTATTCTTTTATGATACATCATACAAAAATACATACATCCCTAAATTTTCAATTTTCTACCACCAACCCCTATTTTTTTATGGCGGTACGAAGTTCGCTGTGTCAGCAAGTAATATATATAAGATTATAGTAGTGCAGGATAATGCGGTCTGCAGTGCTAAGAGCGTGGGCCCTCAGCGTTCTTCGCAGTATGGCTGTAACGTACCATACGGCCCTCGCTTCACTCTCTATAAACACCTGCTACGTTTGTACACATACCGGGCATCAGGGCCAGTAGTGCAGGCGAGGATAATGCGGCCTGCAGTGTTAACAGCGTGGGCCCGCAGCGTTCGTCGCGGTACGGCTGTAACGTACTATATGGCCTTCGCTTCACTCTCTATGGACACCTGCCACGTTTGTACACATACCGGGCATCAGGGCCAGTAGTACAGGCGGAGATAATGCGGCCTGCAGTGCTAACAGCGTGGGTCCGCAGCGTTCGTCGCGGTACCGCTGTAACGTACCATACGGCCCTCGCTTCACTCTCCATGGACACTTACCACGTTTGTACACATACCGGGCATCAGAGCCAGTAGTGCAGGCGGGGAAAATGCGGCCTGCAGTGCTAACAGCGTGGGCCCGCAGCGTTAGTCGCGGTACCGCTGTAACTTACCAAACGGCCCTCGCTTCACTCTCTATGCAAACCTGCTACGTTTATACACATACCGGGCATAAGAGCCAGTAGTGCAGGCGGGGATAATGCGGCCTGCAGTGCTAACAGCGTGGGCCCGCAGCGTTCGTCGCGGTACCGCTGTAACGTACCATACGGCCCTCGCTTCAATCTCCATGGACACTTACCACGTTTGTACACATACCGGGCATCAGAGCCAGTAGTGCAGGCGGGGAAAATGCGGCCTGCAGTGCTAACAGCGTGGGCCCGGAGCGTTAGTCGCGGTACCGCTGTAACTTACCAAACGGCCCTCGCTTCACTCTCTATGCAAACCTGCTACGTTTGTACACATACCGGGCATAAGAGCCAGTAGTGCAGGCGGGGATAATGCGGCCTGCAGTGCTAACAGCGTGGGCCCGCAGCGTTAGTCGCGGTACCGCTGTAACTTACCAAACGGCCCTCGCTTCACTCTCTATGCAAACCTGCTACGTTTGTACACATACCGGGCATAAGAGCCAGTAGTGCAGGCGGGGATAATGCGGCCTGCAGTGCTAACAGCGTGGGCCCGCAGCGTTCGTCGCGGTACCGCTGTAACGCGCGCTGAACGCCGCGCCATACGGCTTTCGCTTCACTTTCTATGAACACCTCCCATGTAAGCTCCCCCCCGGGCAAAGTACTCTCGTCGCTGCCGAGGTTTATTCTGCGTAAAAAAATGCTTGCTTAAGAAAGTATACTATACTGTTACACCTTCGATCAACATTTCTATAGATAACGTATGTTTAAACTTATGCAGCTACATTCGATTCCCAATGAACAGAGATAAATGTTTTAAAACAGTTTAAGTTGAACCTAATAACAACGAACTCACAAAGGAATAGGGTTACAAATAACAAAATGTTATGTTGACCCGTTATCTATAGAATCAATCCCGTTAGCTATCGAATTAATTATAATCAAATAAAATATTTCATATATAATGCAAACGATCATTTATGTTATGACTGTAGTGTCATTAATAATGTAGACTAATTGTGTAATTTCAGTTAATTTAATTTTTAGTTAATTAAAACTGGATTTCGGGCAATCGCACACGTCTTCTCATTCCAACCACAAACATCAATAAAAGGAAAACAATTTGTTTAGCCTCAACATGTGAGAGATGTAAAAGCATTGTAATGCGCTTACTTCTGTAGGAAGTATAATATTAAAAAAATAAGAAATACAAAAAATAATATTAAAAAAAATCTCTAAAAGTTGGATTACTGCCAACAAAACTGGGTGATACTTAGCGGTCCTTTCAGTAAAGTACCTTCAGTATCCAGAACGTACATGTATGTACGCGCGCTTGCGCGGGCCCAGTATCAACGCCCACATACTGCGGCTGGAGTCAAGGCCGAATACTAGTATAGTACGAACCAAACTTTTTAGGCAGCTATGAAGTTAGCAGCGAGCGCAACTATGTGCAGATTTTAGTTCAATGACATCCCGCGAATACCTACGTCACCTTACATTTCGTTTGCTGCGCCGTGATTTGCACTCACTTCACAGCCGCCATTAAGTTTAAATCGCACTGTATATGTAGATGTGATTATTGGAGATGCATAGTCTTGATGACACTATATTACCAACAAAAGTAAAGCTACTAGCAACATAACTTGACCATACTTAGATGTCCTCTTTGTGGAGTATAAAGTGTTGTCTTCATTGTGTATAAAACGATATGCCGTCGTAATGACATTATCATAATCAATAAAAACAAGGCTACTACCAATAAAACTCGGATATACTTAGCATTCCTTGGGTGATATTAAGCGGTCCTCACTCGCGGTCGATGTGTTTGATTGCAGATACGCAGTCCAGATTACACTATATATCCAACAAAAGCAAAGCTACTAACAACAAAACTAGTACATACTTAGCAGTCCTCTCTGTAGAGTACAAAGTGTTCAGATTGGGCAGCTGATTCGTCTTCACTGTGTCCAAAACGAACATGTACGCGCGCTTGCTCGGGCCCAGTATCAACGCCCACATACTGCGGCTGGAGTTTAATGCGGAATGCTGGTATAGATAGATATGTTTCATTGGAGATACCCCATCCTGGAGACAATGTTAGATTGTTGTACAGTGGATTTCGCTAACCTTGATTGTAGCGACCATTTACCTATAGCGACGTTAAATCTAAGTCCCATTAAATTTAAAGCATACTTTACTACAAAATTCATGTGGCTATAGCGACTTTAGATGTAACGCCGAGTTTGGGTGTAGCGACTGTTTTTAATGAATCATTTGTACCAAATTCCTAGAAATCCCATGCAGACATTGCGACCGGAGTCGGCCGCCGCCAAAGACACAAAGATTTCTCTTCTTTTGTTTACATCCACACAGATAGGCGCAAGTGTGGAGACCTTTACCTTTTGTTTATTGATATCAGCTAAGTATGTAGGGAAGCGTGTACGTTTCCCAGTTAAGTTTATGGTTCAGTTACAAAGTAATATTCTGAGTAGCAACTGGGTTAAGTAAACTTTTAAATAAGTATGGCTGCTAGACGCACATTCACTTATAAAGAAAAGGCGGAAATCATTTATAAATAAATATTAACTATACATGTGTACGTGTCTGTATCTCTTTACCTTTGCCTGTAACGACTTCCGGATATAACGACGAAAATAGAGCGGTCCTTCATCGTCGTTATACCCGAACTCCACAGTATTTATTATATAAAAATTTAATAAAAAACTATGTGCTGTGTTTTTAGTACTAGAGATCAAAATATAACGCCTTTTGCCGGCACTTTACTTGGCTATGCGAATTTCCAATTTGTAAACTTGACATCAATCTGTTCTCTTTATTCCTTATAAATCATGATAAGGACAGACTGTTGTCAAGTTTACAAATAGCAAATAGCCAAGGGAAGTGCCGGCATTAAAATAAATGTGACATATTTTTTCTCGCGTTGCCTTAGGCACGAAATAATAAGTAAGTAGTTTAATTTTTATGTTCACAACACGGATACATAATGTTTATTTATTCTTTATGCACAAATAAACAAAATGCCTTTATATTCTTGTTTAGTACTAAATTTACATTATGTGAGTTTTTTATTGTCTTAAAATCAATAATACTACAACAATAATTATAATAATAATAGTGACACTTGACTTCAGCTAGTTGTAATCCAAAGACACCAACACCATCATTTGTGATAAAGTGAAAATAAAATTTAATTACTTGGTTATTTACAAAGTATTTGTGTTAATTCTTACCTGTTTTTGCAAATAAGGTTGGTGGGCTACACTCTTGAATTGCAGTTGGTTTAAAGTGAAGGAGTCCATATTGTTTGAGCCAAATTGAATAAGACTGAAACATAAAATGAATTAAGAGTAGTTAAGAGTCTCAATAACATTGTAGTACACAAGTAAAATTTATGTTTAGCATATTGTGTTCAGAATAATTTTAAGTTTGCCAGATATTAAAATATTATGTATAGAACTTCCAAAGAGAATTCTCATAAAACATCTTAACATAATCGTAGCGCCCGTTTGAAGAAGTAACTTCCACCTCACAGAAGATCACAGTAAAATTTGGTGTTGTTATGTTTCTGATGGTGATTTAACATTCCTTTTCAGTCCTCCTAGTATGACTATCAAAACGCCATATGATAAAACGATTTATCGATATTGACTCAAACTGCAACGAAGTTTGACAATTGAGCGTCGATGAAAAGCTTAATTATATTATTATATTTGTTTCTTAGGTTTTCATGCACATCACTCATTAAATGAAACAAGTTTCAACAGGTTAGATGCACTGATTTTATTTATTTATTGACGTCTCACATCCTTTACAGAAATGCGTCGTCAGAAGCTTAATTATAATTGCGTTGCTCGTGCTCAGAGCTCTAGTTACCAACTCATTCAGTTTAAGTGACTAAGATAAATATATTTCTACATATTTTGTTGTTTTACTGCTATTAATATAAATATCTTACCGCCTCGCCTCTTGCTGGTCTACGGCACAAATACAGCCGAGCTGAACGAGCACTCTAAACTCCAAGCTCATTTGCGTCTCGTATATTCCTTCGATCTCTGGAGTCGACAGCTCTCCCATCAGTTCCCTGTGGTGACAACGGCAATTAAATACTTAAGTGGCGAGTTAATGTTAACTTTGTTTACTTAGGGACTTTAATTGGGGTAAGCGTTAGATATATTATTATTTACTAGCAGGAGCCCCGCGACTTCGTCTGTGTTGTTTTATTTTATATATATTTTACCCTATTAAAGTTTTTCTTTTTTTCCACAAAAAGTAGCTGATGGTGATGACAGTTTCCAGGGTCCCATCACACGCATCTATCTCTATACCACAATTCAGGAGAATCGTCTTCAGCAGTTAAAACGTGAAAGCGTAATAGACAGATCAACAAACAAACTTAGCGGTAGCCTGTAGCTTTTCGCTGTGGATTTGAGCCGGGCACGAGGTACGTCGCTGCAACGTTATTACGTCGCAGCATTTATTAATCTGTACACCAAATACTCAGTCTTGATGCTCCGTGTAGAATTGTTCGGGCACAGTATACTGGTAAAGGTGTAGGACCGGATGAGCTCTCGGCAGTATCCGGTTACATTTGCGCCAATACTGGCCGCTGTCAGTGGGCCGGCACACGCGTTGGTTCAAGTAGAATAAGCGCGGTACTGTCAGCTTGATCTGATGCAGTTCGACACGGCGAAATCTTTGCAGTGCATTCCATACTTTTAAATTCTTTCTCTTTTAACCTGTCTCAACCCTTTGGGTGACCTACTTCAAATCACGATTCTGGGGGACCTGGACATGGAGCGAATTTTTTCTTGCTGTTCTTTTAAAGTCATCTGAAGCCTTTCTGGAGGACCTTTTTGAGCCCATGGTCGCTACTCAAAGAGCCGCTTGCTCCACGAATCAGTCTTGGGTGCCACACGACCCACTCATTACCATTTCAGTCTAGTTACACGGTCGATAACATCAGTGTTCTTGCTCAAGCTAGCAAGGTCGTTTTTGATTAGTTAGGATTATTCATAGGTTATTAATCTATACATAAACACCGGATACTCACTCTTGACGATAGATAGAGCTCGATGGCGCAGGTGGTTAGCGTGTTCGGCTGTGATCGATGAAGTTAAGCAACTTCCGCAGTGGTCAGTCAATGGATGGGTGACCAAAAATCTTTTATCTCGAGTTCCTCCGTGCTTCGGAAGGCACGTTAAGCCGTTGGTCCCGGCTGCATCTGCAGTCGTTAGCACCCGCCAATCCGCACTGGGCCTGCGTGTGTCATTGCCCAATCTCCCTATTCCATCCATAAGGAAGGCCTGTGCCCCAGCAGTGGGGACATTAATAGGCTTATAATATTATAGCATTAATAGAATTATAATGATGATGACGATGATGACTCACTCTTGATGCTCCCTGTAGATTTGCTCCGGCACAGTATACTGGTAAAGGTGTAGGACCGGATGAGCTCTCGGCAGTATCCGGTTACATTTGCGCCAATACTGGCCGCTATCAGTGGGCCGGCACACACGTTGGTTCACGTAGAATATGCGCGGTACTGTCAGCTTGATCTGATGCAACTCCGAACCAACTAAGGCCCATAGTTTGAATAGACCTGGCTCCGCTGTTTCGGCTACCTAAGAATATGTACTCCTTTGTAACAATTTACGTGATTTAGCAATATAAGACGACGATAAATGGAATACATTAATGCTTATTACAATTACGCTTATTATTACAAAACGATAACTAAAGTTATACCCCTGCCCAAATACGATGCTGTCACTTTTACAGAGACAGCATTAGTTTTAAACCAAGATTAACTTAAGGCCGTTTATGTTATTTTAACAGAACTAGTGATCTTGTCTATTGGATTAGATCTTCTCTCAAATAGTATACTTCAGAGAGATTCTTCTGTCTATAAATCAATGTCTGTGTGTGCAGCATTATTATATAAAATATAAGCTTTTTTACAAATTTTTATTATGAACAATCGCACACAAACAAAAAGAAATACAACCAAACACAGCACGAAAATAAGGTTTTTCCTTTAGGTATTAATAATAATAAATATTAACTTACTTGAATGAGTTGCCAGGGCGTGTTAAGCAGTGTCCTTTGGGCCTTTCTAATAAAACCTCCCAGTGTATTGGTCGGACCTGAATACTTGGGTGGTGGCATTGCGTTAGCATCATCCATTTTACCTATATATAAAAAAGAAATACGAACAAGATTAAATCTTCCCTATCACTGAAATCAAAACACAGAAGCTAAGTTTCTAGCTCATACAGAAAATCTCCAGCACCTTCATGCTGTGGAACTCTTATTAAACCGTTGGTCTTTAGCACCCACCGATCAGCAATGGATTCGTGTGGTGGGTTATGGCTCATTCTCCGTTTTTCATCCATAGAGAAGGCCTGTGCCCTAGCAGTAGTGGGACATAACCTATTAATGGCTTATGATAATGATCTGTTAGTATACGATACAGGTCATTTACAACAGTTTCAAGCTAAGTATCCCGCACTCACCTCGCTTGTTGCGATTGCGCAGGCCGCGCTGTTCCATCTGCCACATCCATTTCTTTTTTTGGAACACAATCCATGCCCGTCTCTCCTCCTAAAAATTTGTAATAGTCAGAATTTATTAATCTACACACCCTGTCTATAGCGCTACCTATCGGGTAGAAAGTTTTCTTAAACTTTCAAATTTTCTAACTTCTACGAAGTATTAAAACTTTGAACTTTGAAGAAAGGTGGATGAAGTACGTAAAGTCTTTCTGAAGTTATGGATATAAATATGGATATGTCACCGTTACTCTTTCTCTCCTTGCCTTTACTACACCTGCGTCTATTGCCACGAAGCTAGAGAATATATATGCAGGTGTGGGAAGTCATAAGCGGCTGTCGTAACAGACTATTGAGCTACATACAGACGCAAGAAGACTTCTTGCCTGGCGGTTTTTTGACACATCAAAGGGCTTTAATGGGACGATAAATTTGTGTGTGGATCTGAACCACGCCCTTAGCTCCGATTCCGAATTTGGACGCTAATTTTAGCGCAATAAGAAGTCAAAGCTTCGTCGTACAAGTGCGGAAAGGTCATAAGCTGAAATGAAATCCATTTTGCCCTATAGGTTAACTATACCTTAGTATAACTAGAAAAAATTCCACGCGGACCAGGCAGCAGACGGGACTCGAACCCGCACCCTTCGCAATCCGGGCGAATGCACTGACCAATTATGCTACCGCGGCCCTCACGGACCGCGTCGAAATTCCTTCTAGCTATTCTTAAGCTGCAAGGCAGCGCCATCTCTTCGCATTATAGGTAAACCCACAATTCTTTCAAATGTTTAATACTTGTAAAAGTATTCATTTGACATTGTGGGTTTACCTATAATGCGAAGAGATGGCGCTGCCTTGCAGCTTAAGAATAGCTAGAAGGAATTTCGACGCGGTCCGTGAGGGCCGCGGTAGCATAATTGGTCAGTGCATTCGCCCGGATTGCGAAGGGTGCGGGTTCGAGTCCCGTCTGCTGCCTGGTCCGCGTGGAATTTTTTCTAGTTATATTTTCTTAAGATTTAAACATCAAGCAGTTACATGCTTTAAAAATAATAAAAATTATAACTATACCTTAGTAGTTCCGAAAGGTGGCGGCGGTCCCAAAGCTTCGCGCCAAGTAGCGGCTTCTTTGACTGGTGATTCCTCTCGTTTACGCTTCACAGTGTGAACTACCGGCCTTATGACGTCACCGTTACTATTTTTCTCTTTGCCTATATCTTCTATGTCGACCTCTGTGTCCTGTACAATATTTATAACTTTTTATAATTTTGACAAAGAATACCTTATCTTGCGGTGACAAATGATTGTTTAGAATCCGCACTATGTGCATATATATATATATGTATACGAGGATATTACGTTTACAATGAATGTTGCAATATAAAAAGTTGATGGATACTATTTTAAAAATTTATTATCTAACAATTAGAAAGATATTCTTAGTGCAAATATGTCCAAACGAAATGGTTATATGTTAGCTTAGAACTTTTTAGGAACTGAACTTACAGCGTTTGATAATCAAAGAACTAAAGGAAGTAGACGTTTTTGTATGTCAAATTGCTACTTGCTAAATTTGGCGTTGTGTATACCTATGCTTTACAATACTTTTAAAAGTGTAAAATGTTTTTGAAGTCAAATAAATCTGACTCGCCATTGATTCTTGGTGACTCGTAGAAGCTTCATTGTCATCCCTCTCCTTCAATTCTTTGGGTTGGGCACTGAACATGTCAGTGATTTTCCTGGTCTTGTATTTGTCTTGTTTCGCGAGCATTTTCTTGTGCAGCCAGTCCGGGTATTGCACGCGGGGTACTGGGTTGTCCAACTGTGTAATACAAACCATGTATTTGTGGCTAATGAAATCGTTATTTTATCCTTACTAATATTATAAAGGCGAAAGTTTGTTTGGATGGATGGATGTTTGTTCCTCTTTCACGCAAAAACTACTAAACGGATTTTAATGAAACTTTACAGTAATGTAGCTTATAGATCAGAATAACACATAGGCTATAATTTATAAAGATATTGTGTGAATTGTCCAAAATATAACGATAAATGTCATTTAAGTCTGAAAAAATTCTGCAATCTGCGAGCTATTCAGGCGTGTGCTGCAAAAACAGTTAGTGCTACATGTATATAATGTATGGTGAAAATATTTATCTTAAATAGTCCTACAAAAAATTCTGCGACACCATATATATCTATCTTTTATGAGTAATATAATATAAAACTCAAAGGTGACTGACTGACATAGTGATCTATCAACGCACAGCCCAAACCACTGGACGGATCAGGCTGAAATTTGGCATGCAGGTAGATGTTATGACGTAGGCATCCGCTAAGAAAGGATTTTGATCAATTCTACCCCCAAAGGGATAAAATAGGGAATGAAAGTTTGTATGAAACTTTGTCAATTTTAAACCGATCGGGCTGAGACTTTGCATGCAGGTATAAGAAGAATCATAGATGAATGTCATTGTGTTTAATACAAGCCTGAGAACAAAAACTGTCTACACTTCAGCTCTACACCGAAGCGAAGCGAGGGCGGGTCGCTAGTATAGCATAATTTAGTTTGTCAAACCGATCTTTATGAAATCAGTATTATTTGATTCTCACCCCCTGCATGGCGGCGGGAATAGTGATGATCTTCTGTATAGCGCCGCTGAGTCTCTCTATGTAATAAGCCCAGTCCAGCACGTCTCGGATGTCCAGGTCCTCGGTGACACTGCTATCTTTCAGCCAGCGCCGTAAATGATGGCGTCTGACAGCCGCCGGCGATTGGAATATGGCGAGGGGTATTGCTCGTTCTGTTACTGGAGCGCCTTCCGGTTTACGTGATATTATGAATCTGAACACAGAACGATAAGTCTTTAATTAAATAAAAGGCTTTTTGGTGGTGTTATTATTACGCTGATAATCATACTACTAACCGCTTATACGCACTGGCGCACTGGTTCACACACAGTTGCATATCAGAATAAAAATCGTCTTGCCGCCCACGCACTTAAACGCCAGTGCGTATATGTTCTAACAAGAGATTACAGTTCATAATCCCAAAAGAATTATTCAGAAAACTATATTACATTGGGTATCGGACTCATAGTGCCACATTTGCTAACTCTGAGAGATACAACAACTTTATGTTTTGATAGGTGTTACAGCGAAAAGGGGCTAGCTAAGTGTATGTGCTCGGGAACCGCTGGTTCAAAGTTCAAATACACAAAGCTGGAATTTGTATATCTATATTATTATACTCAGTAGCTGTAATCGCTTTGTTTAGCGTGATTCGATAATCTGGACATCACGCACATTCGTCGTAGCTTGCTGCAATGTTTACATTTGTACTTTTTGTCAATCCTGCTGGATTTGATAAAGTCGCTCCATATTTATGCATTTAAAAACAAATAAGACCTAAATCAAACATACTAACCTGCAAGCGAGTCCAGCATCTTTCACCATTTGATCGCCTAAAAACTCTGCAAGCCTTTTCGCGGTAGAAATCGAGGTAGACTTCTGTCCGCCGTAGTCTTCCAGTTTCTTTGACATAGATCTATTCTCTGATATCAATTCGAACAACTCTGAATCGGGCATGTTCGAGCCTTTGCTATACAAAACGTCCAACCAATAGTCGGCGACGCGTGCTACCGCGCTGTAGCAAGACTTCAGGTCGTTGCCTTTGAGGAAAGCTTCGAATACTGAAGACTGGAAGATTTTGATCAGCTGCAGTTCACCACGGCGTTTTACTTCGAAACCTAAGTGAAAAGGTTTTTTTACATTACATCAAAAAGGCCGACTGCAATAGAATGAAGATTTGTATTAATTGTAATATTTCTTACCATTGACAGTTATCCACTTTTATTGCAATGAGGAATAAATTAAAGTAATAATTAATTTACTAAGGTGTTCGAATATAACTAAATTTACTATTTCAAAAGATCAGTAACATGACTAAATTGAACAAAAAACCTTAGTGTTCATTTCGATTCAGCTCCATTACCTTTCAATTCAGCTAGGGAACCGTCGAAGTTGAATACGGCATACCGCTTCTTCAGCTTCTTCCCCTCCTCCTTAGAAGCCGGCAATACCATCGCTAAATAAGGCCCGTCCACTTCGAAGAATATGGAGTTCTCTGCACGTTTCTCGTAATTGCGAGTCTCTGGATCCACGAGCTCGAAATACTGGTCGTTAGTAAAGTGGTCCTAAAAATTATAACCAAAGTATCATCATCAACACCAGCCTATTAATGTTCCCACTGCAGGGGCACCGGACTTCCCTATGGCCGTATACAGAAAGAAAGCTGGAAGCCGACCAGCGCTTATCAGCGCTGGTCCTTACAGGTAACCGGCGCAGGCATTTCTATGGACCAGCGCCGATAAGCGACGAACGTCGCCGACAAGTGCCACATGCGCTGGTCAGCGCTGGCACCACCCTTTGAAATTAATGAACAACTAGGGTTCAATCTGCGTCTTTTATGTAACTGTTACCAGTAAGGACCAATGCCGATAAGCGCTGGTCGGCTTCGAGCTTTCTTTCTGTATACGGCCTATTGGTGGAATAGGGAGACTGAGCCATTACCCACCACGCGAGCCCAGTGCGGATTGGTGAGTGTAAACAAAGTTACGAGCGCGGCGGTCACGCGCTAAGTAGGATACAACGTAAACATTATTATAAGTCATAATAATATGTTACGGTAAAACCGTACAGATGGCGTTGGCTTAGAAGTTTGATTTTTTCACAGCTCCAAGGGACAGTAGACTGACTGAGTATTTGATATAAATTTTAGCTTGATACCTCCACGCTTTCCTGAGAAAAAGGGTCTTGACAGACGGACGGTCAACAAAAAAATACCTGTAAGGGTTCCTTTTTTCCTTTATATAACTCCGTGTTTGTTGATAAGGTCCCTATATAGTTATGAGAGTGTATTATTATTATACATATAATGTAACACGCTTTAATAATAAACAGACCTTCTGTTTGATTTAATATCTTGATATGTTTGGCATAAAGCCGAAAATCTAATTAGACTAATGTTACCTGTTTTTGTATTACATGAGTATTTTTTACAATGATAATTAATACAATAAAAAACTTCAGAACAACTGTTTCATAGTTTTTATTTTGTAAACAATATCAAAATAATTAAAGTTTATTTTTTCGGACTTACTTTAACCATTGCGTTGAGCACAGCATTTGGATAAGATACATTGATCTTTTTCTTTTTCTGGTGGGTCGTGAGAACAGTAACGTTTTCAGGAAACGACGAAGGTAGAATGCACCAGATACCTAAAAAACAAATTAATATCATAACCAAAAATATTCACTCTAAAAAATTATATTGAAACCAATTATAAATCCTATACATTTGTAATTATATCGAATTTACACTGCGTTTGCATAAAATATTACGTTCAAATTCATGGTATAGGGTTGCAAAATATAGTGAAGTCGTTGTTAGCAATTCTCTGTCAAAAGCTAATTATTATATGATAAAAATTAACTCCTCCGTGAAACATGTTTTAGCAACCCAGATGAGATAATGAGAAAATCGATGATATACCTAAAACTGAGTAATTTTACAGCCACTATTAAGTTAAATTTGAAATTGTTAATTAAAATAAATATTGTGTAAGTTTACATAATATTTATATAGTGTTGTTACCGTCTGTATCCAACTCGAGCGGTCGGCCGACTTGCTCGATGATCTCGCGCGCCCTCATTATAATGTTGGCTCCTGTATAGCACACGATGCCTGCCATCTCCATACTGTGCCATCGGGCTCTAAACAGATCATATTCAAACAACGAATTAGAAATGATACGGAATACGAACTGAGCTAAAAAGTGGTTCCAAGCAAACTGCGATCAAGTGGACGGGGAGAAAAAAACTGCGATCAACACGCCCATCATGGGATTGGTTGGGATTTCCGTTTAAAGTTATCTTACCGAATGAATGGATAGCCGAATTCGTTTGCAGATATTTGATTTGTCAAAGTATTTTGTTTTGTCTGTATGGAAGTCGCGTTAGTATTGAAGTTTAGTTGTATAAATTTGGAAGGTTTTAGCGGCCTTTGTTAGAGAGTAATTTTTTTTTTTATTTATTTATTTGATCATTGATACATCATTTTATCATATTTTAATACCTTGCCAACCTGTAAACATCAGGTTGTTGGCATATCCATGGTCCCATATCATTTCTAAGTCGTTATATTCAAACCACATTACCACTAAACGGAAAGTGCGATAGAGGGTAAGAATAAGAACTCAAGGAGCAGTTTTGTGCTTTGTTTTATTTCAAAACTCATGAGACCGCAATATCGTGCTATCCCGCATCCGCCGTGGTTGCGAGAACTCCCGTAACCTTAACGGGGAAGCATCGCAAAATAGACAGTTGCATCTACTGCGGATGCTTGTTTAGAGGCCGCTGCGGTCACCCGCTAACTAATCGTAGACCGTAAGGACGAAGATCGCCAATGCAACGAGTTCCGCAAACAACCGCGCACACAGCGGGCGTACATCGTGTCGTGAAAGCTATTGTGCATTACGTACGTTTTCACATTCTATACGAGTTGCAGTCCCGAGGGGCACGGATGAAAACCGCTCCGTAAGTTCATAGCCAAAGAAGTTAACCAAAACAAATCGATCAGATAATTAGTCGCGCGAAAGGATACGAGTCGAATCCCGTTCGAATGTCTGAGAGTCTTTTATTATAAAATAATTTATTTTTATTCACTTAACATTTACATTCTTGCACGCCCAATTAAAAATAAATAATCCGAAACCATTTGAACACATTACTTTATTTTTTTCATTTTTTAAATATAAACTAATCATTGAAATACTACCTACCAAATCCCAGAACAAGAAGTAATGCAAAGAAAGAGTTTATATTCAACTCATAAAGTTGAAAAAAAAAACAACAAAAAATACAAATTTATGTCGCTACAATAGGAATAGCGTGCGTACCACTATACAAACGTCCATTTTGATCTCTCTCCTTAACGATACCGAATCAAAAACTATCTATATCAAATGCAACCTGACAACACGCTACTAATACTTTTTGGTTCGGTAATACGTATAGTCTATGCGGAAGTCATTGCATTACTTCTTGTTCTGACAATACAACCTACAGAATACTCACCCCCGCCTCATGACGTAACCGTAGAAAGAGTTGAGGATGCACTTGTGAGCTAATTGCATGGAATCGTTTCAACACTTCGCGGCTGTTGGCCGTCTTGATCTCAGCCTGAAGTAATCATTAACCTACAAAATACTCACCCCCTCCTCATGACGTAACCATAGAAAGAGTTGAGGATGCACTTGTGAGCTAATTGCAGGGAATCGTACAACACTTCGCGACTCTTCGCCGACTTGATTTCGGCCGCGTCGCCGCTAGCCACCGCTTCCGACACTTTGGCCTTCGCCTGCTTGTTGAGCGCTTTGTATTCGTAGCGACGATCCCTGTAACAACATCATAATAATCATCAGCCTATTAATAAGTATATAAGAATAAAATATTTCCAACACTCACACCAATTATCCTAGTCCCAATGTAAGCACTGTAGATTTGTGTCATAGGATACTAGTGTAATGGATAGAATACATATACTGATATATGTATATATATGTGTATATATATATATATACAGTGGTGGTCTTATAATTAGAAACACAACCAAAGGTCCTTGACATTATGTAAGACACTTCAACGCAATAGTGTTTATTTTGAAATTAAATATAAAAAACATAAATATCTCACCTAAATGCTCTCACAGTGTCAACATAAAAGGAATTTTCCTTTTGACATATTGTAGTAGTTCTGACTTCGGTTCTGGTAACTTTGGTTTTCTTGTACGCCACCCTACAGTAGTCAGCTAAGCGTTTTTTCTCGTATGCAGCCTGTGCAACAATATTATAAACGTCTTACTAAATTCCAATTCATACGTAAAACATTTTCAATTTATTTACTTTAAACAAAAAATAAAATCATGGCTCAATTTACGTTTTTTTTTCTGATTACTAGCATTATCACTAGCATTTAAATATAGATAATTAATTATATACATGTTGTAGTTGTTAAAAAGGGTAATTCTTCCTTTTGTTCTTTGAATAAATAGGTACACAATATTTAGTGCCATTCAAACTTAATGACGGCCGTGAAGTTTGCTCAAGTCGCAACGCAGGAAACGAAATGTACAGTCCGACAAGGATCTTTATGAATGTGAGTGACAGTTCTGGGAGGGCTCCACTCTCTACGTAAATGACCGAAATGACATAAAAAATATGTAAATTTTTATTATGTTTATATTTATGACGTTTACAAAGACGGCAGTGTTAGTTCCAATTTTCTCTATATTCATAACGATCCTGGTCGCACATTAGGGTAATGTAGGTGCGAATGGAACTAGAACCCGCTCATTATTGCGCTCACTGCTAACTTCACAACCACCATAAAGTTAGAATGGCATTTTAAACTATATTGGCTTAACAACCCCTCACCTGATCTTCTTTGGGCAGCGCGTGGAAAGCTCTGACAGGTTCGCCGCATAGAGGTATAAGAATAGAGTAGGGGAGATATAGACTCTACTACAAGTGGAAGTGTCCTTCTTAGAAAGAGAAAGAAGATGAGAGACCGCTAGCTTTCTCGCTCTAATCGCGCATACGCATTGGCAACCATAAGCATCTTACTTTTTCGATGTGATGCCATTGGATGCCATGCGTCACGAGAGAGAGAGATAGCTAGCGGTCTCTCATCTTCTTTCTCTTTCTACTAGACGGACACTTTTAGAGCCGCCTTCCCTACTCTATTCTTATACCTCTATGGTTCGCCCGGATGTAAGGGTGGGAACTTCTCCGTCTCCAGTTGTTACTAGATACATTGATACTTGCTACAGTATACTAATATTATAGATGCGGAAGTGTGTCTAACGGTCTGTCTGTTATCTCTTCACAATTAAACCGCTGAACCCATTTAGATGAAATTTGGAATGGATATAGTTTGAGTCCTGGAAAAGGTTATAGGATAGTTTTTATCCCAGAACTCATCCTTTAAGGGGGATAAAGTTTGTATGGAAAATAATTTTTCCACTACTAGTACTCTAAAATGGATCTGCTCACCTGATCTTCTTTGGGCAGCGCGTGAAAAGCTCTGGGTGGTTCACCGGGATGTAAGGGCGGAAACTTTTCCGTCTCTAATTGTTGCTGGATGCGTTGATATTCGCTACGCGTCGCCGGCACTGACGAGGAAATATAATTCATTGCACATTGTTCGTATAAAATAATACCTATGTGCTATATGTAAAATGTATACATTATATATGAGGAGCTGGCCACCAAAACGGTATAATTACATAAAATAAAATTTGCAGAAGCTGTATAAAACTGAATGACATACCTACAAAGAGCTCTTGGCATGGTTTTTATTTATAAATTTTGTAATTTTAACACTGCTTTAGGCGGTTTTCATCCAAAATTATTTGAGATTGAAATTCAACGGACCCGAAATCTCCGCACTGTAAAGAAAATGTAGTTTGACCAGATGCGTAATTATACCCTTTTATTTGCAAGCACCTCATATAATACCTTTTATAAGGCCGTGGAAGCACTACTAAAGTGACACGACGCGACGGCGCAATACAAACAGGAATTGTCTCCAGTGCGGCCACCGAAATGTGTTTATATGAATTTGTTTAAACGAAATCGCCGTCGTGTCGCAGTTAGTAGTGCGGCCTAAGGCCCAGCGAGAGTAGATCTTATTGCTATACCCTGTGGAGCTTCTCTACAAACTTTGACAACCTCCGTGGCCGAGCTCATTGTGGTTGCATATCGCGGCGAAAGTTTTCAGAGAATGCAACGTATGTGACAGTGAAGATAAGGCACAATAATAACACGGGTTCTAAAACGCGCGGTGAGACAGATTTGTAGCGCCTCTCGGCGCCGTTAATCCCGTCTCTAACCGCGGTTTGCCCCGCTTCAAGAGATGTTGCTCAATTATAGTAATATAAGTTATTTACGGGATTGTTACCATGTACCTTGTTTTTAGCGAGTTTCCGATATTTCGGCACTGTTGCAAGCGCCATGATCACGGAGTAACTGATTACAGACAGTTACTCCGTGATCATGGCGCTTGCAACAGTGCCGAAATATCGGAAACTCGCTAAAAACAAGGTACATGGTAACAATCCCGTAAATAACTTATATTACTATAATGTTGCTCAATGGCCCCGCGCAAAACATTTAAGAGCCTGCCCTGATTAACACGCGATTTATATAACAGACGATTCGTACTTCATTGCGCAATCATAAGGCTGCGTGAGTAATAAACAGTCCACGATTAACATGATGAACTTCATTCATCAAAACGCGATTCGAAAAGAATTCCACACGGAAATAGCCATCTAGAAAATTGAACAGTTCCCATTGTTGTTAAGTTAGTTATAAATGCCGTTTTTTCGTGAATACTATGTAAGTTTTTTCTTACGATAGTCTCCTCTCCACATCCATTCCATGTGTCTTTGACAAGTAGCACCGGGCTTGTTATAGTCACACACTGCACATATACTAGGATTCACCATGGCTGATGGTTGCAGTCTGAAAGAAAATAATCCTCTTTATTAGTTATACAGTTAAGCAACTTTCGCAGTGGTCGGTCATCGGATGGGTGACCAAAAAAAACATCTATCTCGAGTTCCTCCGCGCTTCGGAAGGCACGTTAAGCCGTTGGTCCCGGCTGCATCTGCAGTCATTAGCACCCGCCAATCCCGCACTAGGCCCGGGTGGTGGGTCATGGCCCAATCTCCCTATTCCATCCATAGGGAAGGCCTGTGCCCCAGCAGTGGGGCCATTAATAGACTGATGATGATTTGTTATATGGTTTAAGTAATCAACACAACCGGTTCACTATTTCTTCAATACCTACTTATGTATGAAAAAAATAATATTCATGACACATTCACAAAAAATGAATAAAGAAGGAATTGATGAAATCTTTTAAAGGGTCCCTTATTAGTACTTTGAACTGGAGGACCATGGAGAATAGGGGTACTGTACCCCTAGCACGAACCATTATCGAATTCGAATAGTTTCCGAGTGCGAAATGTTAATGTCGAATTTTGTATGGAAACTTGAACAGCAGCACCATAACGTACGTAACGAGATCTTAAAATCAGTACACATTTGACAATGACATTTCGGACTCGCAAACGATACCAATTCGATATTGATTCGTGCTAAGGGTATTGATTCGAACGCCAACTAATGATGGCTCGATCGGCTATTCTCTTTCACACTTTTCTGCCCGTTGATTACACAATATCACTTTCTCTTTCTTTTCAGAAATAAATTTCTCGGGGGGTACAACTCAGTCTATTCACCATGTCTATGGTGAAAACCACGTCCACATTCGATGAAAGTATGACAAATAAAGTATGTATTTAAAATGACAAAAAAGTAGTTGATAATATTACTAAAAATCATGAAATAGATTTTTTTTTTGATCTATTGTCACGTGGCCAAAAACGCCCAGGATTGGCGGAGCCTAAAATGACGTCACCTGCTTCTAAACATGCTGTTGAAGTGTCATTACTTTGTACTGCCTGACGTTTGAATGAGCGCCGCATGACGTCACCTGCCTGCAAGACGGCATATTTGCTAGAGAAATGTTTCCGCGACGTATTTGAATTTTTTTTTTGCTGATATACGCAGCAGCATTATAAATATCCTAACCTTTTATGAGAGAGAGAGATACACCAATAAATAACGTATGAACGTTTTTAAAAACTTGTCAAATACCAACCTGTTAGTTAAGATTATATTAGGGTACATAGCGCCCACATCCAAATGGTAAATTAACGGGTTCTCATCTCTCCTGGGATGGTCTCGCATATGTTGCAGCTTCGCTTTGATTTCGCCGCACACTTCATCGAAGTTAGTCACCAGGTCTAAAGGGACCCCCTCCTCTATTTCTATGGCGTGTTTCATCGTCTTCTCGACGGTATCCATTAGTTTCTCTACAGCGGACGGCACTATCCTGAATTTACATTTGATGTCCGCTCTGAATACGCCTAAATAACAAAAATAATAGGTATAGTACGATCTCAGAACAATAACTAAAGCATAGGAGTTTAAATTTAACACATGAAATCGACTCATATAGTTATCCTTTGTTTTACATATAGACTAAAAAAGAGACAAATATATGTTGCTATTGGTTGCTATGAACAGCGTGCGTACCACTATATAAACGTCAAATTGGATATCTTTGGTCTTTGTACGCCTTGTTACCTTGGTTACCTTTACGACAATTAATCAAAAAGCGATCTAATGTTAATTACAACATGCCAACACGCCACTAAAACTTTTTGGTTGGTAATACGTATGGTCTATACGGATGTTTACGCTCAAACTTCATTACATTACTTCTACTCGTATGCTTTAGATAGATAGGTAGATTAACACTTTATTACAACACCAAATTCATAATTACATAACATTCACAAACAATAACATTAACAAAAGCGTTATAATAGGCGGCTTTAGTTCGTGTTCTGAGAGTGCGATTCAAACTTGTCATTGAAAAATTCGCGGCGTATCGCTGAACTGAAACAGGCGCATATTTGAACACGCTGCTCACTTCACAACCGTCATAAAATTTGATACGCACTATTTTTTTTTCTTTTCGATTTTTGGCAATTTATATTGAATTTAATTTGTGCATTCGAGTCTAGATGGTTAAGTAAAACTGTAGGTGGTGCTGCAGTCGGGCTCTAGAACAAGTTTTATATTTTTTATCTGCAGGACCACGGGTCAATTCATGCTTCGGAAAGCCACTTTAAGTCGTTAATCCCGGCTGTATCTACTTCAGTGATTAGAACCCAACAATTCCCATTGAGACCGCGTTGTTTGCCATATATCTATACCATCCATAGGGAAGGCCACAGATAGATTTCTTTAATAGAAATTCTATTCTGTCAGTAAGATTATCAAATAATAATGGATGGATCAAATAATATTTTTTCTTTTGACTATCAACCAATAAATGACAGATATGAAGCGGGTCAAAGTTTAGGATTGGGGGCTAGTGACGTCACTTTTTAGAAATTATACGACGTCACTCAAAAATCAAATCAATATATATATCTCCGTAATGTTTTGTATATGTGAAGAATAGAAAAAAGGGACCAATACTTTTTGACAATCTAACTGTTACTTAAGTAGTTGAAGAAAAGTAAGTCGTTAATGAAAATATACCTGATTCCAATGCTTCTACGTGTCCCCCTACGTATGTCTCCGTCTCCAGGACGTGACCGTCAGTGGTCAGCTTGTTCAGTTCTTCGACTTGTTTGTTCGGGAATACGATGTTAGCGTGGAACGCTTGCACCATCAGTAACGATTCACACAGCGTCCCTGAACCTTTTCGTAGAACCTGGATCAAGTTTTGTTGTTTTTATAATAATAAATAAAAATATTTCTAACACCAATTAGCCTAACTCCAAAGCAATTAAAGTAACCCCTCGTTTCCACCAAGAAACAAGACATATACTAGTTTTATACAAAACTAGTAGAATACTTGTTGTGGCTGTTTACAACATAATTTCGTTTACACTGCATAGACAACAAGTATCTTATTAGTAAAATTCTTATTTACTTCACATATTTTGTTTATCCAACAAGTTTGATGCAAGTATTATATACTATATGTTTAATACATTTATATAAGTGTGAACAAAAATTAAGCCATAGTATAAAATTAGTTAAATACATGTATTATGCTTGGGTTATGGAATACTAGGGTAACCAAAGACGTATAAGAATAACAATCGCGCTCAAAATGTCAGAAACAAAATTACACACATGCGTCTATTGTGCGTAATTTTTAAAGAGCCGTGTTTCGACCGCTCTGTGATTACAAAGCCACACAATAACAATGTTTTCGGTGAAAACATTGTTATTGTGTGGCTTTCTGGGCAAATGGCACCAGATCCACACTTAAAAACATTGGTGCCGTATTTCAGGTAAGTGTTTTTAACTAACAAAATTATGCAACTACCTTGGCGTTTTCTATAGTATTGATAATTAATTATATTTTAATAGTACATACATATAATCTCTTATCGTGTGCGTCACGTGATCGTGTATGTCTCTCTCGCACCGTAATCGAACTCTCTCTCTTTCTCGTATGCAATTGACATTGAACATTACTACCAGGACATAATGTGTTCAGTTCACGGAGGAAAAACAAAGAGGAGCTGGCCTAAGCAACTGTGCACTGTGATTTTCAACTAGGTCCTGACGTCATCATTGTGGGCGGGGCCTAAGTCAGTATGCTTACAGCGTTCGTCAGGTGCACACTTAACGAGACTCGCATTATAAGTGTTTTTTTGCGTTTTTAACAAGAAAAGGATGAAGTTTTGTGTTTTACTATGTCAAAGTTACTCAGACAGACGTTCTGATAATATGGATGGCATCACATTTCATTTGTAAGTAATTTTATACGTAATTAAATATATAAGTTCTAGAACATTCTCAGCCTCAGCTATCAGCGTTAAAATTCTACTATTTGACACCAGATGGCGACACTTTTAGAAAGAAAATACACAAGTTTACGTATAATTTTGCAGTAGTATATTGTAATAATCATACGTAAATACTGAAAACTGTTATACACTTATTCCTAAATAACTTTTACTGTCTAAAACAGTAATTTTATCAATATATAACTAACTTGCCGCCATCTGTCGTCATATAGAATAACTTTTTAAACGTTACAAATACCCAGGGCCGTAATACGTATTAAATTATTTTACCAAGTAAATAAATTTTAATTATTTTTATGTTCGTTTTAGATTTCCATCCAACGATAATTTAAAACAGCAATGGATTTCAAAACTTAATAGACCGGATTGGACACCATAGAAGAAGAAGATATTTCCATTTTAAATGAATCTTCTGTGCAAAAATTAATATTATATCAGAACGTTATCGCATTTTAAATAAAATGAGTTTCGAGTCTTCGGATAGCACGGATGTCGAGCCTATGCCTGACGATATGTTATTGGAATTTGATGAACAATTAAATACAACTATAGGTGACTATTTGCGCCGTCAAATAGTAGCATATATTTCTGGGTATGTGGTCAAATATTTACATTCCAAGATCAAATGTGAGAGCTGTCTCAAAGAATTATATGCTGATAACTACGACGATAGTGACCTTGATTTGATAAAATCTAAAAATAAGGGTGGTCTTACTTTCCCATCTAGAGATGTCATAAAAATATGTATACGGACCGAAGACAGTATTCGTTGTGTTAAATCGCAATCTTTGAATACTCCTAACTTTCGTAAACATAAAATTGTATCGAATACATTAAAATCACTTATTGGACAAGATTGTTTCAAAAAATCGGCCAACCATATGTTTGACCAATCACCTACAGTTAATCATGTTGTATTTCTGATGAAATCGATTGCAGAAAAATATATTGATATTCGTTTTAAGCATTTTGCCACAATACAAAACGATAGGGCAACCAACCGACAACAACTAACCAAAACTATTATTTACAGGTAATTGATGTTTTTTAATAAAATTATGTTTGTAATAACATTTTGTCTATTATTTTTAAACTACCTTAAAATTTAAATCTAAAGAAAATATAACTAGAAAAATATCCACGCGGACCAGGCAGCAGACGGGAGCGGGTGCGGGTTCGAGTCCCGTCTGCTGCCTGGTCTGCCTGGATTTTTTTTCATCAAGCAGTTACATGTTTTAAAATAATAAAATTAATACCTTAAAATTTTTAAAATCGGTCAAATTTGTCAACGTTTATTTTATTTATTTACCTACATATTTAATTTTTTTGAAGCTTCAAGTTCTGAGTACGTCCCATTATAAACAAAACTTTTGACATCTAGTGTTAGATAGCTGAACTACTACGTAGTAACATAAATATCAACCTAAGCTAGTTTTGCTATTAGCCGATAGATGAAATATTGAGAAGTGGGCGGAGCTGAACACCCCGCATCCCGCAAATTTTCACGCGTCGTTTCTTGAGGAAATTTAATCACCACACCTCCTCTTTGTTTTTCCTCCGTGGTTCAGTTGAACAAATGTGTTATTGTTATCTGTTTCATTTGATGTATATGTATAACACAGCGCCGATTGGACGCTTTTTAGGCTATTTGGAGTCGCAAATAGAAATACATAATATAATGGTACATAGTTAGGCAGATATATTTTTGTAGAAATATGTTGTTTAAATAACTTTGGTATTCTTCAAACAAATATTTGTGTCATTTGCGGGGTTCGAACCTGGAATACTTTACTATACCTTAGTACACATAAGTCATAACTTATGCCAAAAATACATATCTACACATAATTATAAAAAAAAAACTAATTATCACCTCATCTGGCTCCAATGGAATAATCGTGCAAAGAGCGAATATGAACGGATGAACATATTTCATGTATAAATAATACGTCGCCACGGCGTCAGATACTGAATAGTTAGATAGCACCTGCAAATCAAAATTATTATAAATAAATCATTTTGCACGTTATTCTCGTGACGTATTTTAGCGTAAAAACAACAATGATAGTAAAGGACAAATTTCTAATAGCACATTGGTATCGTTTCTAGCATATTTCTCTAAACCTTAAACTAAATTTGACAACAATGAATCCTTGTCATTCTCTGTACAGAATGAAAAGGACAGATTGATGTTAAATTAAGTTATAAGTTTAGAGAATCATGCCAGAATCGACACCACTGTAACCTAACTCTAACTTTTTTAAAAACCTACTAGCGGCCGCCTGCGACTTCGCCCGCGTTATCTTTAGAATTTGTGAATCCCTCAGGAACGTAACATTTTTTTCGGGATCTTAACTTAGATTAAAACAAAAAAGGAAGATACGGCACTAAAACTGATCTGCTTAAATTGTGGTGCAGGACCATAATTCGCTTTAGTCACAATTGGACATTCAAACTCGCTACATGTGCACCTAATATAACATTATCATTTGTTTTATCTTTATATCACAGAATATATTATATTGCGTATATTCTGTGATATAAAGATAAAACAACAACTTCGCTGCTTTTATAAAGAACACCAATATTTCAAAATCAAATAACAAATGCCTCGGTAACAATTTTCATTCCAAAAACTGTAAAAAGCTTCCTTTTTTCAAAATCACGGTTTGTCGTGAATGTTATTAACGTAATCGCCATTTTGTTATCAAGAAAAGGACAACAATACAGCTCAGCCATACTGACTCTGAAGCGGACTCGCAGTTTCGTTCGCGCTGCGTTGAAGCGTACACTTTTGTCTCGCTCGCTCAATTGAATGTTTCAGAATTACAGAAGTGTGCGTTTTCTTTTTTTTTAGTGTGTATGCTGTTGGTCGCGATGACCTTTACAGCGTCACCGGGTTTGGGACGGCGAGATTCTTAGGGGACCTCAAGCCGAGATTTGGCGAGTGCCACTAGAGGTATTCCAGGCGGATGGCATCTCCCCACGGGAGGAGTCTCCTCTCCGTCTGGAGCCTCTAGACCACTCGAATCTAAGGTAGTCGGCTCAACTAGATGGCGTCTCTGAGACTCTGACCTCGGCTCTAGTTGGCCGTTTTCGTGGGGGCGGGACCTCACCCATCAATCGCCATTATCACCCACAAATTCCTTATTATTACCCAGCAATCCCTTTTTATCACCCACCAATCCCCATATCCCCCTCCAATCCCCTTTTCACTTACCAATCTCCTGTGCTCATTTAGTTTAACAACTTTCTGATGTAGATACTGCTAGGACTGTACACTTTAATAACTTTCATGTGTGCAAAATTAGTTTAAGTTATCACTTCTGTCATGGGTCTTGGGACGCACAAGCTTTTATTTTATATGAAAACTTTGATATGATACAGTTACAGTGCTGTCATAATTCATGCTTGGGCTTATGGTCTACCTAGCAGGATATAGGACTAATAATTACTCATACCTGTGGTTGTTCTGCTGCCATTCTACACATGTCCTCTGGGTCCAACTCTACAGGGTCATATCGCAATTTTGCTTTGGCTACAGCTTTCAAACCTTGCGAGCCTACTGGCAAATATGAGTCTCTTTTCACCCAACTGTAAATGGTCAATTGATTAATTTTCATATAGCAATGTAACATGGACTTATTATTTTTTAAGACACTCATGTGATTAATTATTCTATTAATAAAAATGGGAAACTTTTAAAATTATCACCAAACAAATACAAATAACCTTTTGAATTTTTTTTGGCAGTTTTATTTTTTGGTGATCATTTACTATTTTTTGGGTGATTGTTTAAACATGAACCGTTACAATATTGAAAAAAAAACAATGATATTTTTTTACTTTTTACCATAAGCAATCCATATGCATTGCAGGGCGACATGCGTAGGTGTTGTCTCTTGCAGCAATTTTACTAAAACCTATTTCTTGCTTCATGTCTAGACCAAGAATAGCAGCTCGTGCCTCCACAAAGGGCCAATCAAAAAAGTCACCTGAAAATTATTATTTTAAAATATTTACAATCACCAATTTATATTATTATTTAATTATATAATAATTTTATGTTATCACCATTGTAAGTAACAAAAATGTGTGGTTTGACATCCATAATGTGATCAAAAAACTTTTGTATTAAGGCCAGCTCATTGGCCTCATTAAATATAATAAATTGCCTGAAAAGAAATTAAATAATTAAAATCTATATAATTCTTACAAAAAATAATTTTGTTTAGCAAAAATTTTACCAATAAAAGCAAAAAATATAAAAAAAAACTTCCAAACAAAAGCAATATCAAAATATGAAATTAATAAATCACACAATAATTTTAGTACCCTTCAAATTCCGGTTTAGGAGTATATTCAAAATCTTCAACATCTATTGAAATAATTTCCCTGTTAGTAATAAGATATCCTTGGCCATCAATCATGTAAGATATCATCATTATTTGATCTGTTTGTGAATCGGGAAACTTTAGCGGCAGTTTAGTTGTTTCAATATCAAAGGCTAAGACTATCGGATCCGGTCTTTCTAGGATGTCATCTCGCTTTGTGAATATAGGTAATTCTGTACCTCTACTTTTTACAGTGTACCAGGTACCACAAAAAATTTGCACATCAATTGCTACTCTCACATGATAAGGTACATCATGCTCCCTGTAAACAGATTAAGTGGAATCAATATTGAAACTACAATCATTAAACGTAACATGTTACACACCTACAGTACCCCTAGAACGAAACCGAAATGTCAATGTCAAATTTTGTATGGAAACTTGAACAGCAGCAGCACAAAGTACGTAATGAGAACTAAAAATCAGTACAGATTTGACAATGACATTTCGGACTCGCAAATATTACGAATTCGATTTTGGTTCGTACTAAGGCTATAGTTCATCAATAGCCACAATTACTTTTTAAAGTGAAACTTTTATTACAGTCACAATTTTTTTCATTCATCTTTAGGAGTTATGATGGTCTGATTTTTTTAAAATCAAATAAGAATGTAATACTTAACAAGAAGCATTGGAGGGGTTCAGTGGTAGAAAGCTCGCATTCTACATGAGTGGCCTAGGTATGATTCCCAGCCGAGTAAGGACTATTCTTTACTAATTATTATTGTAAAAGTTCCACTTGCATCATGGATGTTGCTACTTTTGTATAATACTTAATAATTATACCTTATATCTAAAATATTTTCCATATGATCTGTGGTCTTTTTAGCGTGTTCCAGAGCAGCAGAACTAGTTAAAGCATTTGTCAACATTTCCGCATAGATAGCATCCTTTTTCTCCCTTTCTTTGTTTTTATTGACAGCAGTTAATATTTCTCTTCTTACTTTCATCATTTCATTTTGAGTCATGAATGAGAGTTTTATGTAACTCTGCTTTAAGCCAGACAGATGATTGAGCTGTAATAATAAAATATTAGGATAATACATTTAAATATAAATTTTATATTGCTATAATTGATGTTGCAGTGTAACGACAGGAGCTCTATTTAATCTTGTAGTTATTTCAAAATAGGCCATTTTATTTCACCAAGCTTCAATAACATAAAATATTTTTGCTAAACTAATGTTGTATGTATAAACTTTATATATAAACAATGATATAATATATATATATATACATATATAAACAGGACACCAGTGTCTGAGGTGTGTTTAATAGGGACATAAAATCTCAATTTACTCTTAATATATTTTTAACATGCATTTTAAAAAATCATTACATACCAAATCTAAATCCTCTTTTTCAATAATATCTATTTTGTGAATAGTTCCAGCAAATTTTTTGGATAAATATTGAATTACTTCTTGTACACATTCTTTTCTAGCCATTATTAGGAAATAGGGTTGAAACATCAGAGATATCTTGAAACGGGTACCATCCATCTCTATAAAATAATAGTCCATTGCAGCTACTAACCGTTTGTCTTCATCCAGTACTTCAGCCTTCAATAGCAAAAAATGATTATTTTGTATTTTAGATTCTTCCAACATAGAATATCATCACAAAGTATCTAAACTCACCGTGTGCATGTTTATTAAGTAACCAGTTCTTTCCTTTGCATCTCGCACTCTATCAAATCCATATTTGGAATCAATACGATCATTTTCTAATGCATTTCTGATACGTGATTCTGACGATTCCTCTCTATGTTAACAAATAAGGCTTTTGATAAAAAAGCTACTAAATCTTTAGAAAAAAAATTAAACAAGAAATACAAACCTTGCTCCAGAAGAGGTACCTGCGTCTTTTTTGAATCCATTTTCTCGATCAGGCCTAAATTTTCCAGTATTTTGCAGAACCATATCGAAAAACAAAGTTTACATTTACACTGAAACACCGAGACTTCGTTTTTAATCTGACACTTGTCTGTCAGAATTTCGCGCCTTAAATCAATAGTTTTTAGAACAGGCAAAAGTTTTATGTTCACTCAGCCACTTAATATATATATATTTTTTGTTAGAAATTCTTTCGAAGAAAATAAATAGTAGTATTTCTATGGAAGATTAAGCTAAGAACGTAAACTAAAAGTAAAAATGGCCGCATTGAATGACCGCATCTCACCGGCGCAATCTCATCGAGCCGAGTAGGTAGACATATTAGAATAATTACAAGCAGTCTCTTCTTTTCATTCCATGTAATGGTCAGAGTATATACTGCTAATCAAAACATTTTCTTTTGTTTAAATGAGTTTTTAACATTTTTTATGTTGATTTGATATATCAGTGTATCGATTTTTTATGTAAAATCGGTTTATGTCGCACAGGCCTATATTAGCTGTCGATGCAATATTCTGTGGTCAACTTCAACTGTCATGTAGTTACGTCAGTCAGTCGGATCGGCATATTTTTGTGGTACCTTCAAGTTGCTTCATGTTGTGCTTTGTGGAATGGAAAAGAAACACAAACAATAGTTTTATTAAATAAAATTACGTACATGTGTGATTAGTACACAGAAATATTCAAGTATGAATAACTCATATAATATATTTGATGAAACGTACGAAGACTTGTCGTTTAGCAACACTGGAAAGAAGGACGACAGTATTTGTAGTCAGTTAGCAGATTTTGAAAAACTCCGAATATCTGCACTAACAAAAGCTGCAGAAATAAGTCCACTTGTAAAGGAAGTAACGATAGGACCAAATAGCCCTATCAAAAAACAAATAATTACCAATGACACAACAAAGGAAACATGTGAAAAACAGGAAGATTTGATGGAAGACCTATGCAAAGAAGATTTACGTTACACACTTCTGCGAAAAAAATATGACATCAAATTACAAGAAAGTACAGAAGAGTTATTTAAAGATCTTGTTGAAAGAATGATAGCAAACCGAGCAGAGGCCATGAGCAGGTACTGGAAAAAGCAAAGTGAAGAATGTGAAAGAAGAGCATTAGAACATAGGAGACGAAAATTGTTGCTTCTAAAAGGGCTCCAAGATAATGACAACCTTTCAGTCTTAGAAAAGGCAAAGTTTGATGAGCAACAAAGTCATATAAAAAATCAACAAATTATTGATAACATGAACAAAATATTAGAGGAACAAAATAAAGCCACTGCCCGCCTTGGTTCTATTACAGAGAGTCATGCAAAAGTTTGTATTTGTTACAATGAATTAACAAATCTGTTGCAAAGTGAACCACTTGCAAAGAATGTATATGATAATTACATTACATCTATTAATACCATTATAAAAAATATGAATATAATCATGGAATATTGTAAAACAGGAGCAATTACTGATAAGGAGGTAAAACAATCTGAAATAATGGCTTTGAATATAGAAAACATAAGAAACAAGTTTCTGAATGATATACATGATTTAAAACAACAAGAAATTGTAAAAAAAGAAAAGGAAGTGGAAGAGGCCAAAAAGAAAGAACTACAACAGAAACTAGAACTTGAAATGAAAAAAGAGCAAGAAGCTAAAGCTTTGATTATCGCAAACCAAAAGAATCAAGACAAACCTAATAAGCCAATGTTTTATTCCGCTAAAAACTATAATTATTATTTGGAACTGAAGAGTTTTCTTGACACCTATGAAAGTCAATACAAAGAGCTTTTAGAAAATTCTAACTTGAAGAAATTTAGATTTGACTGTCAAAAAGCGGTAAACACTCCAGTCAATGCCTTATCATCTGTAAGTGGATCTCATATGAGAGATAAATATGATAAGTTATCAAAATTGCTCAAAGGAGAAAGAGTTCAAGTATTAGATACTTTTGTAACGGCAACCCAACATCCTCAAGGGCTATATTATTGTACTGCATTATTAGCTAAAAAGATTGTGCGACAAGGTGAGCTTTTGGTGTCAAGTAACCCAGAGGCAGCATTTCCCCTAGCAGCTGTGACTGTTGCACTTTGGTCTCAATTCCCAACATTTGGTAAACTATTGGAAGCAAATTTTCATAGACAATGTCCATACTCAGTCCCAATGTTCCTGCCCCAAAAGGAAGGTCAAACAGACATGGAATTCTATTTGTCAAGAGGCTATACATACAATGAAGAAGGACTAGTAGAGAAACAGGATAAATTTCTTAAGAGAATGTCAGGAATATTTAGACTTTATTGCGCCATTTGGATAACTTTACCTCCGAGATTTGTTAATGCAACAAATCCTCATGGAATTAGATATGGTTGGCAATGGTTAGCATCATTCATTAATTTGAAACCAGAGCCAGATATTAGTGCTACATTGCTACATGACTTTTTCACTGTGTGTGGTTCTGATTTTTTTAAATTTTATAGAAAACAGTTTACAAAAATTATAAAATTGATAAGTGTAGATTATTTGAAAATACTAGATAATATTGATGAAGGTGGTCCTAAGACAAGACTCGAAGTATTTTTACAAAATATTTTAAAGTCTGGCCAAATTGCGCCACCCAATGGATTGTTGCCACCTAACACATGGTAAATATTTTTTTTTATTTTAAGATTTAATAATTATTTAAGGACAAATCATCATTAAATTTAATAAAATTAAAGTTGACATAGTAATTATACAAGTTGATTAAATGGCATGTCATAGCTTTTATTTTTGTTTTTTTTTAAATTCCTCAATGTCTTTATGGCTTTGCAAACCTGGAGGTCAATCGCCTTACGTAATTGCTATGGGTATCGCTATCGCTTAAATTTCACTTTGTTATTTCTGACCACCGAAGGTTTTCAAATACCTTACGCTCAATGTCTTTATTATTGTTGTTAACAATACAAAAGAAAAACCGAGTGCGGGGCATTTGAAAACCTTCGGCAGTCGGAAATAACAAAACAAATAAGCGATAACCATAGCAATTCCATTAGGCGAATGGCACCCAGACCATATTTACATAAAAAAGTTGTGATAATAATAATTTCACTGAAATAGAGTGCCTGCATTAGAGCGAGTACAGCAATTAAAGTTTCCAGTGTATTTACTTTTCTCTATGAATTAAAGCCAGAGGCACTCAATAATGGTTGCTTTCCAATTACAGCATTATTGCGCATTATGCGACATAATGCTTAGCGTTGAGTGTTCCAACTACAGCAACGCTTCGCACAATTGAGCACTCTCAAAAGTGATGCTTTCGTGTGATGCGTGCAATGGTACCAACTTAGAGACAGAAAATTAACAAGTGTTTTTTCTTTAAGTTGGCATTGATCGAAATGTTTTATTTATATGTTATCGTTAGTAATATTATTTATTGTTGAAAAATTATTAAATAGTTTTTTTTTAAATAATCAAAGTTCATTCAAACTGTTAAAAAATAAATATAAGTATGGATGAAGGTACAAACATTGACTTTTTTTTTCAACACTGAACTTAGCGCACTCTGCTGGTGCATTTGAAAACTAATTCACGTTCCAATTAAGCATCAGCATAATTGGGCATTGTGCGGCACTGAGTCGCATTATGCTCTGTAATTGGAAAGCATACAATATTTGTCTCAAAAGCGCGGGATACAAAAAAGACGCAGACGGCACGCGGTTCCGTTTAATGTTCTTAGACCTAAATAGACACACAAAATTTCATAAACATGTAAAAACAAACACAATTTAAGGGTATCACGCATGGAGCAACTCCATGAGTGCGATGGGATTAGGGTAAAAGAGAGAAAGTATATTTTTTTTAGACATGTTTATTTAAACAGTCATGAATCAGGTAGAATATATGCTGGTCGTATTCATCATACAAACATTTTCACGTGTCGAACCCAGGACTTCTGAGTAGGCTACAGGATACCATCAAATACTCTAGAAACTACCGGTTCTATAATTTTTTCTTTTGGTATGGCTTCGCACGTTTTGTGCATTTTAGCCAATTTTGTAATTATTATAAAGGTTAGGAAACATAAGGAAAAGAAAAGGAGGGTTTTCGGGATTTCGAGTATTAGGATAAAAAGAATTAATTATTAACATATTTACAAAATAACACAATAAACATATACACAAATTATATTTATATTTTAATATTATTATGGATGATGAAATTGGTAAGGCAATTATATACAGATGGTTTATTAGTGGACAGTAAGGTAGGCACAGAAGTAGGGAAAAGAATATGAAGGGACACAAGATCATTGAAAAAGAAGGAGCGGTCATAGTTTAAACAAACAATATGTGGTTGAGATCACCAACCATACCCATGCCGCAGTCGCATATATTGTTGTTAATAATGCCAATTCTAGTGAGATGATCATGAGTGCAGACATGTACAAGACGCATGCGAATTACAATCGAGATTTCTTTCTTACCATACTTGGATTTACGGAACCATAGTTTATTAGGAATGTGTGGTTGAATTGATGCAAAGAATTTACCTTTTTCTCGCGAACTTCGTTCCCAAATATTACACCAGGCATTATAAAGATCATCTTTAGGAAGAGATAAAAGGTCATTGCTATAGTTTTTGTAAGGATGCATGTCCCCACAATACACTGCCTCATTTGCTAACTTATCAGTTTCCAGTATATATAAGTACTCTTTGCTTATCAGATAGCTCATTTCCAGTAATGCCACAGTGACTTGGAATCCACATGAACTGAACGGAGAAGTTATAAGTTTGACACTTGTAAAGTAGTTTTCTTATTTCATAAATAAATGGAAAATGAAATTTCATTCTGAGGGGGAATTTGCTTAGTGATTGGAGAGAACTCATAGAATCTGTGAATATGATAGTATTTTTAAGTTTCATAGTAATTATGTATTCCAATGCCTTTAAAAGACCATAACATTCGCCTGTAAAAACCGAAGATTCAGGGGGTAATTTGATTTTTTGAACAATGTTATATTGGGCATGATACACTCCTATACCTACATTACCAGATGGATTATGTTTTGAGGCATCCGTGTAAATATGATGATGGTTATTATATTCAGTATCAATAAGGTATTTGAAATTAAATTTTGTATTTGAATCTTTGTTTAATAGAATTTAAAATAATATCTGGACATGAAATCAAGGACTCGTAATTAGCTTCAAAAGGAGGAAGTAAATTAGAACGATGTATAGGGGATTGGAGGTTCAAATATTTTGTGTAGCTAATTATTATTAAGCATGGAGGACATTTATTAACCCAATAATTGGAAGATTCAATTTTTTCTGTCAGAGATTGCAACCCAAAAAAAATTGGGTGATGAGCTAACTGGATGGAACGAAAGAGATACCTATCAGATAAATATTGGCGTCTAAGATGTAATGGCGATTCGCAGCACTCTACCTGTAAAGCATTGATTGGACTTGACTTCATGGCTCCTGTAACCAGTCTTAGAGCTTTTGATTATATACGGTCAAGCTTTTTTAAAGCGCTACTACTCCCAGGTTCTAATAAAAAAGTACCACAGTCTAATATACTACGTGTCAAGGAATTATAAAGTAATTTGAGAGTAAAGGGATGAGCGCCCCACCAGACACCAGCTAAACACCTAAGAATATTTAAAAGACGTTCACATTCATTAACCAAATGTTCACAATGCTGTGCGCCGGTAATTTTGGAGTCTAAGATAATTCCCAGGTATTTAAAGCTGTCTTGAACAGGAATACTATCAACATCATACATGATTTGTATTGGGGGAACCTTACGTTTTCTAGAAAATATCACCACACTACTTTTAGACACTGAAAGGCTTAAGCCATTCTGATCAAGCCATTTCATTAGACAAGACAAAGCAGGTGATACATTGGACGAAGCTCTTTCTATAAAGCTATCATAAGAGTAGATAAGAAGATCGTCTGCGTATTGAAGAATTTTAACATTTTTTTTAAATACGGTTTCTAAATCATACGTATAAACATTATATAATAGAGGACTTAGGGCAGAACCTTGTGGTAAACCTTTCCAGACAATTCTGGCCATGTCATTGTCAAAATCAAATATTAATTTCACAGTTCGCTCATTCAGTAAATTAATAATTAAGTTAGAAAATCGGAGGGGAACATCAAGAGCTTCCAATTTAGACTTTAATATCGATAAAATTACATTATCGTACGCGGACTTTATATCAAGGAAAGCAGCGACTACCGATTTATTGGACGTAAAAGCTAATCGAACGTCTATGGTGAATATACTAATATTATCAATAGTACTTTTGCTTTTACGGAACCTATATTGACTGTAAGAAAGAGCCTGTTTATTTTCTAAAAACCATTCCAAACGGGTTTTTATTAAATGTTCAGCCAACTTGACTAAAACAGTAGATAACGCTATAGGACGGTAGTTATCAGCAACATTCGGTGATTTATTAGGTTTCAATACTGGCAATACTATCTGAGATTTCTATGGTAACGGGACGTTTCCAGTTATCATGAAACTATTTTTCAAATTAATTTTACGTACTTACCCGATCCTAATCCTTCCAAATTCCGTTTCACAACCTTTTTATTTCATTATTTTGGTTTCCTTACCTTTTACCCTGTCGTGGCCAATGCACAAACCGTGCGAGCCATTATAATAATAAAAAAATTAAACTATTTACGATATCGATATCTAAATAACCTAAAAGTACTAAAGTACTGGTGCCAATTCTGGTGTGATTCTCTAAACTTAAAACTAAATTTAACATCAGTCTCTCCTTTTCATTCTGTATAGAGAATAACAAGAATAGACTGTTGTCAAATTTAAGTTTAGATATAGAGAATCGTGCCAGAATCGACACCAATGTATCACTAAGATTTGAAAAGAAACTATATGGAATTCCATCATCACCTGGGCAGGAGTCTCTAACGCTGTTGATAATACCTTTATGTTCATATAAAGTAAATGGACGTTCTAAATAATGTGTGGATAACGATAACGAGGAGGCTTGTAGGGTTAAATTATTTTCCGGGACCCATGGCGGTGCTAATTTATCAAGAAAGTCGTTAGGAAGAGTAGAAAAGGAAGTTTTGTTAAAGGCAGATCTAAAACGTTTAATATTATTCCAGACTATTGAAGGGTGGACATTAGGAGAAATAGAAGTACAGAAACGCTTCCAGCCTTCAAATTTCTTATTTTTGAATAACTTTTTTGTTTCTGATTTTAGATTACATAGTATTTCGTAGTTAGTATATGTCATATTTTTACAATAGAGTCTTTCTGCATTTTTCCTTTTTTTAATTGCTTGGATGCATTCGCTGTCCCACCAAGGTGGAGATGGAATTCTGCTAAAAGTATTTGCCTTGGAAGGAAAAGTTTCAGAGGCAGCTTCTGTTAAAATGTCAGTCAGAATTTGTGCACAAGCAATATCATTACTATTGTTCACACTTGGTAGTTGATTAATCTTAGCGTCAACTCTATCCTTGAAAGTTTTCCAAGTAGTCATCTCATCTCTAATAGAATATTTATATTTTCTCAAACTTAACTTTTGGGAGTGCTTTACTTGATGACTTGGAAATCCAATGATTATTGGATAGTAGTCCAGTCAATGAAGGCTTAACTTTGCCATTTTGAGTTGATCACCTGCAACCAACGCGAAAATTTCCGCAAGGGTTCGTAGATTAATATACTAAAATTGCAGGGTGCTGCATTGACGGCAAAGGGTGAAAAAAAAATGCGAAATGGTGCAAAAACGAGTTTTTCGTCAATATCTCGCGACTGGCTGGAAAAATAGAAAAAGTTTGTAGTACAAAGTTGTAGAAAATTTAATTTCCTACAAAAAAGGTATCAACTTATTTTCGCGTATCTCCTATAGTTTTTACACAAAATGCAATTAAAGGTGCAAAATAAAAAAAGAAAAAATATTGTTTATGGTTTTTTTCCATTTTTAAACGATCCTACGGGGCAAATTCAACAATCATCAATTACTGAAATATTTAAGGATGAGTTTTCGGCAGTCCACTGAAATGAAAATTGTCTACCGAAATGGTAAAAAAATTACCACCGAAATGATACAGCCAAGAACATCGCCTTTGTTGTAGAAGGGTTCCCTATTTTGAATTTAAATAAATGTCTTTATTCTTTGTAAATATTTTTGTTCATTATTTTTAAATAAGAATTATTAATGAAGAATTAATTAATTGTTAGTCCTATTAAATATTATTACTAATTATAATTATTAATATGTACATTTTCAAAATAACGAACAAAGCGCGTTTAGAAAGCGAGAAGTTTATTATTAGTAAATCGTCCCCTTAGTGCCAAAACCGATTATCTGCACTTTTCCGCTACTGAACTTTTGTAATACCAATCGACCCGTCTCATTAAGCCGCATCTACAGGTAAAACCCATTATACTCTACGACGCATACTTCCTGAAATAGCTAATGAATAAACAAAATAACTGCAAATTATTTCCAAAATTCTTGATTTAAAACCTAATAAACCCATTCAAAACACTTAAATTTGTAAACGTATAAATAGGCTAGTTGACTCATGTCGAATTGTATTAAATAAATGTTTATTTCTTAAAGTATTTGGTCTAAGGAATCTAAATATATCGATTTCATTTCATAAAACCAGAAGATTGCTGTAGAAATTTAATTTAAAAAAATATTTTTTAGTCTGTATTTTCTAAACACTAAAAACGCTATCCGCCACATCCGCCATGATTGTGACGTCTCTTATGGTAAACAACTAAATGTCATTCGCGTGTTATTGTGGGTGGATTCTTTCGTCTGACTAAATTTATCTTAAAACACTTTTAACTTTAGAAAAGTTTCCGTTTACTGTTTTTTTTGAAAAAACTAATTATGGATGCCGGCTTTGTGAACAGAAAACACAAATCTGCCAAGAATTGACGCATTCATGGTTGGTGAATTTATTGCACTAAACCCCGATTTCTGCTCTGCGGAGCAGAGAAACGACAAGGCATCTATGTAAGTACAGTGTATTTAGTATTACAATGTAGTAATAAACATAAAACTGATACAACATATGAATAAGTGTAATAAAGTTGCGTAGGTTAATTTCTTTCGGCACTTTTAATCCACAACTTTCCTGGAGTCTTCAAGGATGTGTTTTTATATTCTCGTACAATACAATAATGATAATTATTTTATTTTTCGGGGTATTTATTAGAAATCATCTTTTGATTATTATAAAGTCAGTTAAGTTATTTTCTACGTGCTTACGAGTTTTTGTTTATTTACCTTTATGTTATGTGTTTACTGCGGTTAACGTCATAGCATAGATAATCTATAGACTAAAATGGCCGACAGCGTTTTTGTATGTCCACGAAAAATCTATTTTAAAATTTGAGATTTGTAGCTTTTTAGGTCTCAAAAAAATACAACACTTTTTTTCGGTCTAATAGAACATTTATTAACCATTTAAAACCTTTTTCCAAAAAGGGTCAACTAGCCTATTGTTGAAACCAAGTTTCGGATTTAAACTCATTTTTCATGTAGACACTTAAAATATCCTGTGAGTATCCTGTAATTGGCTTTGACTTGACTGTTTGAATTTTACCAGATATTTTAATTTTACTAGATGAAGTAAAAACTAACAAATCTGTCGCTTTTTGCAAAAAAAATATATATAATATGTTTGCGTTATATTTGAGGCAAGTAAAAAAGGATAGATCGAATCGATCGACAGGTGACCTTCTAGCGTACGTGACATATATCTGGGGTGAGGCTATCGATAAGCGAGGTGAGTCTTTGGCTATCAGCCTTAACATCGCCAAGGCTTTGATAGAGTCTGGCACATAAGTCTTCTCTCCAAGCTTCCTGGATACGGTCTGCCTACTCAGTTCTGTGCCTGAGTGGCTGACTTCCTGCATGAGCGTCAACGGACGGCGACGGATGTAGTTCGCAGTTCATGTCAGTGAATGCCGGTGTTTCTCAGGACTCCGTCCTATCCCCTACACTCTTTTTGCTGCATTCAATGATTTAATTCCTCTTGAGAATATTCATTGCTATGCAGACGATAATACAGTGCATGCGGGATATTTTGGATACGCAGCCGTTGGACAGGTAGAAACCAAAGAGAAACGGGAGAATCTTGTCATTGAATTCAATAAAGATTTGGACTGCATTTCGGAATGCGGTACCAAGAACTTGGTTGAGTTCATTGCCAAGAAAGCCCAGGTCTGCGCTTTCACGGTAAAACTAACGTTTTTTCACGCCTGAGCAACTGTGTTTGTTGTACATGACGTAAGTACGGTCTTGCGTGGAATATTGTTCGCACCCCAGAGGATGGCTCTGCCAAGTACTTTTTTGATGCTTTGGATAGGTTACAGCGGCGCGCGATCCGCATTATTGTCGATAAGGAGGTGACTAAACACCTCGAGCCTCGTCAATTACGCCGTGATGTAGCGTTATTAAGCGCGTTTTATCGACTATACCTTGGCGCATGTTTTGAGGAGTTATTTTCTCTTAACCTACCTTCCCCTTTCCTACAGAAGTCTACACGCGCTGGCTTACGTTGCCACCGACTTACTGTGAACTACTATTCCCACTGTTCCAACGTGAACAAAGAAATTTGGTAACTCATTTCTTTGCCAGACTATCCGTAAATGGATTACTTTGCCCTCTTACGTGTGTGAAGTAGCAATTCTGCAGGCCGGCAAAATGAGGATAGCTGGTGTAGCAAGTAATACTGCTGTACCAGCTATCTTCGCGTCTAGACTCCTCCGTCACCTAACCTCTGGTGGAGTCATTTCTTGAGCATAT